AGTTAATAGTCTCTATGTATCAATTAGGATGCAACTAATGAGTCACTAGTGTACTTGTTCATTAGGTACTTAGCTTGTTAGATGAGCTTCTTTCAAGAGACTGAGATTATACTTAAAAAGCTAGCAATGTTTGCATGTCATCTCCAGCTTTGCATGCAGGGTGCCATCACAGTCTACATATAAGGCATTGCTACAAGGACACATTAGTTGAATTCATTAAACTGGCAGAGAAAAGTCGCAAAATATATGGATTGGCACAATCACTGCTCCAAACACATCTGTGACATAGATTGAAAGACTCACTCAAACATCACCCAGTCACCCAAGGGCCACAAACATTTGATTAAAGGTTGGCCAGTTACATTGTCCGAGTATGTTTTACTGGTGCTAGGTCTGCATAATCAAACACACAAGGGAGTAAATGACAGTCCTGTAGGAATTGTAAACCCATCAGTACCTTAGTGAGTAGGAGCATAATTAAACTTACCCAGATGGCACAAGGGTCTCTAGGAATTCCGCAGTTACCAATTGTAGCCCTTGAGGTGGGGTTTTAAACCCAGGTTTCCCCTACCCTTTGCTGGCCTCTATCAAAAGTACAACCTTTGTACACATTGGAAAGCTAGGTGAGGAAAGACCATACATGACCCACTATTTCCACTTAGAGTCCTTATAAAAGCGCAACCACCATATATGTCCTGATATGGTGGCATCATATCAGCATCAGAACAAACTGAGAGGCATGGACAACACACCTCTTGCAACAAATTCAAAGTTTAATTCCTGCACATTGTGCAGGCATTTCTGGAAGATCCTGATGCAGAAAGAAGCAACAAAATGATTGTTGCCCAGATTACCAGAGCTATCCCAGCTCAACCACCCCCCAACACATCATGTGATGTTCATGTGATGTCTCATTTTTGTGTACACAACTTACAACTTCAACTCTAACTTCCACCTGCTGCAGCTACTATTACCTGTGCACTGATCTTGTAAGTCTTTTGTTTTTTTTTGTTTTTGTTTTATTCATAATTTACTCAACTCAACTCTATAGACTACTTGAGTCTCTGAACTCAACCATTGGAGAAATACCTCAATGGCCTTGTGTGGACACACATTCATGATGCTAAATGTTGCATGGCACTGACAAGTATGTCTCCCGCATGTTTGCACCTGGTCTAGTGTATTTGCACTTGTCCCCACTCATTTGTGCCCACCGCTATTTATTTTTGGTTGTCCCTGCCTTTTTGCACATACCACTGCCTATTTTTGCTTGTATGTGCTTGGTGCCACTTATTTCTGTATGTCTGCACCTGTCTCCATGTGTTTTCACTTGGCGCTGCTTGTGTTTACTTGCTCCCACTTATTTTTGCTCACTTGCATTGGTACAGATGCATTTTTTAATCTCCAATCCAGTGGATGTTTTTATTACTAATTGTATATCACTTGTATGTGTTACCTGTGGTTTGCTGGGTGTGGGCTCTGGTACCTGGGGGTTTACCAGTGCAGATCCCTAGTTCTCCATATAGCCCTTCACTGCCATCTTCAACTTGCTCAGACTACTACTATCACCACCCGTTATGCATCTCTTGTACAATTTTCTACTACTCCATGCATAGCTTGCTGTTGATTTTCTCAGTTTTGTCTTTCCTTAGTGGCCCGCTTGATTGCTTTCATGTTGTGCTTTTCTGAATGGACAATGCCCTTTTTTGCTTTTTTTGTGATGCGAAAAGTAAACTAAGTCAGAAATAAGTGAGAATTCAGATGGTGAATGGCCTTTTTCAACTGGCCATCTACTTATTTTCACCCTTGCTTATTTAGGCTTATTTCTACTTGTTGCACAAGAAAAGTTAAATATAAGTAAGGTAAGGAACTGTGTGTTTTACTGATGAGCAAGCTTGAACATCTTGCGAAGTGTTTGTTTGTACATGTGGCAAAGTCACGTGATGTGTCGGGGGGCAGTTGACATAGGTAACTTGACAAAGAAATGTAAGACAAGTTTTAGATCTAAATTATGATTTGGGTGGTCAGACTCCTTTTAGCAGGATTCAAGGCTTCGCACGCAAACTGTCAAAACTGTGGTTTAATGATAATGGCAAATTTGCTGTAGTGAATCAGGCTAAGTAATCGGAGATGTCATGCCACCTGAGACGAGGACCAAGTATCACCCCTATGTGACTACCCCAGCAGTTCAGCCAGAGGCAGGCCAATAGATAATACTTATTTCATCATTTTCATGGACGAAGGACACAGGACATGGCTTCTACTATTGTAAGAACAGGGTGTTTGATCCCATGGCCAGCTTCAAGTGATTGAGCCCCTGTCAACAGTTCTCCTTTCCTCCGTAGCTGCACTGTTTTTGTACCCTTTCTCTCTCAATTGTCATGGTGTCCTCCTGCTCCTTTCACGGTATTGTTGGCATCCGAGATTAGTACGAAATGCATGCGTGCACATTGCTGCTTTGCACCAATGCTTTGTTGAAGTGGAGATTCCCCAAACAGGGGAAGTTCATTGCCCTGCCTCGCATCACATTCCCTTTTAATCCTGCGCAGTTCCAATTGGACCGTCAACCGTAAAAAAAATTATTATGGCCTGCATATGTGTTAAGACCGTGCTCAGGGGTAGGATGGAGTCTGAGGGGCTTGGCTTCAGCTCGTACGCTGCACCCCTTACCCGAGTATGTGCCCCTAATTTCGGAATGTAGTCCAACACAAATTCTATGGGTTCCGACAGGACATCGGAATGGGGGTCCTCTGAAGGAGGACCGATGGACTACTAGGTGAGCACAGGAAAGTCGGGCAGGGGACTACTGGGGTCGGAACCCACAGTAGAAGCAGAGAGGAACGGAGGGGACAGATGTGAGAGTGCGGGGTCTACTTCCGACGCACAGGAAGTCAGGAGGAGCGGAGGGACAGAGGAACGGGAAATGGGAGAGCAGGGACGAAGGGATGGGGGAATGGGGGAATGGGGAAACGGGGGAACGATGGGGGAACGGGGAACGGGGAACAGGGGGAACGGGTGAACTGGGGAACGGGGGAACGGAAACGGGGGAACGGGGGGAACGGGGGAACGGGGGAAAACGGGGACGGGGGAACAGGGGGAACGGGGGAACGGGGGGGGAACGGGGGAACGGGGGAACGGGGGAACTGGGGAACGGGGGAACGGGGGAACGGGGGAACGGGGGAAGGGGGGAAGGGGGAACGGGGGGGAACGGGGAAAGGAGCGAGGATCGAGGAGGATGGATCGACGGATCAGGGATCAATGGCCACCTAGGGATTCAATCCCTAGCCAGCTTCACAGGAGTTGACTAGGATCAGCCCAAGTCAAAGAACAGAAGAACAAGGGCTTAGAAACAGGTATATTCAGACTGAGTATCTACAGACAGATGTACATATGTTTATATACTCTAAGTAATTAGCATAGCATAGCAGGAGGCTATGTACTGAGTGTACAGGATCACAAGAGGATGACTGAGACATACAAGAATAAGGCTCGGAGAAAAGTATGTATGCAACGGATCAGAAATCACTAGGGTATAGGGATTACCGGTGATCCAAAAAGCAGAACTATGATACTAAACGGGGATAGGACCAGTTGAGTGGTTCCTAGTCTAGGAGTGGACCGGTGAGGTGGTCAGACAGACTAATAGTCGCGTGGGGGAATACGAGCAGAACTGAAGGACCTGCGCAGGTCAGAAAAGCGGAGGGAGTAGGAATAGGATCAGGCAGACCGATAGGGTGGAGGAGTGGAACTCCAGATAGGGTCGGATGGAAGGGGTATGGGGTCAGAGGATATAGGGGTAGTGTCGGAAGAGCGGAATGGGGTCAGGCGGAGGTAGCAGGGCTAATCCTGCTGAGATGCACTTTGTGCATTGTCGGGGAAGGAGGAATGGAGCGGACGGGGAAGCAGGGGGTCGGACCAGGGGTGGGGATGTTCACAGGTGGTTTTGGAGGTGCTCGGATCCGGTATATAACAATATGCAACAACATTCAACAGCTGCCAAGGACTCACACTATGACAGACCGTACTCGACCTTCGTACAGATGCATTCACACACAGGCAACTGTACACAGTGCTGTCCAGGGTGCAAAATTGTCATGACATTCGGGCATTGTTTTCATGCATGAGTGAAGAAAGACAGACAGGGGACGTAGTTTATTCCTCACTGCTGCTGTTGTAAAAGTCATCCACAAATGAGGGAGAGGATGTGGCTGAAGAAAGATCCGAGTAGGCCGTGCCGTCCGCAAGTGAGCGGATCGCTTGTATAATAGTAAGTTACATAAGACCACTACATATATAAAATATCTACACTTATTAAAACATTACACAAGAACAATAATAAAAACCACCAACTTAATAGTCTGCCAATTTATGAGTTGATCAAACTGTGTCCGGCCTTCGAGGGAAGCTGTGCTTTTCCCATCAATTCAGCTAGACTGTGGATGAGCTGATCAATCTGCGTGAAACGTTCACTGAGGCGGAGATCAAGCTCAGTAAAGTGAGATTCCACCATTGCAGCCAGATTGTTGACTCACAAGGAAAGCAAGGCCAAATTCATCTCATCCAAGTTATTAACTAGCTCGTTTGATGTTCTATCTGCATCTTGATCTGATTCTTGAGCCCTGTCTTTAATCTTGACCAGTCAGTGTTTGTAAGGGTGGTGCTGTGTGACCACATTGAATACATCGCGGAATGCGCAATCGCCACATAAGGCAATGGCATTCTGGAATCCTGTGATGGTTATCAAGCTTCGTGCTCATTTAGACATGTAGAAATTTGACCTGGGCAGGCAAGGCATACATAAAAAATACCCCTGAGCTTAATGCCACATTCAGTGCAAATATAACCATTCCCATTCACAACAGAGGTTTCAGCTATCCCCCCGAATGCCACTCCTGAGTGTCTGCTTAACCCTTCATCATCTCCCAGCAAATTTAGAGAGGCGGAAGACACATCTGCTGGAGCTTGAGTGGTATCTGTCGAAGGGGGATGTTCTGGTCCTTCTAATGGTGTTTGGGGTTTGTCTTCTTGCACATCCAATAATCATTCTGATGGTGCCACAGCAGGCACACAAGCGGATAAGAAATTCCTAGCATAGTGTCGACCTTGCTTGTAGCAAACATCTGGTATAGACATGTGGAAAACAAGCATATTGTGTGTTGCCTTGTGTTTGGATGGGTATTCATAATTTGATATCGGCAGAGATTTGCATTCTACACACACATCATAGTCATCTTCTATATATGCAAGAAGGTCAGTCATCTCGTGTAGGAGGATTGTCTCCATCACACTCAATGCGCTCACAATCTATACAATGGTGAAGGACATCACCGACAAAGTGATGGCATGCGTCACACATAGACCTGAATACCGGAAAAGTAGATGGTTGAAGAATAATGATAGATAGACAGCTGGACTCACTCGAACAGTCACCTGCACATGTGGAGTTCAGCTAATGAATTCCAGCTCTTGATGTCTGTGGGCAGTTGCTCTTGGGATAGGATATCAAACCTTTCTTTGTCTTTCAATGATAGGTAAGGTGGGATATAGAAAGGCCAGAGGTTCCATGTATTGTGGAGCTCTTTCATGCACCGCAAATAGATATATCCTTCCCTCGTGTCTTGAGGCTGCTGACCGGGATAAAATGCAACAAAGTGCAGTCTTTCTAACAGATTATCGTCCTTTGTCAGACTGAAGGGACCAAACTTCAGTGCTGTCGTATCGATCTCCAGCTCAGTTTCATCAAACCTGAAATCGTGGGTTTGCCAGTATTCAGTGTTGTCTGTGATCAGTCCTGGACTGTGCCAAAAATTGTACTGTTGCAGACAGTGTCAGACCTGTGAATCAGTATAATCCTGCTGTCTCCATGCACCAATCCATATGCATACCAAGTGAATCTCACTTTTGGATCATTTCCCTGCTGACGGAATGATTCTGCAATTGTGGAAGGGAATGGCTCATCACGTTACAGCTTGGAATTGTACCTGCCAGTTGCTCCACATGCAGAGACACCCCCTCCAGGATATTTTCTATTGTTTGAGTTGTAGACTCAAGTTCTCTCTCAGCCAGGATTACTGTGCAGGCGAGTTTCATGATCTGTAAATGCCTCCTGGTGACTAGGTAAAGCAAAGGTAGCAAAAACTTAACAAGCACTCAAGTGAGCATCCAGCACAAGCACTGAGTAAATAACTCACATTTTCAATGCGACCAGATCCGAAGAGTTTGATAGAATCCATGGAGTCAATTTCATACTTCACAATGCTAAGCTTATCCGCTAGCATTTGCTCCTGAGCCGTGCGATGCCGAGCAACCAATTGCGTGAGATCCAAGTCCGAGTTCACTGTTCCAAGCTCTGTAAGAGAATGGACAAGATGTTTGATACCTGTCTACCATGTAAATGCCCCGCAAAAAGGTGAGCAGGATGACAAGGGACAAACCATGAATAGCATATGAATTCAAGTATCTAGCAATACACCTCCAATTTTCTGGAAGCGCATCTGCTTGCACATTAATCATGCTGTCCAAGATCTGTTCAATTTGCGTGTGGTAATATTGGCTATCCACTCTCCACCCTTCGCTTATGTGAATAATACAGGCTCAATGTGATGGTAGTGATCCTCACCTGCAGCCCAGTATGCAAGTGCTTGCAGCAGACTCCAGCCCGAAGGTATCGCAGAAGTAAAGGCATTCACTTCCCTTATGCTGACCAAACCATTTGCATCGCCATCAAAGCTTTCCAATAAACTTGGAACATAGAAAATGCTCAAGTATTTCAAGCACCACTTGTCTGCAGGGTCAACTGCAGGAAGCTCGTGGTATGCGGGATCTACTGCTGGAATCTCGTGATCTTCTCCTTCTGAATCCAAGGTGACGGAGACAGTAGGTGTTGGGGATGGAAATTGCACCATCAAAGATGAAGCATTTGATGTCACTTGTGGGCATGGAGCATCATAATGGAGGTGGGAGAAACGATTCACATAATAGTCATAGAGTTCCACGATGAAGTATAGTGCCTTGACACTTGTTGTCCATTTCTTGGTGATGATAAGTATGTGTTTCGTTCATTACGCACAGAAACATACCATTTCTCTCCAGATATATTGGAGGTGCTGGTGAAATAACCCAAGTTAGCAATGCATGTGGTTGAGTTTGCTGATCCTTACTGGATCCTTGACCCATTGGAATCTGTTGTTGAAGGCCCATATGATGCGTGCTTCAGAATCCATTATAGCATCTTTGATGTCAGATGTCTGCCTGTCAAGCTTGAACATGAAGAGCGCACAGTTCTCATCGAGCAAGATGCGTAAATCAGCATACAGTTCGTAAAGTAGCGAGGCATCAAGGTGGGACTTCTCAATGACCGATCTGCTCGCCGAAGCGGTCTTGGAAGCAGGCTTGTTGACATCTTTGGAGGAAGGATCAGGATATGCTGTATTCTGTGGATGTGCTTCCTGTTGCTCAGCAATTTTCAGTAGCTCTACCATTATTTCTTGGCTTCCATAACACTTCTCCTTTCCACTGCACATTTGCACTTCTTTCTCGAATCTTGCTTCGTGTTCGCTTGGCCGCCGGATCAGTTTCTCCAGCTTATTGATTGCAATGTCAACTCTTAACGCCATCCTGATATTCAAGGTGAGCTGGAGGTCCTGGGTACGCTGGGAAAAGCTACTGCAAAGTTTCAGGAACTCGCTCGCCCAGTGTCATGAATGTTACCAACTGCATCTAAATTTCGATTATCAAACCCTAAGTCACCTTATCCGATAAGATTAGATTAGATAGATCCCTGATAAGATATAGATGGATAACCGATTAACGATCACTATCTTGAATTCACATCTATACTACATCAACGTCATCCATCTATATCCGTAACCCTAGACATCCGAACTCATCACATCCTTAGAAGTCCTACGATTAGGCAACGGGTTACAGCATAAGCATCTACATGCCTCTATGATCGAACCATAAACCGAGAGTCCTTTACGAGCTATCTCTCGAAGAGTCATCATTCCTTCACATCGCACACCTTCACTTCTCATGACATGTTAAGAGTTACCTCTGTCATTCACCGAACTCCTTACATAAGAACCTGTTGCACAGTCACAGCTAAACCCTGAAACCCTATCACAGAAACATCGCTCATAGAGAAGCATGTTCATTACCGAAGACCCTGGAGAACCCTTAGATCTGATCATACATGATACATCTCCAGATCCAGATCCTATCTAGATCCTCAGATCTAGATCCACAGATCCCATCTCTAATCGAGATCCTTAATTACCGCTCGAGACTTCTTGTCACAGAACTCTCTCACACCCTTCTTAATCTCCGCTTACCCTGAATAGAAGCAGTCCCTGAGAACCCTGCTTAATTACCGATACCCTTGGCCCCTATGAACCCTCTACCCTTTTCTCCTTGTAGTTGATTGGTTGATAAGACGCCCTATACCCAGGTGCAATGTTATGACCGTATATAGTTATATCACAACCTTTCATACTCAGATATCTCCGACTCAAGTATAGTATATAGTCTAGGTAGTAGTCAGTAGTACTCCTTAGACTTAACCTCCTCGTTTCTACATCATTGTAGGGCCTAGACGTTCCCTCTCAATATCATCCTCGCTTATCCTCTTCAGACTGAGTCCTGTGGTGTGATTCCAACTCCAGACACCTACTAGTTAGGTTAAGGGACGTGGGTCATAACACCCAGTGAGATGATCTGAAGAATTTCACTGGGAGGGAGGTTCTCAATATGAAACATCTAGCATTCTGAGGGAAGCAAACCAATGAATTTTGACTTGTAGTATTTGTCAATGGCATTTCCGCAATCCTCAATATCTATCTTGATGCTGTCTGTGACACGTTGCAGTCGCCCCCGAATTTCACCATGAGGTCCCACGATGGCTGGGTCTCCAGTGTCCTTAAGTCTACCAATGAATTGAATCAACAAAAGTCATTCGAGATTGGCATAAACCACGAACTGGAGAAGCATGGTCATCATATCAGATGCCTGAGCGATCATCAATCCAACTCTATGATCATTTTCCCTTCACATTAGCTCAAGATTGACGACAGCCTTGAAAGCGAGTATAGCCACTGCAAGTTATCTGTTGGCTGAGGTGGAAACATCGACAAGTGAGATACACACCACCAACAAATGGGTGGACCTGCTGCAGAACATCCAGGGCATCCATCAACTTCTTTGCCTCTCCAAGAAAGTTGGTCGCATTCTTCTTTGAGATGTTGATGACCGCCACGTCGTCAGATGCCAAGTCTAAGGCTGCAGCATTCTGGTTGTAGAAATTGTGTGCCAATCCAGCATCTTGAATGGTCAGGGCAATGACATCCTCTAGACGAAGAGTCTGAATGTTACACTAAGTAACTGGGATGGAGTGAAGATGATGAACCTGCCCAGCCGCAGTTGTTGAGCTTTCTAGTTGACATTGAGTGTAAATTTATAGCATGATCCAATGCCTTCTGTGGTCGTTCAATCGTAATGTTGGATATGACTTGTTCTTTGTGATTCATGGAGGCTCGTGCAGCAGGGGAAGAGCCCGTCAAGCAAGAAGATAAGAGGCTGCTGATAAGAATGTCAGAAGGAGACAAGTATATAAGTAAATTAGACCAAGCGCTTGTGCTTGTGCCTCATAATTTCAAACTCACCTTCCGCCAGGTTCGTCACAGCCATCTCAATAGACATGTGGGGACTAAGGGAGGTTAAATGTCCCCACCCCACAGAATGCGGATTAGGTGTGGTTGGGGGTGAGGAGGGGGGACCAAGGATGGTTGAGATGAAGAAAAAGGTGACAGGAGAATTGTACTATCTTGAATGTCCAAGTTGAACGGTCTTGATCAACTCAAGACCAACCGGTGGCTGGAGCAAAGTAGTCTCCACAAGCCAGACAGAAGATGTACAGTTGTTCCTTCTTTTTCAAGGTAGCATACTATGTTCGATTTGTTCGTAAGTCCATGACCGGATGACGACGAGGATAAGGTACAGCGCAAATGAAAACCACAGAGCAAGATGAAATCAAGACAAGAGCGAAATCAAGAACCGAATTCAGATCCAAGACTCGACTAAAGAAAGGCCTATTGACGTGAATTACTGCGTGGAGGGAGGTGGTTTATTAGAGCAAAAATGTTGGAACTGGCAAGTCGTTTGGCCCGAAACACTGTTCTGCTGTCACACCATGATATGTTTCACTTTGATATGTTTTATTTGTGATCTTTATAGTCCACTTAACTATATTCTTCGCCATAGTGTCTGCACGTCAAAATGCCAACTGTCTAACAACCATTTAGCTTATACCATGCGCACAACGCTTGAATACTTTATCCTATCTACACACAGTCATATATAACTTCGTACTGTACATGACTCGTACCTCAGGCATTGTCTCTCTCGAGTGCGCGACTGAGGTTAGTTACCCTTTTCATTGTTGTTCTGTCTATTCATACTTACGCTGATTACCTTAGTGAACTGTCTTTGTATAGGTAATGATCAGGTGTTGTCTCTCTCGAGTGTGCAACTGAGTGAACTGTCTTTGTATAGTCACGCACTGCCGAAGTTATACTTCTATCAAAAAAATCACCCCACAGCACAGAGTGCATCATAAGTATCCAGATCATCACCCTCTTCCCATTCACACTGCTGTCAGATAGATATGACATTTGTAACGAGCTAACTTTTTTTGAATGTCATCTCCAGCTTTTCATGTAGGGTGCCCCAGTCTACATATATGGGATTTCTACAACAACAGTCAGTTGAGGTCGTTAGAGGAAAAGATTCACAATATGTTGGCTGGTAAAATCCAAACAACACGACTCCTCGAGCTAAGGGAGAAGACTTACTCGGGCATCACCCAATTGCCGAGCCACCATGCTTTGGCGAAGATCACATCACCGATAACATTGTCCTCGTATTTTTTTCCGTCTCTGTGTAGCCAACAGGGGAGTAATGAATAGTCACATAGGGAGCATAAAACCATCAGTAAGGCTTGACTTAAGTATGAGTCGGAGTTGAACCAACCAACCCATTAGGTGCAATTGCAATTGTCACGTCCAAAACATGCGTCTGTCGCAGGCTTGGAGGCGGGGTTTCACAGCCAGGTTTCAGGTTTCCCTCCGTGGGACTCGATTAGAAGTACGACCTCTTCTGGACGCGCTGAAAGGCTAGGTGGCGAAAGACCAAACTCGACGCGCCACTGCCACTCGCACCCTATATAAAAGCTCAACCATCATATACGTCCTGCGGAAATTGGCATCATCATAGTAATAATAAAAACAGGGATTCGTGGTCTACACACCCAACGCGACAAATTCAAGTTTAATGTCCGTGTAATGCGCAGGCTTTTCTGGAACATCCTGATGTACAAAGAAGCGACGAAAGGGTTCTTGCCCAATGTACTAGTATCCCCTTCATGCACCTGAATGTCATCTGGCGTAAGATTGTCTCAAAGGCTCCTCAGCTGATGAGTGCAAATTAAATAAATGAATGAATTCTCCGGTAAGCCTGTCACAATTTACTTACCATCAATATTTCCCAAATTCAGCTGTGCAAACAACGCTTGGTTGCTAGTGGCCATGCACGCGAGACGCAACAGTTCTACGCGTGGAGCTTATTCTGCGGTTCTGCGCCAGAAACTGTACCAACGGTCAATTTACTATTCGCTACAAAGTTATAAGTCACCCACTGGCAGCAATTCAACAAAGCGAGACGTCAATACTTCTCGTTGATCATATCGCATCGTAAGTCAGAAGAGCAACCAGACGAAAATTCGGAAATGAATTCAGCAAATGCCGAAAAGACTTCTCGTTGGTCATTCACAATTGCCCAATACAACGCTGTGTGACCCTCGATATCGGATGTTTGCAGGAGGTCGGAGAACTTTACAGCCGGGAGAGCAACAGCGCAGGCATTGACAATTTCAACGATGGAAGGAGTGATGTCGGGAGCGGAGACAAGATCACGGATGAGAGATCTCAGATAGGACTGACGCAGATGTAGCACCAACGGATTTGCCACATATCTACTTGAAAAAGGAAAGTACAGATGGTTGTATGAAATCCGCTGATAATGCAGATGTAGATATTGAGTCGTATGAAGGAGGTGTGGACTTTTCAGCCATTACGGGCGAAGCGAAAGGAGAATCGACCTCGACGAGAAATAGGGGCCTGTGAGGCATCACTCAGCGTTTTGGTAAGATTGTAAATTGAGTGTCGTACCCCATTTAGAACCCAATGGTGTCGGACGCATGTGCTCTGTAGTGCGTTCATTACACATGTACAGAACTGCAGAGTGGGAAATGTTCGGCTGGAGAACTCCCCACGCAAGGGGAGAAATGAAACGCACAGCGTGGCGCGGACCGACAAAGAACCTTTATACTTAAGACCTATTCTGATGTTTCTTTCGACTCCCGACTCTCGACTCTCAACACCTGCGGCCAGCAGTAGTTGATATACGAGAAAGCTGACGCCATCCCAGAAATACGAGGGCGGACCAAGCTGGGTATGGAAAGAATAAAAAAAGGCAGGATGAAGCTAGGACTGGGAGCGCAAAGACTCAAAGTAGCTTTTCACAATGGGGACGCACCATCATGAATACCTCACTGAATGACCAACACATTTTCAAGTATCACAGCGGCACCACTTTAGCCATGCACACCTTGTGTAGTCGCGTCGGTCAATGACGGTAGTCGGCTCGTCACTGGTCCACCCATGGTTGAGAGAAAAACAAGTGCAGGAGAACCGATTTACCGTACTGTCAACGTCCAAGCGGAACAGTTCTGATCCCACCGGTGACTGGAGCATACTGATACGCTCAATTTGATTCATAGCCGGGCTATAATAATGATGATGAGGGTAAGGTACAACACAAATGAGGAGACGAACACAAGACAAGAGGGAAATCGAGAACCGAATAGAGAGGAAGACTCAACTAAATAAAGACCTATAATTTCACCCCCGAGGTGACCCAAATGTTAGGCAAATACGCGTCATCAGAATTTGTCTAGTATGCACTTGCAGAAATTCCGATGAAGTGTATTCGACGGTCTAAAGCATATGATATCGAAACCCTCGATATCTACATCCCGACTCTCGAGGTAAGAAATAACGAATGAAGATACTTATATAAAAAGACGGCAAACTACGTTCCGAATTTCAACGCCGGCGTCACGTGTTATTTTGTAGGTGATCTGTGCAAGTATCATTTTCAAAATCCAGGGCTGGGTTTACAACGATAATGATGAGTGCTAAGTACAAAACAAATGAGGGGAAATATAGAGCGACAGAACAAGACGAGCAGTACAACACAAGAATGAAATAGAGAACAAGATAGAGAAGAAGCAAAAGAAGGGAAGAGACAGATAAGTAGATAGATCTTGCACCCCGTGTATATCGATGCATCCTGGGGTAGATATAACCCTTTCCCGGCACCACATACACAACCCCGTCATCCACCCCGTTCTAATAATCCAATTTACTCACCCTCACTAACACGACCATTCAGCTCCGCTGTGCCGCACTCACCCGTCCCCAGCTCCCCTCACTACTCCCCTCATTACTACTATCCTCACTGTCAAAATCACTCCCCTCATCAAAATCAGAAAACGGATTATGCAAACGCGCATTTCCGCGACGCGATGCTGACATCTCCCCATCTGCGTCTGATGCCTCGCCAAATGACAAAAACTCATCCTCGCTTGTTATCGAGGGTGACAACGAGGTCGCAGCAGCCGCGAGGGACGCACGCTGCTCAGGCGGGGAGAGGCGTACCTCACCGATGTGCACGGGTGGGGACACTAGGTCAAATGGTGAGCCAGAGCGGCTGCCACTGCTCCCAAGGCTCATGACGTCGGAGCTAGGGGAGGAGAGGGCGGTTTGTGAGGAAGGTGGGGAGAGAAGCACTGGCGGAGTGAGCGCGGCGGGATAGCGTTCTGAGAGTGATTCTACAACACTGATGTTTGAGCTCATATCCTGGTGCATACTTGCGGTGACATCACTGTTGATATTTATGTTGACATGTTGGCCCTCGACATCAACGTCCACACGCCTGCCCTGCACATCCACGCTGATACGCGAACCCGAGCTCGAGTGTCGCTGAGAAGACCTGCTCGACGGTGCGCGGGAGCGCACGGGCGTGCGCACAACCGGGGAGAATGGACGATCGGAGTAAGCGGCGCTCGTGCGGGGGGTATCAGGGAAGATGGGACCGAATGGCGGACTGGGGTGTGCGAAGGACGATGGGGAAGGTGGGGCAAAAATTATAGTAGTGTTACCCTCGAGCTCGCCATCGCTAGTGGTGCCTGAGGAGGCACGAGAGTGGGTGCGGGTAGGCGTGTGAGTGGACACAGAGCGGGTTCCTGTGAAAGGGGAGGAAACGTTGGAGATGACATGAGTGGGAGCGAGCGGAGTGTGCGTGAGGGATGTGAAGGACTATTCATATTGGATCAGCATTCGGAAGGGTACAGAACGATGGAAAGTGGAAGACACACCTCGTCTATGGTGGTAGATATACTCCCTTCATCTGTGTCTGGGATTACTCTACCTCTCCGCCTCAGGCCCGTGCTTGTAGCAGTGCGATGAACGTCGTTCCGCCATTCATCAAGGTTGAGGCCGTCTAGTTCGATGGAATCTCCTTGTGTCACAGAGGTCCTTTTCCTCGGAGCAACACCGCTGGGGCCTGGTTCTCCATCTCCAGACCTTCTGGTGGCTGGCACAGGAACAGGACCTCTGCGTCGAGCACGTTCGTTTGCCCGAGCACGACGTTCATCCACCCAACGCTCAATAGCAGGGGCGATGTGGGGTTCGAAGACGAACTGGAGAGTAGATTAGAGGGGTATTTTCGAAGCGGGTGAGGACGGAAAGGAATGTTTTGGATAGGCATAAAAAAGAAAGTCACCTCTTTAAAAGCAAGAACAGCAGCGACACTTGCGATAGCCGCAACGACGTACACCGCTACTGGCGCTGGCATCGTGATCGATTCGATCAGTAACTGACTACTAGTCTGTGGGAGGTTGATTCAGAGTGCTAGGGGTCAGTAACTAATTCTAGTCAGTTGGATGTGCTGGATGATTTTGGTGTTGTTGAGGAGGTTCGTTGACGTCGTCAATGGCGATGAGGATGAGCAGGAGGAGGTAGGACGAGTCGTTGCTCGCTGTGGTCAAGCTGTGGTCGATCGCAGTAAGCAAGCCTAGAAAAGCGCCCGTTCCGCTTGCCCAATCAAGTTCTTATTCACCCGAAGCCCGGCCGGCTCCTTCCGGATTTAACCTCGCTGCTGCAATGCTTTTGTCAAGTGACTCTCGAACTCCCACTGCTGTCCACCCTCTTCTCAATCACCTTGCTGTTCGAAATAATTGTCAAACCACGGGGCCCGGGTTGCGACTTCAAGAGGTAATTTGTGGTTCTTTCATATACCGTATCTTTGTGATGGGTTTGGATCAGATAGAACTTGAGACGTAACACTGCCGTTGACGGTTGTTCTCTGTGGAACTCTCGTCGACTGATCGAGTGTCTTTAAAATTTCTGGCGCCTCTCCATGCACTTTGATCTTCGGTAGACATTAAGCGCGGAAGCAGCTTAAAGGATATCGATAGGCACGGATCAACATGGCTGTGCCGATTCCCGAAGGAAGGTGTTGTTTCGTTGGTGGCGTGGACCTGAATCCTCCCCATTCGCGGAACGGCTCTTGCACTCCCTTTGCAGGCTACCGTTCGCATGTAATTTTCATTGGTGAGTTCTCTGGTTCCTCGAGGCATTCACGCCATTACTAACGTTTCAATAAGGTCGATAGTCTTGTAAATCGCTACTGGTTCCGCGCATGTCGGTTTGATCTTTTGCTGTAGTGGACAAAAATTCGGCTTTGGATGCGGAACGCATTACTAGCTGGTCACATCCAGAGGCATGCGCGTATCTTGCTTTGTCAACAGTTCGAACTGCCGTCCCCTTGATAGTATTTTTTCATATGCTTGGCCAGTAGGTGTGTTGCGCCACCTTTGCCTTTCAGCCGTCCCGACAATATTGTGATCATTGGCAGGTACCGCCTTAGTGGCACGATATTCATATCTGTTTTCGAAAACCCTCGGAAGGGGAAAATGTCTATTTATGTCGCCTCTCGCCGCCACAAAAACACTAGCACCGCTTACGCGAGCTATTCACCTTCCATTGGCTTTTTTTCCATTGTCGTCCTAAGGCCGGCAAGCTGTCGTCGACACCTAGATGGTGCGTGTGCGAGATCATTCAACGAACACATACTAATAACAACCTTTCCTACGTCAGCTCTACCGAAATGGCCACTACCGCTTTTCTATGTCTCAAGGTCGCAGATGCGTTATATGTGAGACCTCGAGGCATATATCAGCTTCAAATCTCATAACACTCAGGTAAGCGCAGTCAGTTTTCAACAATCGTTTCATCGTGTTTGGTGTCCTTGGTCGCCACCCAAGGATAGCAATAGTGTCGCGTTCAATGCCGCAATCCACGTCATTCATGCTGTTTTCCCGGCTTTCATTCGACTCGCCACGAATCCATTGGACCACCCGCCGAATGGTACGTGTCGTCACCTCTCAGTACCTCTCCCGATGAGTCACCATTTAGCGGGCCTTGTCTAATGAAACCTATGGGTGTCGTCCTAGGCCGCCACCAAGAGCCAGAGTCACGAAGGTATAAAAATCCAGCGCAATGGTGAGCAATTCCCTCACCCCACAAAGCATCACCCTAAACCAACCAGCACATCGTACATCCCGCTCCATCTCGCAAACCTCACTATGTGCCTCACAAGAAAGTGTCTCGAACATTGCGATAGGTGCGGGTGGGACAGGCCCATGGGATTTCACCAGACCGATATATGCAACGCCCGGCAGCTCTGCAACATCGCGAATGATAGGAGCAACCCGGAGTACAGCCGCGTTCCTCATTCACAGAGCGATATTGCTAGGTACAACAGGGATTGCCGCGAGAGGAGCAGTACAGTAGATTTCCTATGGAGCCATGTGGAATCTTGTGCTCATTGCCCGCGGTGTTCCACACTTTCGTACTTTCGTTTGATGCGACTTAATTAGGATGTCCGCATTTCGTATGTATGGAGGCAACAACTCGGTTTTATTCATTTACACATGTTCAAGTTGTTCATTTTAATAATCAAGTTTTATTCCAATGGTTGTGTGATGCAAAGGATCCTTCTTTCATACTGCATGAGTTTGGGCATAATTCAAGGGTTAAGTTTTAAGGGATAAGGACAGACTAGCAGCCGTATTTGTTTGTTCCAACCTCCAGGGTCTGAATCAACTAGATTATCAGTTGCTCACTCCATGCACGCCTGCTTGCTCATTCCAGAGATCCTAACATAGGTTAGGTTAGTAGGGTTGGAACCCTTCATACGACGTCCATGCATATGTGCATGTCTGGTCGGAAAGATTTTCTTGCATCATACGGCCATTGTAACAAGAGCCTTAATTATATTTACAACTTGAACATATACAAGTGACTCAACCCGAGCGCTCGCTACCCCCATACGAAATGTGAACTATCAACCCGATGCTACCTCTCGAGAAGTAGTGAAGGGAGCTGGGGACGGGTGAGTGCGGCACAGCGGAGCTGAATGGTCGTGTTCGTGAGGGTGAGTAAGTTGGATTATTAGAACGGGGTGGATGATGGGGTTGTGTATGTGGTGCCGGGAAAGGGTTGTATCTACCCCAGGATGCATCGATATACACGGGGTGCAAGATCTATCTACTTATCTATCTCTTCCCTTCTTTTGTTTTTTCTCTATCTTGTTCTCTATTTCGTTGTACTGCTCGTCTTGTTCTGTCGCTCTGTATTTCCCCTCATTTGTGTTGTACTTAGCACTCATCATTATCGTTGTAAACCCAGCCATTGATTTTGAAAGTGATACTTGCACAGATCACCTACAAAATAACACGTGACGCGGCGTTGAAATTCAGAACGTACTTTGCCGTCTTTTTATATAATCTTCATTCGTTATTTCTTCTTACCTCGAGAGTCAGGATGCATCGAGGTGTTTCGATATCATAAGCTTTAGACCGCCAAATACACTTCATCGGAATTTCTGCAAGTGCATTATCTGGACAAATTCTGATGACGCGTATTGGCCTAACATTTGGGTTACCTCGGGGGTGAAATTATAGGTCTTTATTTAGTTGAGTCTTCCCGAGCTTCCTCTCCATTCGGTTCTCGATTTCCCTCTTGTCTTGTGTTCGTCTCCTCATTTGCGTTGTACCTTACCCTCATCGTCATTATTATAGCCCGGCTATGATCAAATTGAGCGTATCAGTATGCTCCAGTCACCGGTGGGATCAGAACCGTTCCGCTTGGACGTTGACAGTACGGTAAATCGGTTCTCCTGCACTTGTTTTTCTCTCAACCATGGGTGGACCAGTGACGAGCCGACTACCGTCAGTGACCGACGCGACTACCTAAGATGTGCATGGCTAAAGTGGTGCCGCTGTGATACTTGAAAATGTGTTGGTCACCCAGTGAGGTATTCATGATGGTGCGCTCCCATTGTAAAAAGCTGCTTTGAGTCTTTGCGCTCTCAGTCCTAGCTTCATCCTGCCTTTTTTTACTCTTTCCATACCCAGCTTGGTCTACCCTCGTATTTCTGGGATAGTATTTTTTCATATGCTTGGCTAGTAGGTGTGTTGCGCCACCTTTGCCTTTTAGTCGTCCCGACAATATTGTGATCATTGGCAGGTACCGCCTTAGTGGCACGACATTCATATCTGTTTTCGAACACCCTCGGAAGGGGGAAATGTCTATTGATGTCGCCTCTCGCCGCCACAAAAACACTAGCACCGCTTACGCGAGCTATTCACCTTCCATTGGCTTTTTTTTTTCCATTGTCGTCCTAGTGCCGGCAAGCTGTCGTCGACACCTAGATGGTACATGTGCGAGATCATTCACGATACACGTACCAATAACGACCTTTCCCATGTCAGCACTACCGAAATGATCACTACCGCTTTTCTATGTTTCAAGGTCGCAGATGCGTTATATGTGAGACCTCGAGGCATATATCAGCTTCAAATCTCATAACACTCAGGTAAGCGCAGTCAGTTTTCAACAATCGTTTCATCGTGTTTGGTGTCCTTGGCCGCCACCCAAGGATAGCAATGGTGTCGCGTTCCGTGCCGCAATCCACGTCATTCATGCTGTTTTCCCGGCTATCATTCGACTCGCCAGGAATCCATTGGACCACCCGCCGAATGGTACGCGTTGTCACCTCTCAGTACCTCTCCCGATGAGTCACCATTTAGCGGACCTTGTCCAATGAAACCTGTGGGTGTCGTCCTAGGCCGCCACCAAGAGCCACGAAGGTATAAAAATCTAGCGCGATGGTGAGCAATTCCCTTACCTCACAAAGCATCAGTCTAAGCCAACCACTACATCGTCCATCCCTCTTTGTCTCACAAATCTCATTATGTGTCTCACAAGAAATTGCCTGGAACGTTGCAATAGCTGCGGATGGGACAGGCGGACAGGATCTTACCAGACTGACATATGCAATGCTCGGCAGCTTTGCAACATTGCGAATAATGGGAGCAACCCGGAGTACAGTCGCGTTCCTCATTCACGGAGCGATATTGCTAAGTATAACAGGATTTGCGCCGAGAGGAGCAGTACAGTGGATTTCCTATGGAGACATGTGGGATCTTGTGTTCATTGCCCGCGGTGAGGGCATGCCGGTTTCTGATAGCGGAAGATTTTCTCAATAGGCAGCCTTTCCACATTTTCGTACTTTCGTTTGATGCGACTGGATTAGGATGTCCACATTTTGTATGTATGGAGGCAACAACTCGGTTTGATTCGTTTACACATGTTCAAGTTGTTTATTTTAATAATCAAACTTTATTCCAACGGTTGTGTGATGCAAAGGATCCTTCTTTCATGCTGCATGAGTTTGAGCATAATTCAAGGGTTAAGTTTTAAGGGATAAGAATAGACTAGCAGCCGTATTTATTTATTCCAACTTCCAGGGTCTGAATCAGCCAGATTATCAGTTGTTCACTCCATGCACGCCTGCTTGCTCATTCCAGAGATCCTAACATAAATCTTCTTTGTTTATGTCTCCAGCATTGACAGGCATTTACATTATTGGGATCGCTCCTCTCAAGCTAATCAAGGAGTCGCGCGACATTCTCTAGCGGCTCTCTCTCGTGTCTGCCGTTCCTTCAAAGAGATAGCTTTGGACGTGCTATGATCCGAACTGGATAATCTGGAGCCGCTTTTCACTTGTCTTCTACGAGATATATGGGCCATGGTTAGTGATCAGAAGATTGTACGTCCAGGTTCTACCCGCTGTCTGGAGTGCGATGACAACCCATTGTGCTAACTGCTTTCATTATATCACTGTCAGCTCATACAGAGGCCTCTAACCACGGCAGATTGGTTGGTCTTTGAACGATACGCATCTCAGGTGCGAGTTCTGGGACACAGGAATTCAGATCTTTTCGGACGCATAGATGCGGAGTTCGTCTGTGTCGTAATAGGCTTTTCTTCACAGTCATTGTTAGTGCCAAATCTTCGAGTGCTCTGCTGTGGCAGTTGTCCTCGTGACCTCCATTCATGCATGCGTTACCTCCTGGGTCCTGACCTCATCTGTCTCCGTTTGGCATCAACCAAACAAGATTTTTGGACGAACATCGTGTCCTCTGTGTTATTAGGTCTCAACAGGTGATCACCACGACCAGAAGCCGTTGAACTATATGTGATATCTCCTCAAGTTGGCGAACTTATTCTTTCTGGACTCCCACATCTCCGGAGGGTATGGCTTACCTTGCTCAGCGAAAATGCTCTGTCCTTTCTATCTTGTCACGTTGACCTGTTTATCATGGTTATGACGCCTTTCGCCTGCGGCAAGCTCCAAATTCATAACCCTTCCCTGAAAACCTATTCATTTACTCGTCCACCTTGACCTTGATTGGCCATATGGTAGAAGGATGGGATGTTCGATTCAGATTGGTGGAACTCGCGTACCGCAATCCTGAAACTGTGCTTGCCGTCTAACGCGCCCTGCGCAAGTTAGACAATCATCTACTTTGGGATGGTCTGCAGCATATCCTGCTGCGTGGAACCAAGAGTGACGATCATGTCGACTACGCATTCACCCTCCGTACACTCACTCCCCTCATGCGCTTCTCCGGTCTCAAAGAAGTGTCTCACATCGTTTTGTATGTCATGGATTGACGATGATGCGCTTGGGTCCGTTGTCAAATCCTGGTCACTCCTCCAGTGGCTTGATCTTGGAACCGCATATTTCTGGCAGACACGACCCAGGATCACTTTTCGGGGCCTTGTGACTTTACTATCATCTTACCCCAATCTTACGACGCTTGGCTTGATATTTGACGCCACGAATGTAGATCCGCCTACGGCTGAGAAGCCGGGAGGTGGGGTTTACAACACACATATCACCAGCTTTTGTGTCGGATGCTCTTCGATCGAACTACCACCGCCGGTCGCGATCGCACTTTCAGTGATCTTACCGTGCTTGAGAAAGACCAGTGTCAAGTTCGAGACACCGGGGGGTCCTGACCGAGATGCACGGGAGGCTAAGTGGAACGAGGTATCGGAGTGCATTAGAGTCTATACCTTGATCAGGAAACAGGAGGATTTAACGTCAAGAGACTCATGCCTCATGTTGGGCCATGCGAGTCATTTGGGTCTTGATATGTTTCTCTCGCATCGTGCAAGCATGTCACTTGATCGCTATCGCTGGCAACCTCTCACCCACTCAGCTGTTCAGCAGGCGTTGTATCATCCCCACAAACTAATTGTGCCGATTCCCGAAGAAAGGCGCGTTATTTCTGAAACTGCTCCTGCGCACACCCCCATTTCAGGTTGCGGTCCGCATGCCATTTTTCTTCCAGTAAGTCCTCTGGCTCCTCAAGTGCGTTCACACCATTACGTTTGAACTTTCAACAAGGTCGATAATCGGGTAAATTACTGGTGGATCCGTGCATGTCGGCTTAACCTTTTGCTGTGGCGGATCAAAGCCTCGCTCTAGATGCATCGCTAGCTGTTCACATCCAGAGTCGTGTGCATGTCTTGCTTTGTCGGCAGTTCAAGCTGCCATTGGCTAGTAGGTGTATTGCGCCACATTAATATTTGATTTTCAGTTGTCCCGAATACTATTATGATCATTGACAGGTACCGCCTTAATGGCACGTTTCCATTTTCATTTTCAAACACTCTTGGAGGGGGGTTATGTCTATGTCGCCCCTCACCACCACAAAAACACCAGCACCGCTTAGGGGGGCTGTTCACCTTTCATTGTTTTTTTCTCCCATTGTCGTCCTAATTGCTGAAAGGTTGTAGGCGGTATGCTGTCGTCGACATAGATTCTACATTGGTAACACTTCCGAAATCATTCAACGACACACGTACTAATAACGACCTTTCCTATGTCAGCACCACCGTCTTGAGCATGTCCAAATTGATTTTCTATGCACCAAGGTCTTAAATGCAGTGCCGTACTGCATGTGAACCTTCGAGGAATACATTCTCCAAGTCACATAACTTTCAGGTAAGCACAGTCAGTTTTCAACAATCGTTTCATCGTGTTTGGTGTCCTTGACCGCCACCCAAGGATAGCAATGGTGTCGCGTTCCGTGCCGCAGTCCACGTCATTCATGCTGTTTTCCCGGCTGTCATTCGACTCGCCACGAATCCATTGGACCACCCGCCGAATGGTACGCGTCGTCACCTCTCAGTACCTCTCCCGATGAGTCACCATTTAGCGGGCCTTGTCCAATGAAATCTATGGGTGTCGTCCTAGGCCGCCACCAAGAGCCACGAAGGTATAAAAATCCAGCGCAATGATGAGCAATTCCCTCACCCCACAAAGCATCACCCCAAACCAATCAGCACATCGTACATCCCGCTCCATCTCGCAAACCTTACTATGTGCCTCACAAGAAAGTGTCTCGAACATTGCAATAAGTGCGGGTGGGACAAGCCCACGGGATTTCACCAGACCGATATGTGCAACGCCCGGCAGCTCTGCGACATCGCGAATGATAAGAGCAACCCGGAGTACAGCCGCATTCCTCATTCACGGAGCGATATTGCTAGGTACAACAGAATTTGCGTCGAGAGGACCAGTACAGTGGATTTCATATGGAATTGTGTGGGATCTTGTGCTCGTTGCCAGTGGTGAGGGCATATCAGTGTCTGACAGTGACATCGGAAGAACTTCTCGAGAGGTAGCTTCGGGTTGAGTCACTTGTATATGTTCAAGTTGTAAATATAATGAAGGCTCTTGTTCCAATGGCCGTATGATGCAAGAAAATATTTCTGACCAGACATGCACATATGCATGGACGTCGTATGAAGGGTTCCGCTAGACAAAATGAGACAAATAACATATGTTCAACTAAGAAGTATAATTCTCGAGCTGGAAAACTAACACTACCTCGCAGACGCGAAATCGCTATCAACTTGAAGACTCCAGTTGATGATCCGACCTCAGGCTGTTGCCGCAACTACGTTGAATCATTCTACGGCCTGCCCTCTTCTATAAGCCTAATCCTTGCATGCTCAGGCCCGTCTCTGATGGAACCACTTGATCACTAACTGGGAGCAGAATTTCAGCAGATCGTTTCGGATAACTCAGGCTCGATGTCAGCTATAAAATAAGCTCAAATATACACTGAACGTCACGTTGCATCACCTCCACAAATTAATTGCCGGAATATTATTGATACGGCCTAAGAGGATCGGTTTCACCAACTGCGATTGATGGTAAAAGGCTAGGAACTCACTCACCTCGGCAATACCGCCAGTGTTGTCCGTGTGTCATGCGGCTCAAATCAAGCTCAGCACGTCCTCTGGGTATGACCAACGGAGTCCGAGGACTGTAAAAAATGCCTGTCGGGATTCGGGAAGCGGTGGTACCCAGAATAGGAGCTGACGATTGAGTTTTACCATCCGAATCCGTCAGCTCCTGACAAAAAGGAGGTCGACCTGGGATCATCATGGGAAGTGCCTTAAATGAGCTCAGCAACATTGTACCGCGCATGGGTCGAACTGGATGAGAAGCAAATGACGCGAGTGTTCCAGGTACTCGTTGACATGGCAGTTGCGGGGTGCATGGTGTGACGTCTGTCTGAGGGGAATGTTTATTTAGCGTATTCCTGTGTTGGCTGCCCCATTGCTGCGTCTCACAGCCGGATAGTGCCATTTACTGAACCAGACACGAGACGTGTCGCGTTCGATGAGAACGAGACTGACTGGACTGAGTCAGCATGCCCCCATAAGGGCTGACCAAATAGCTGCTCCTTCGCTGCGTCCCACAGCCGGATGGTCTTATCCAACGAACTAGACACTATGCGAGCGCCGTTGTGCGAGAAGGAGACTGACTGAACGGAATCAGTGTGCCCCTGCAAGGGCGTCTAAATGGCTGTCCCGTCGCTGCATCCCACAGCCTGACTGTCTTATCCTTCGAACCAGACGTGATGAGAGTCCCATTCGGTGAGAATGAGACTGACTGGACTGAACCAGTATGCCCCCGCAAGGGCTGACCGTATTGCTGCTCCATGACTGCATTCCACAGCCGGAGAGTCTTATCCTTCGAACCCAATACGATGCAAGCGCCATTCGGCGAGAACGAGACACACTGGACAGCACCAAAATGCCCCAGAAGCTCGCCCAATAGCTGTCCCTGACGCTACGTCCAACAGCTGGATAGTCTGACCCAATGAACCAGACACTACGAGTGCCATCTGGCGAGGAAGAGAGTGACAGAACGGAATCAGTGTGTCCCCCGCAAGGGCTGACTGAATGATCTTCCCGTCGCTGCGCACCACAGCAGGATAATTGCATCCAAGGAACCGGACGCGATGAGAGACCCATCCGGCGAGAACAGGACCGACTGAATCCAAGAAATGTGCCTTCGTATTGGATGGCCGAATGGCCGCCCGGTCACTGCATCTCACAGCCGGACAGTCATGTCTATCGAACCAGAGACAATACAAGTCCTATCTGGTGAGAATGAGACTGAAAAAACTCTACTAGTGTGCTCCAGGGAGGGCCCTGTGAATGGCTGCCCCGTCGCTGTATCCCGCAGCCGGGAAGTTTTATCCGTCGAACCAGACACGATGCGGGACCCATCCGGCGAGAACGAGGCTGACTGAATCCAACCAGTGTGCCCCTGCAAGGGCTGCCCACATGGTTGTCCGTTGCTGCATCCCACAGCCGGACAGTCTTGTCCCATGACCCAGAGACAACGCGAGCGCCATTCGGCGAGGATGAGACTGACTTAACCACACTAGTGTGCCCCAGTATGGACCCACCCAATGGCTGCCACGTCGCTGCATTCCACAATCCGACAGTGTTATCCCATGAACCAGACGCAATTCGAGCGCCATCCGGCGAAAACAAGACTGAACAAACCCAATGAGTGTGTCCTAGCAAAGGTGCACCCATAGCTACCCCGTCGCTGTGTTCCCCAGGCGGAGAGTGTTATCTTCGGAACCAGACACGATGCGAGCCCCGTCTGGTGAGAACGAGACTGAACAGACCCCACGAGAGTGCCCCAGCAAAGGCCTCTTGAGTCTTCGCAGACTTTAGATTTTGCCGCAGCTTCGAGTTTCCTGATGCACTCCATCTCTTCAACTACAAGCTAGTTCACACTCAGTGACTCCCCAGTCTCCCTCGTCGTCGAGTAAGCCACATCAAGAACAACGGCAAACGTGTGCATTGCGATACTGCCGGTGTATCACGAGAACGTCGAGCATACAACTTCGAAGGTCGAGGTTGGTCCTGCGGTGTTGTTGATACAGCAACTTCAAATTATATCTTTTCGCGGTCATCTCCAACAAGCCACTTAATATTGACTCGCCCGAGGGGCACATCCTGGAAGCAACATTTTACTATTATTAGGACAATATGGCGAACTCCAACTGAGACTTGATATGTTGTTTGACTTACTAGTTATCGCACAGAAAAAACCTTGCCGACTTCGAATTTTCAGATGTCCATCCTCGATGAGTTCTTGAGAATGGAGGTAAACGTCTCTTGTCAAGGTCAGTATGGGTCGGCTTGCCGCTGAAAGCGTCTTGCTCAGTGATGTTTCCCAAGCCCCGGTTCGCCGTGCCAATCCATCCTGCGCTGCTGATACGATCATGAGGCTCGTGACCATCAATAGAACATGAGTCGGATTGAATGGATTATCTCCATGCTCTTTGTGGGACTTTCACGGAGACCATCTCTCAACAAGGCGGTGGATGGCGAGACTGCGTAAAATTCACAGCAGGTTGCGACACATGAGTCGATGACAAGCGCTGTCAAAGATCACATTTAATACCGCAAAGTACAATGATTACTGAGGACAATACTTGACATGTACCTCCGTTGACTTTCTCTGCGCGTAACAGAACTCCAAGCCCGTGGCATTTGTATTAGACGCGTGAACCCTCCTGTTGCCTGACCAAGGCGAGAACACCAGAGTACTCCAACACCCTGTCCCACTCGGTCTGTCGCTCTTCTTAGTCCTCCAAATCAACGTCCATCCCATGATTCTGCTCAATGTTGGACTGTCTTGCGCACGGCAAGATCGCCGAGAGTGGAACCGCGACCGACAGTGGTTTTTCGAACGGAGAGCACCCGACGTCAAAGATGGTGATATGTGTGTTGCAAACCCCACGTCCTTGTTTTTCAGCCATAGGCGGGTCTACCTGTGTGGCGTCAAACACCAAACCAAGCTTCCTGAGATTGGGGCACGATGATAGTAAGGTGACAAGGCCCCGAAAGGTGATCTTAGGTTGTATCCGCCAGACATATTTGGTTCCAAACTCGAGGCGCTCGAGGCGGGGCCAACACTTGACGATAGAACCAAGTGCATCATCGAGCAATGACGTACACAATGTCGAAGGTCAACCTCTTTCAGACCGGAGAAGCGCATGAGGGGAGTGAATGTGTTGAGGGTGAGTACCTTGTCGATATGGTCACCAACATCCAGTGTGATGCATTCCAGGCCATCGAAAGGTATCCAGTCGGTCAGCTTGTGTAGGGCGCATTTGACGGAAAGGGTGGTTTCATTACTACTGTTGGATCCGAGTTGCAGCTCTCTGCATGGAAGAACCCAGTTTTCTATCATATTTCCGCTCAAGGCCATGAAATTGAACAAGTGGATGACTAACATGTCCAGGCTAGAGGGTACGAAATTCAGATTTGACACGTGAGCGAAAGGTCTCGTCAATCCACTATCTCCAATTCTCGAAGGCCAACGAGACGAGATAGGCAATACAACGCATTCTCGCTAAGCAAGGTAAGCGTCACCTTCTGCAGGTGCAGGAGCCCACTGACTTGAGGAGACGTCGCATGTATTTTGACGACCTTCAGTCGTGGTGAATGCCTACTAAGACCCGACAACACTGAAGACATGATGTCTGTCCAGAAACCTTCCTAGGCGCAGATATTCGAGGTTGGGACCCAGGAGGTAGCGCATACATGAATGAAGATCATGAGGACATTCTCTACAACAAAGGGCTTGAAGGTTGGGCACCAATTGTAACTGTAAAGAAAAACCCATCAGGGCAAAGACGAACCACGCACCTATACATCTGAAAGGGCATGATCCCATCTCGAACACCGACTAATCTGCTGCGGTTATAAATCTCCGCATAATCTGACAATAACATAATGAAAATGGTTAGCATGATGGACTAGAATCGCGCCTCAGATAGCGGGTAGGACATACAGGCTTCCGATCACTGTTCAGTCCATAAATCTCGTGGAAGACACGAGAAAAGCGGTTCCAAATTCTCTAGCTCGGCTTATAGAACATCCAAAGCCAGCATCTGTAAAGGAACGACAGACACGAGAGACCGGCTAGCCTAGAACTTCGTCGCGCATTACGTCAATAACAACGATAGTCGGTACCCCAGTCTTCTGTGGAGAAATGAACGTTAGAGAAAATGTGTTTTAGAATCTCAGAAATAAGCAGGCAGACGTGTGTGTAGTATTCTTCCGTGCGGTGGTGTGCTAAGTAGCTAAAAGATAACAGCGGGAGGGGCACAAGTCGACCAAGGCGCACGCGTTATGTTACTAGTACTGTTAGTACACGCGAGTAATTTGAGTGTACGTCATTGCTTATCTAACGATCCGAATAGCCATATCGATGTCAAAGTTGCAGTACTTGAAAAGCCTGAACGTGAACAATGAGTCTACTATGTAGTCGATCCTGACATGGACGGCGGCAGCACAGTGTGCCTGCCAATAATGTACAATCATCGTGTCTGAAAATTGATACTTTTGCTGCTTGAGTCTAAGCACTTTGCCGCCTTCGAGCTTCCCGACTCGAATGACTCCATGACCACCTCTGAAGTCTTCCACCGCCAGGTAGTTTGCATTGCATGTGAATGGAAGTAATGTCCCTCCGTCAAGGTACCTGAGGTATATCGCCTTGGACTGTTGAAGGCGCAGTCGCCCGTCGTGGCCGCCCATATTTGCTAGGTTTCGGCTCATGAGTCATGATTATCAGCAGCACACGACGAACAGTCATCTCCGTGTTTCATGGGGAATATCTTCATGATCATCTCGCCATCTATAGCCTTCCGGGGATTTGGCGACAGCTGCAGCACGGATTGGCCGCCCGTGCGTCAACGTCAAAGGGACGCATACAAAACTTCCGCACTTACTACATGATCTCCATCAAACTATAACGTCCAGTCTCCCTTGTCGTCGAGTAACCCGCATCAAGGAAGACCCAACGACGAACGTGTGTATTGCGATACTGCCAGTGTACCACGAAAACATCGGGCATACTGTTAATCTCGGTCCATTTTCGCAGCCATCTCCAGAAGGCTGCTTAATACTCTCGCCCGAGGGGCATATCCTAGGAGTAACAACCATCATCAGGACAATATTCGACCGATACTTGTCATGTTGTTTGACTTACTGGTTATCAGTTGCTGGGGACCCGCAATCCTGTCGCCCCTCTACTAGCACCATTATCTTGTTCGCTCGGCTGTCTCGGAGTTCCGAGCCCGACGCAGAACAGCTCCTTCGCAGATTATCAGCCCATCATAAGTAGCTAGCACTATTCCCAACTTGATCGTGCGAGTAATACTTGCCTGAAGGATCCGAAGAATACTTATCAGCGCCCATATTCCATAAAGATGCAAAGCAGTTGTGGCAGACCATGTATAGTAACCTCTCAGTATCAGTACGTACGAGCGGTCGTCGCAAGGATAAATCGTTTATGCAAGGAGAACAAGGTAGGCATGGGCATGAGGAGTATATTTGAAGCACAAACTAGAGCTTCCTGCCTTCTCATAAACGAGGCGGATAGTGCCTAAATGTCTGACCGTCGCGGATATCCCCAGTGCTTCCTTCAGACTGGAATAGACTGACTCGACCAATAGTGCGGTTATTCTTGATATCCGCCGGACGGGGGTATTTGGCCCTGATTAGCGGGGTATGAGCCGTAATCTGGCTGGGGTGAGAGGGGTGCGTTTCCTGATATAGCGGGTAAGTATCCGCCATGTGGGGGCTGGGTATTCCCTGAAGCAGGCGAGCCAAGAGGAGGATAGTTGTAATACTGTTGGTTCGGGGGTTGAGCGGGATAAGTGTTGTATGACTGAGAATATGGCCGAGAGTATGGCTGAGAAGCATTCTGAGGATAACTCCCATAGGCAGGGTATGGAGCTTGACCCCCGGGAATAGCAGAGTACTGAGCCATAGGCATGAGCGAGGTTGGGGCCGGCCCAGAAGCCTCACTTGCTGCTAGTGATGGAAGACGTCCATATTCCTTTTCCACGGATAGCTTGGATGATCGCGTACAAGACGATCGTGACGTAGTATATGAATACTGAAAGAAACATACTCTAGCAAACGGTAGTCATTCGTAAACTGGACACGTACCACAGAAGAAGATGATAAATGCAGCAGCCTCCATTATAGTGACTTCATAACAAATTTGGTTGGTTTGGGGATCTAGTAAGCAAGATTAATTAGCGGCAAGGATAAGACGCAGCTACCAAGAACTCACAGTTGGTGTAAATACATCCATCGGGGAAGTAGTAGGCCCTGCCCGCAACGGTACTAACAGCGGTAGCGACCCACGTCACCCAGAGGAAAACTGAAAGATAATCAGCTAACGAGGAACATTGCTCGACGATTGACGCTACAAAACCAGACGGCTTCGAATACAACCATGGACATGACCGCTCCGCGGCGCACACGACCCACAATCAAGCTGTCCGCACATATTTCAAACCCAACTCCATCACGAATTTATTTCAGTACCACTCACAATAGCGGAAGGGACAAGACAGTGAGACTGCCGGCTGCAAGCCCAAGAGCGGCAAAGGTCAAGTAGGCATTTTGATATCCAGCAACAAACGACTCGATGTGAGCGCAAATGCCAATGACAACAAGCGCTAATAATGAAGCAAAAGCTGGACAGTAAGATTAGGTTCAAGACATCACATCCAAACTACTGCACGACTCACAAAAAACAAAGGCACGGAGCCAAGGAAGGACAGCCATTTTTTTGCCTACTTTATGTCAAGGCCTCGTTCAAAATGGCAGAAAAACGCTGAACAGTGTGAGAGAGAAAGACAAGTGGGGTAGAGCAAAGGGTGACGAAAGTATTTGTCTTAACATTGACGTCGCTTGATCACAGGCGTGATTGATCGACGAATGGTATCAATTGGACCCTTGGTCTAAAAAGACTCATCATGCGAGTCACACCGCCTCATCGGAACACACGATGCCAAGACCACGAGATACGCCTCGCGTCCACTCACAAGTCATGCAAAAAGACATAAAACATTAAACAGTGAGAACAACTCGACAGCGGGCATCAGCGCGCTGAGTAATTGTGCGCAATATACCGAACTCACGTTCTATCAAGCGCCGGCGACGTCGTGATCCGTCGGTATTCATGACATTGACGAACGAAAATCGCACTACAAACGCACCCCGGCAACCTCCTCGACACACCCAAGGTTTCAGTCATGCCGAAAAAAATCAGCAGAAGCGCATGCGTGCGAGCGTGCAGTAGAATGCGAACCGGGTCTTTGGAGACATGGTGAGGTGAGATCTCACAACGAGGCCTCTTATTTAAGGACTAGCGCACGAATCAGACAGTGGATCGCTTACGGTGCAATTATATCGTTGCCTCCTCTAACGGTGGGGCGCTTGTACGTCATACTTCTGAGCGTCTCTAAAGTCAACGAACGCGAGGAGATCGACAGGGGGCTGAGATAAAGCTGTTGGAGCCAGGCACCTCGTCGACCTCCACTTGTTGGACCTCCAGCTAACCACGCTACGCCCCACACAGACCCTAGAAGCAACGGACAATAGTTCGGATGCACTGTTTGATGAGAAAGTCGCCGTTATGGCATGTCCAAGACACGCGGCAGGCAGTCGTTGCCAATAAGGTAACCTTCTAATCAGAAAGACAAAATTTCCATTCAGAGGAAGTAGTCTGCAGGAGGTCGTTTTGCTGGGATGGAGCGTACGTCCTACATGACACGACATGATCAGATCACAACGCTGGATGAAATGCAACATTTCATCCCCGCATAACGCCTTTGGGGGGATATCGAAAAGTAAGGAACTTACCGAGGGCGCATGTTGGAAAACTTTGTATTCTTGAGCAAGGCGTTCATCTAGCTCGAGAATCGAAGCTACATTACCACACCTGTCAAAAAAGCATGATATGTTACGAAAGCCGAACCGGAAGCAGGATATTAATTTGATCAGCACCCACCGATAGCAGTAATTGGGTGCGCTCCACACTGTCACTATCATGTTGTCGAACATGAGCTTGTATCCTTCCATGGCGAGTTGATGGGCCCGCGCGATGAGATCAATAGAGTTGTGGTGCGCGAAGGTTTTAGTAATATCGGCGCCGAAGAGAAAACCAGCGCCCCGCGGAGATAGGCCCCAGCCACTTATATCTGTGCAAAAGAAAGACGCGTTGTGAGGGATGTCGCCATTGAGCATGATTAAGGCATACACACCGTCTGGATCGGACCAAAGGAGGTCACACATTGGACCATCATGAGGAACCTCCTGTTTTCGATCAATAGCGCGTATCTACAGGAAGAACTAAGAACGCGTGCGCAAAACACGGAGGAGTGAGACATAATAGACGCACCTGGTCAATAGCCTGCAGGTTTGGACTGAGTCCGCCATGGACACAAAAAACTCTACCGTCCACGATCGCGCCTAACGCAAGATAGTCAAAGACCTCACAACACCATCTCCACACGTTGGTGCTGCCATATTTTCTCTGACACTCGTCATAGAACCCATAAACTTGTGTGATCTGCCGTGACTCGTGGTTGCCCCGGATTAACGTGATTCGTTCTGGATAGCGGACTTTGAGTGCCAGGAGGAGGAGAAACGTTTCGACACTGTAGAAGCCGCGATCCACGAAATCACCTGTGGCAACGGGACATTAAATATGGGACACCCGATTGAAACGCACCAGGACGCTATGCTTACCCATGAAAAGGTAGTTCGTTTCCGGGCAAAACCCGCCTACCTTGAATAATTCCATAAGATCAAAGAACTGCCCATGGATATCGCCGCAGATCTTTAATCAGAACAACAGAATAAGTATTAGCCTAGGAGAGTATTGAATTGATTCAAAATGTGTTCACCGTCACAGGAGAGTCCACGGCTTGAACGTTTGCTTCTTCTATCAAGATCTCACGGGCCTTGAAGCAGAGCCGTTTGACCTGTTCCTCGGATATGGGTTCACATCGTGTGAGCTGCTCTATTTGCCTGTAAGATCAACGCGAGAGAAGTTTTCAATGCGCAGTAGCGGTCGGACGTGTTTGGTGCGCATTGGATAACGCAATGCACAGAAGCCGGTTTTTGATCGCCAATTACACGTTGTTGCGGTACTTTGAGAACAAGCTGTGACGGTAAATGTGAATTCTCACCTGTCGAGATCGCTGGGCATTGCAACCTATCTGATTGACCGTTTGAGACGATGGACCTTCGACAACAAGTTGTAGTACGTGTAAACCGTGTAAATAACGTCACATCAAGGCACAGTACCGCCACATCAGATCCGCTCAGAATCCACGATGCAATTCTTATGAACAACATAATGTACAAAGTATGTATGCAGTTTAGATACGACAGGTATATGGTATTGTGCAGTAGCGATGTGTTACCAAGCAGTGCCGCAACTGTTGGAAAGGTGGCAGGAAATGCACGAAAGTAATCCATACACAAAACAGACCAGACACCGAAAGGAGAGAAAAATCCGGGTACGAGACAGCTATAGAATACGAATTCACAACGGCATACATGAAACAAGGGGGTCTTGGTGTTATACATAGCCCGTTGAAGGTCGCGCTCGCAGAGCGCTGTCGGCTTTCCAAGCGCTTTGGCCAAGCCCGACGTGCGGAGCGTGATACGGATATGAACTCTGTACCTGAGAATGATGCATGTATGACAGCGAGTTGGGCGGCGGTATTGGATGATGCATTTGAGGGATCCGAATGTCCCCGCGAAGTACCCTCTCGTCCTGAATCGGCGCTAGGACTGGTGGTGGCGAGTCGTACCTTGGTATGCTCGAGTGGTGCGACATAAGGGTGTGACCGTATGATCCATGAACGATACTGTTCTGTGTGTTCATGTAGCTGCTAGAATGGTCGGAGACAGGATCCAATATTCCAGAACCATTTTGGTATGACGCAACCTCATGTGAGTCATCCCGGTAGGCTGAGTAGTTTGGCGTAGATAGCTGAGAGTGCGGAGAGACGGAGTGTGGTGAATCCGGCGACGGGGTGCTGACTGCCTGATAATGCGTAGGATAGGAGTGTGGATGCGAGATGTGTGAAATCGACAGACGAGATGATACAGATGAAAGGTGGGCGGATGACTGCGGGGAGCCATCGTGAATATTATCCATGGGTGATTGATGAAGAGAGGAAGAATGAATACGCGACATGGATGACTTCTCGCCGTATGCCTGAGAATAGTCGTATTGATCATGCACAGCATGACCACTGGAAGGCTGCGGCACAGATGCCGTGACGTAGCCTGTAATTAGCTGGCGAAGACTCATCGTAGCTTGGCGTGCTGTCGCCGTAATGGGACTGTATCGGCGACGAGTGGGATGCGACTTGACCATTGGACATTGCCTGGGAATGGTGGTTGATCATTGATGGGAAGGAATTTTCGGGAGGTGTCGGGGATCTACTGGAGACACTTCCAGAATGCAAGCTATCGGAATATGATGATGGTACAGAAAAGGCTTGTACCAAAGGTGGGGGTGAGTCGGGTGCCGGGGGCATCGCGTGCTCGAGCGCCGGAGGTGGAGAGGGGGTGTCTGAGGAATTGCGTTCCGAGGAAATCATTGACGATGATGTCCGGCTATTTTTTGAGCCAGAACCGCTGACGCCTACGGCACGAGCAATTGCAGCACGCGTCGCGGAGCTTGAGCTCCGTCGTGAGCCCGGCGAGAGATGAATGCGGTAACTGTAGAAGAAAAGAAGAAGACGAAGCTCAGTTGTTGGCCATGAATTGCGGCGATAAAATGTGTTGAAGACAACATGGTGATGGTGAGTTATTCAAAATAGTGCAATTGCTGTGTGGCACGATAATACAACGAGAATAGACATAGCTGCCGGCGATAAAGAATATAACAAATGGTACTCACTGTTGTTGTAAATTGTCTTGCCTGGAGCAACGTGTTTCGCACCCAGGAAAAGGACACTTGTGATTGCGTTCACCTGTGTGAACGCGAAGGTGCCTTGCGAGGTGGCCACTGGTAGTGAAGCCACGGTCGCACGTCGGACAGACGTGCTTTTTCTTGCCATTAGCTGTCCCAGAAGACTGGGAAGACTGAGGAAGAGAAGAGGGGGCTGTAGGGGACTGGGGAGAATGACCTGCAGACTGACTAGAATCAGATAGATACTGAGTAGAGGAATATTGAGGAGAATAGATCTGAGAGCCAGGGGAATCATGCTTTGTTGAATTATGGCGGGGCATGTGGAGAAAATGATATATGCAGGGGTGTAGAGGAAACGGAGGATAGGATTGTAGATTGCGGAGGAACTGGAGAACAGGCTTTTGAGGAGAAGAAGGTGTGTCGAGGCAGTGACGCTGAAGAGGAAAATACGTAAATAACTAAAGTGAGTAGCGTACCAAATAAATGCATCTTATGTATATTTGATATTGAATTCTTGGTTTGGGGAGAGAGAACTTCAATTTATTTCAATTGAGGGCTACGTTTAGACTTTGGAATTGTCATTTCGTAAACTTGATAATATCTTGCTTACCCGTTTCTTCCGGAAGCGCATCCAAATAAAGAATACTCATTTCGGAGCGGAAGCAGTTTTTGTACAAAACCTCCGAGTTCACGAGGCTTTACTTCCACTCAGAACCACCTCAGCGTTAGCCCCCCAACCGACCTCACCTTACCTATTAATTCTATAATATGATGTGCTTCTATAAATACTAATTTATGCACTGGATTGTCCTCGATGTTTGCATGCTCAATGACGAGCAATCGTTCGTTCAAACATAAGGTTGAGTTCTGCCAGATCTGATAGTAAGACCGTGGAATATATTGACGCCTACGCCTGACATTTCTTCCTCGCCCACGTGAGATAATCTGATAAACTGTTTCGTTTTCGTCCAAACCAGCCGGCAGGCTATCACGTCTTTTCATTCTCCAGTTCTCGTATCTTTACGCGCAAAAAAAAATCCCTTTCACGCAATTCAATTTCCCTTCAAGGCACACTCTCACTTTTCGGGACCGTCCACAGTCTAGACACCCATTTTTGGTTTCGATCGCGATCAACCAATAACTGCTCAAGAAAACAGCCTGGTCAGCCTTCTCGTCATTTAACACACGATGATCGGTTAGGCTACGCCCAGAATTTAGTTGAGCGACCTCTCGCTCGGGTTGCCAGCTTGCACTTTTATTCGCCATGGATACTAATAATACAATGTACATCCAGGAATGTCAGGGAATTTTGTGGACACTCCGCTCATCTCCACAAAAAAAGTGTCATAGAAAATTGACATGTCAAGCTCAAGCTTGTCAAAAAGAACCAGATCGCCGTCCTATTCATTCAAAACTCGCTGACCTCTAAAACCATGGGGTTCCGTCAACGAGTTCAAAGCCCACAAAGACAAGGAAGGGATCATTAACATAATTCAATCGCAAAAGTAGTTAGTCGTCGATAGGTTGAGTGATCGTCACTGAAATTCTCTCACACCCACTTCATCTAGGTTCATCTCTGTCGAACGCCACAACTCGACTGCCTTCTCTCATAACAGGCGCCGAACTCAATGCTATTGACCCAACATACTGCAAGTGACAAAGAAGCTAGCCCAATTGATCAATCTTATGCTCGGTCCGCCCATCAGTCACCATGTCGGTCAACGACGTCCCGTTCACTCCCGTGCAGCTTCCGGATGGATCACGCATGTCAGAAGTCAGAAGCCCACAAACGTCACTTACCAGATCCGCGACCGTTAAGCATAAGATGAGAGTAACCCTGAAGGAGTTAACTTTCTTAACGTCCACCGTGCCTCGCACTGGTACAGGTCTCAAGACACTCGTATGACGGGAAATCATGCCGTTTAGAGCGGCTCGGGGACACTTGCGGACGCGCCAAATAACACCGGCCTGTCCCAATCACGTACGCAGTTCGCAATCTGGAACAAGCGTTATGTACATGTTCTATACCCACGCAGAGACAAATTGTGATGCCGCGCTCTGGGCATGACAGGGGCCCAGGCGAAGATGCTGCATAGCCTTGCAGTGCACTAAGTAAAAGGCAAAATGAATGGATCATGGTTAGCTCAAGCCCTGATGCCGGACTAGCACGTTGAACAATGACGGCGTTCAAGGGACCGATCCAGGGACTTACGTACCATTTCCGACGTTGTTGAGCGGAGCCGTTATGGGACCTGGTCAACAAACGACATATCGACTAAGTCTCTCATAACAGATCGTGACATACATACCTCATACGATGAAAATACCTTATTGCAATCAGACGTTTGACCAAAAACAACCTGGTCCCAGAAACTTCAACTTGACATCCAGAAAAAAAAAATGGCGGTGTCCGTACTATATGCCGAAAATCACAAAATAGCGGTTACTTTTCTTGACAGCGATGACCAGAGAAACGGTGACAGTCTAATATCACTCTGATAATAGGCCGTGACTTGTGAAAAAACGTCTTGGAGAGCTCCGTTAGAGACAAAGTCTTGGAACATATTAACTGTTTCATGGCTTCACTCACTATCTGATCGCCTGATGGATATCACTTGATAGCTTGACGTGGATTCCTTGGCGGCGCTTCATCGAAGCTAATGTCCTTGATGATAACAGATTAGAGCACTGGCCTCAACGTGCACTCACCAAATCCAATAACACAGAGCCAGCAGTCTCTCCACAAAATCTTCCGGAGAAACATTGCAGTTTTCTTATCTGATTGAGACACGACGGTTCGAAAAGACCGCTTTACCCCCAACCAACCTCCTGGGAGATAAGAACTTTGCTTCCAGTTCACCGCGAAGACGTACATGGAAAAAGTTCCCTTCGTACCCCCAATATGGTGATTATACTAAACTTTCGTTGACGTCGCGCAACGATGGGAGAAGGTTCCGAGTGAAATACCCATTTGGAGGCAAAGACTGGCATTGGCCGAGGCGCTAAAGTTTGTTGAATATTCTTCCACGGAAACTGAATTCAATTATAAACGGAGCCAGTAGTTGGGACGGGCGGTTGGCGCACGATCGAGTCGGCAGGAGGCTATGTTTTGATCTTCAGGGCAATAGAGTCGCTTGGCGCATCATGATGGCCCGGGGAATGCAAAAGTCGGGGTTTTGACTGAAAGTATTGCCGAATTATTGCATAGCGTAATCGTTTTCTCGAGACTTCCATAGTCTCATGACGGCAAGCACAGCTACAATCCACTACGAATTCTTCGTTTATTGTGACGTTACAAGAGCGATACCACCCTCGCAACCGCAACATTTAGCATCATACGTATCTTGTCATATAATCATGAAGATACATGTAAATCATATAACGGCCCACAGGAAGAAAGAGGAAGAAAGCTCAAGATCGTGGCATCGTATCAGCTCCCAATCGGCTTCCCCACCATTAAAGCCGTTGGTAAAAGCGTGCGGGGCTTCTTGTTTTGCATTACGATGCCAGATTGGCTCTCTCCCTACTAATATACCCACGCCGGCTTAGAATAGACGGACGGGTTTACCCATGGTGCTCTTGATATGCAACGACTGGACGTTTTGCCAGTTCTTCTTGAGAAGGGAAACGAGGAAGTTAATACCTACGACAGCGTGAGAGGCAGTTTGTGGTCTCGTGACAGTAAAAATTCTTACTCATCATGACATTGGCAAGGACCTGGTCGTCAGTCATATGGACGTGTCCAACGGCAACACCCAAGCAAAGGACCTTCTTGAGCTGAAACTTAATCGTCGATCGAACCTCATTGAGCTTGTTGGAAAGATCCTCAGCGTGAGAGATAGGAGTGGGGAACTTCCCAGCTGGGCGACGAAGTTTAAGTCATAAAATATCCCCGAATAAACATCAATTGATTTACCTTTAGAGAGGCCAGGGCCAAGAAGACGAGGGATCTGCTTGATCAAGGCTTCAGAGGCAAGGAAGGCGTCGTACTTCTTGGCGAGTTTCTTGACAAGTTTCTTGTTCTTGTTCAGTCTAGCGAAATGAAATCAGAAATGATACCAGAAAAGTGTGGAGCCTGTGCTCACTTTTTTAAATCATCGACCGACTTGTACTCAAGCTCGATTTGCTTGGCGCGGTCAATGTCCGCAGCATCAGCAAGAATACAGATGGACATGCGCGGGCGAGGGACATTAGGCAGTCTGATATATGATCAATCACCGCCTATCACGCATGCAGTGGCGGGCGGTACGCACTTGACGGTACCAGAGAAACGCTTGTCCTTTTGAGTATCGTAGTTCTTGAGACCAATCTGGAGTTCGATGGTCTCCACAAAGTTGCGTCTTTTCTCGCCATTGGCTTCAGCAATAAGGTCCTTGACGGAGCCCCGCACGCTTGACACTGATAGCTTGCTATGTGACAGTTAACAACGATAAAACGAGCGTGCTGGCAAACTTACGAGCTCATGCTTGATGATTTTGAGGGCGGGTGGGATGTTTTGGGTCTTGAGGATGATATGAACAAATAAGGTTCAGGTGGCGGAATACATATACAGTGTGACATGCATATGTAAGCAGAGCGCTCAATATGGCAAAGTGTGACAGTGGACATATTGAGCGCCTCGGCTCAGATCTGGCATGTCGACAAGGTCACAGCAATTGGCTTATTTGCACTGGGAACACTTATGCGCTCTACCCGCTCCTTCTAACCACCGACGTTAATATTCAATCAGTTATCTCTTTATTCTTTCGTTTGTTCGTTTGTATACCTACTTATACTGGTATGATTATCTTTTCATGCTCCATCTAGGTCTAACCGAATTATCCGCATTTCGCAGCGCATGACAGAACCTTGGCTTTTCCAGGGCGGACCACCGCTGTAAGTCGGGTTTCCGTTTGCAGCAGGCTAAAGTACTAAGCATAGTGAAGTTCTGATACCCCTGAATCCAATCTAGCGTCTCTTTCACCTCGAACTGCGCTGCTGTCGCCTCCCTATGAGAACGCGGAGCTAACTAGGCCACGCCGTGTCAGCGGCGCGCCAAATGACAAATTTCGTCACGAGAGAGAGCGTGTTCACGCAACTGCGAGTGCTCGCGACCTCTTACGGCTGCTGGTGAACGAAGAGTACGAATCGAAGCAGACTCGCAAAGTGCTCTATACTGCATTAGACAGGTTGGACGCCGAAAGTCGTCGCGCGGAAGAAGCGGAAGTGCAACTTGCCGAAACTTTGGAACGGACGAGGTCTATCAACGAGGCTCGCGTTTCTGCACAGCAGGAGGCTGCTCGAGCGCAGGAGGAACTGAGGCTCTACAAACTGCAGCTTGATAATGCGCAGAGAGAAATTCTCAGGGCTCAAGAAGTACTTGGAGTCATTGAGGCACAGAGGGATGACGCAGAGGCAGCGGCTGCTGACGCGCGCTCAAAGGCTCGAAGATTGAACGAAGAACGCTTGATTGAGCTCGCTAGGGAAGAGGGTCGCAGACTCGGGTATGAAGAGGGTATTCGTCGCGGTCGTAATATGGGTTACAGAGAAGGGCGCGTCACTGGTGTTGACGACGGTCGGTCACAGATGCGAGAAGCCGCTGCCTCTACCCTCGACAGGCTGCTGGACGCACGGGAAGAAGAAACTTCTGTAGGTTTGCCTGCTCAACCTGCACAAGTTGCACCCACCCCGGAAAGTCGAACCGCACCAGAAGTCCGTCGTATCTCATCACACGTCTCAACTTCACTGGATGCTCGTGGCTCTCGTTCCCGTCGTGATTCCGAATCTGATTCTGCCAGTCGAAGGAGTGTCCCGCGCGCTCCAGACCCCATAGTCATGCCTGTTATGGTTGAACACCCGCAGCCTGTACACCTTAGTTCCATGACAGCAACCACAACCCCTACTGTTACGAGTCAATCTTCTTGTTCGCGTCAGCCCCAACCCTGGCCAATGTCAGATCGCTCTTCAGCTCGGTCACCCTCAACTAGACCAGTCTCGGTACAAAATTCTGCTCCAAGTGTCCAGCACTCAGAATTCCGAGTCCCACCAGACGGCTACATACCAACCCTGGACAATGACCACCGAATCACTCTCCCTCCCCCGCACGAACTTCACCGCAACATATCTTCACCTTCACCGTCGCAACCCATCGCTGGGCCGTCCTCAGATTCGGTCAGAACGTTCGACTACGCCCCTCGCCGTTCCTCTCCGGAGTCGCAAACGTCGACGAAGGTATCTATGTCTCAATCCTCTAGCATATCAGCGCTCGATATTATCGGCCTACCCAACATGACGCAGCGCGACAAACGTCGGGAGCGCAACGGTCTGAGTGTCATCCACGAAGATGCAAGTGTTGCGGCCGACTATGAAACCGTGACTGGATCTGACGCAGGACACCATCACTATCGCAGCGAAAGACGCAGCGAAAGAGATAACGACAGCGAAGCTACCAGGCACTCGCGGAGAGACCCGTCAAAACAGAGGCTTGCTGACGAGCTGAGATGGTCTAACCCATCCGAGGCTGAGGAATGGCGTCGACATGGCGCAGACGAGGTTTGCTTTTGTTCTACGTGGAGTGCACTTTGAGTTGACCAAGTCCACAGACCCGCGCGCAAAGTTCTCATGGTCGCTCCCGTCCCCGCCCGGCGAATGTGACGACGCCCAACCCGCTGTCTCCCAATTGGAATGACGATAATACACCACTGCCTAGGCATCACCGCCATTCACGGACAGTATCCACTCCAAGTGAAAGAGACTCGAGTATATATGAACACAGAAGAGTTGTCTCATCGGACAGCTCTGTCCCTGAAATAACAATCCAACCCCCGGTAAGTACATTTCCCTCAGACAAAAACTAGAGCTAAGTCTTGATAGTCCCGTCCCCCCTCTGACGCGCCGTCAAGACGCGCGTCCATATCTGGGCTCCTCAGTCCCGATCATGCCAATCACCCGCTCCCTGTGCCTGTACCTAGTTCGCAACGCGCCCCACTTGTCCCTACCGTCCCTAACATTCCCGTTTCAGCGCCTCTCTCGTTGGTAGGGTCTATGTATGACGCACGACAGCTGCCAACCGGGTTTTCTGGGAACACCGGCGCACCGCCTCCAGGGGGACCTGTCATTCCGAATATGGATGGGAGAGAAGCGCCCTCGCGACGGAATTCGCCTTACGCGCCTGCCCAGCCTGAAGGTAGGCGATCGAAGACCCCCCAGTCTTACGTTGCCTCCCCAGTCCCTTCTGGCATTTCCTACCCCGCACCGCCTATTTCCAGGGAACCGACGCCAAACGCCTCCACAGAGCGCGAAGACCGTTCCTCTGCGCACGAACGCCGACCGAGTACAAGCCAGACGGCAGGAATGACGCCTGCTGCGCGTGCACGGTCGTTGCAATCAGGAGGAGGAGGTGGAGGGTCCTCGCGTTCGTCCAACAAACAACGATCGAATGCGTCGGTTAGCTCGCACCAGTCGTTTACACACTATGACCCAGGCGTGTACAATGACCCTGCGTATTTGTCGAGTAACGAGTCACTATTGGATCCTCGGACGGGCGCAAATACGACTGCGAACGCGGGTGGGTCGAGAAGGACCTCGTAGATACCTCTCACGCCTCCTTCGCTTTCGTATATGACTATGGGAACGACTGAATGATTTTATGTAGTATGTATGTTTTTCGTACTCTCGTCGAGCATGTTAATTATTATTGTATCACTCAATTACTGACATCGAGTAATTCATCGACCTGTAGGTCTATATATCTACTTACCAGTATGTTGTATTTGAATATGAACCAACCGGCCCCTAAACAAACCGCTTGCTACTCTACCATCATGCACTCTCTCCTTTGCCGTCTTCCTAAGAAACGTACCTGGCAAGTTTCTTTAAGCAAATTGAATCAACAAGTCACTGACTTTGCACGGACTGAGTTAGCCAAGACCTGGTGGCGCGTGGGCGGCCGTCGGCAAAAGCCCCTATAACTCACGCGTTCCATCGACTAACACAATGCCGAAGAGAGATCATTCATTTCATCAATCACCCCAAACCCAGAGCACGAGCTCTGCATATTCGAGCGCGTCGGCAGACACCTCAAACATTTTCCAGAGAACTCTACCATTGGTCTAAAGTGTAGGGAGAGACTAACCTCACACATGCACTCGACAACCTGGCTGACAGTCCCTTCGTGTCCTTCGTTCTGGACTTGCAGGTAGACTTGGCCGAATTGAAGCTACTCGCCAAAAAAGAGGATGCGGGGACATGGATGAGGCCTGACGTTGGAGTATTGCAAAAGCGTGCAACTCCTTTGCTATTCGGCAGGGGAGAGGAAACGGTCATGGACCCCTCTTACAGGCACGGAACCGAGCTCAAAGCGAATGAGCTTGTCATCGCTCTGCGATGGACGAAAGGATACAGGTCGCGATGTGATCATGAAGGTATCGTTAGTCATGATGAACTCTCGACAGCGATGTTCGTAGGCAAGGGAGTTGCTCTCAAGTTTCACAAGCTCGCCATATACGGCGAAGGAGGTCACTTTGACTGGCATCGTGATTCGACGCACAGCGATGCTCACCATGCAATGAGCATGGTGAGCATCGCTGGGAGCAGAGCTTATGCTAAGGCATCAAGGTGCAAGTGTCGATATGCATCCAACCAGTCCGGCAAGCCAGCCGTGGTTGCATTCCATACGGACACAGAGCACAAAGTCATGCCCGTAACCAAAGGAATACGAGTATGATGTCGAAGTCGTCGGGGAGCTGCCTCCAGAACAGGGACGTAGTTACCAAGCCTTGCATGATTCTGACACCTTTTGTTGGAAATTTGAATCCTACTTTAACACCTACCCGAATTTGGACCAGAAGTTGATCCAGGCGGTCGTTGATGAAATCAGAGAGTTGCACAAGGAAGATATCACTGTCGTCGCTTTCCCGCTTACTCACCTCTACCGCAAGGCGAATGCCAGGAAGGAATATGTGATTCGGCGCTTTTCGACGCCCTTGAGTGTCACTTCAATGTTGCCCTTCATTCCGTTCTTATCCGCGCTATTGATGAGGGCGATGAGTGGGACGGGAAGGAACGTTTCCTCGCATACAAGTATGAGTCGTCTAAAAGGAGGAAAGGGGAGTCCGATGCTGAAGGGCTTGATGTTGGCATGTTCGTGAAACATTTAAAGAGCGAAGAGCGATGATGTCCAGGGATGCTTTCCGTAGAAAAGAAATCTGTCGTCAAGTACCGTTCGAAATGGAGAAACTTACTGGTGGTGGACGTGACACGTTATGACCCAAATCCTGATGGTCTATAAAAAAGGGCAGCATGTTATCCTGACAACAGATTAATTTCTATGGTCTCACTCTGGGGCGCTGTCCTTTTGACCGTTCCGCAAGCAACTGGAAGGGTAGGAACAATGTCAAAGGTGCACCGAACACAGGAGAAGCGATACGACCAGATCGATCCATAATCTACGTTCAAGTCTAAAGAACATACCTTGACGTCAAGTACTTTGTGAGGCTATTTGAGTTATGGAGTCCAGGATCAGCAGATTGTCAACCTGCTTGGATGAGTCTTTCTATTTCACTGGCTAGTGATAAAACACACCTCCAACGAAGAGCGCGAAAAAGACGAGTCGCCAATGCAACATTTCAAGATAAAAGGATCGGTTGGTTTCTGGGACGAAGAACGAGCAATCAGTTGATCTGTACTAAGCTTCGTAAGCCTGTGAGCGGCTGCGATGAAAGATAGTGTTTGGATGATCGATATCAAACCGTAACCAAGATTTACAATTGGAAATTCCTCGGTAGCGTGCAGGATCAGATACGGTAGAAGTTGGGTAGAAGCCCCTTTAACTCATCTTCCACTACCATCACGATGTCTAAAAGAGACAGATAAATCACTCTAGAGCACGAACCCTCCATCTTCGGGCGTGTCCGCAAGCGTCTCGAAACCCTGCCCCGCACGATGGGGTACAGTGTGGAAACCGAGACTGACCTCACCTATGCACTTGATCACTTGGCCGGCAGTCCCTTCGTGTCTTTCATCATGGACTTAGCCGTAGGCCCAGCGGACTTGCACCTATTAATAAAAGGAGAGGATGCAGGTACAGCATGCAACCCCTTCGCCCTTTGGTAGGGGAGAGGAGACAGTCATGGACCCCTCCTACAGGAAAGGAACAGAGCTCAAAGCGGATGAGCTCGCCTTCACCCCGCAGGGACACCATGGAATAATCATGAACTCTCGAAGACCATGTTCGCAAGCAAGCAAGTCGTTTTCAAATTTTACAAGCTCGCCGTGTATGGCGAAGGAGGTCACTTTGACTGGCATCGCGACTTAACGCACGATGACGCCCACCATGGAACAGTTCTCATTGCACTCAACACCAAGTGGGAGGGAGGAGAGCTTATGCTGAAGCATAGAGGTGTTGAGGCAAGTGTTGATATGCACCCAACCGCGACCATCAACGAGTTCCGGCCAATCGTAGTTGCATTCTACACGGACACGGAACATAAAATCATGTCCGTGACGAACGGGTTCGCGCCTCGTACTCCAATATGATGTCGAAGTTATCAGGGACCCCCGTCCATCAGATGACTCGGAATATCCCACACAGCACAGTCCCTTGATAGAGACTGAGGATCGTTGGGAACGCATTGCATCCCATATCAGCGCTTATCCGAATTTTGATCCAAAGTTGATCCGGGCGGTCGTTGACGAAATCAAAAAGTTGCACAAAGAAGACATTGCCGTCGCCTTCCCGCTTGCCCGTCTCTCCTGCAAGGCGAGCGTCAAGAAGGAATACCTCGAGGGAAGTGACTCGGCGCTCTTAGATGCTCTTGAGAGTCACTTCCACATCGAGCTTCATCCTGTTATTATCCACTCTATTGGTAAGGGTGCTGATGATGGTGGGGAGGGCAGCTACCTCGCATACAAGTATACATCGTCTGAGGGTATGGAAGGTGCTGAAGAGGGGTACCGGAAGAAAAACCGTGACAGAGTCGACACGACTTCGTTTCATCTTCCACGTGCCTCTGCGATTGAGCAATTTCCTTGCAAGAGTGGGTGGAGCATGTTGGCAACCAGTCACAGGAAGGCGAGGCGAGGTATTTTGGCGCTGGCATGTTCGTGGAACTAACGAGCAATGAGTAATGGTATACAGGGATGATTTCCGTAGCATTGACCGTGGCGTGTAGCTTGTGCCGATTGGCCTTCCAGCTGCTTTCAAAAGAACAGGCAAAGATTAGGGACAGTGCCCTATGGCGAGACAGAGGAATCGATAGGGTCACATGCTGCCCTCCGAGTCAGTCTATCCATATAGCCTTCCTTTGAATCTTTATTGGCGAGAGGGAGACGATGAGTGCCTTGACAATCGCATTGAATTCACAGAAAACCATATTCCGAATGGTCCACAGCGCTAGGCTAGTGCTGGGTCACTGCATTGATTGTGGGGCGTTCAACGCGACTCAGATTCAAATGAATTAGAAATTTAGGACTTACATACAGTGACTGCGTGCAGGTGAGCCTCCGGTCTGGTCCTTCGATGCTTTTGAAAAGGATACTACAAGTGATGACGTACTTATAGCACGACGGACAACGCATTCGACATCAAGCTAACCTACCTGCCTTGACGTGGAAACCTGTTTTCATATTCAAGAATTTATCAGGAAGCGTGGACAAGAAAACGAGCGATGGGTAGTGTGAACAGGTAAAAACTACATTGCGGTTGAAGCTGAGAGATATTCATGGAGTCACTGATCGGGACCTCGGTTGAGAAGTTCGAAGAAGTCTGCCAAGACTTGGCAAGAGCGTCAATTTACAGACACGATGTCCGTACGTTGTTGGCAGGCACACTGTGCTGCTGCATCAGGAATTGACTAGTTGACTGCGAACTAGACGTCATAGTAAGTATGCTCACTAGGGTACGGACGATAAGTCATCCAACTGTTATTAACCTATGTTAAAAATCAAGTAGGATGCGTAGGGTTATTAACAAGCATGTTATTAACATGTTATTAACAGTCACGTGACCTAAAATTTGAAAATTTCGCTACAGCTACTACCAAAATTCGTCCCACTCGTTGTCCATGCCTTCTAGGTCAGCATCATCCTCCGTAGCATCACCTTGAGTGCTACACAGGCCGTTGATAGGACTTTCCTCGTGTTCATCAGACAAGGCCTTGGTGACAATTAGTGCGTGAAGGTTTGCATCTGCTTCAATGTCGAAGGCTGAATCCTCCGCCGGTTTAGCCGCTAGTGTCTCATCGAGCCAAGTGCCTTCTTCGTCTTCAAGGATTTCTTCCTGCTCATCTGTGCCCACAGATAGATAGCTGCCAGTGGTTTCGTGGCTTCGACGAGCAGCTGATTGTTTGGGTGAGGAAATGATGGAGTCAAGATCGCAGAATGAAATGTCTGGATGCTGTCGTTCAACCATTTTCTAAGGGGCATGAGTTATCAATACAGGCCACTGAATAAGACACTGACCTTTGGATCATACATATGCCATTGTCGAATCTGAGTCATGTCCACCAACGTCCGGACATGTTGACGGTTCCTGGCTGGTGTATTCATCCTCGTGAATACCGACATTGTTCGTTCCTCGGGCACAGATGAGGGCTTTATTGAATAAATTTTTTCTGCGATACACTGGAGATAAAGCTTGAGTTATGAGTAGTCAGGACTGGCTGAAACTCACAGCAAGTATGGAGCCTTCAGGTATCTTCGTCAAGTGAGTCCAGTATGAGAGGACGTCCTGACCAGCATCCATCATTGTGTCAAAAGGGTATTGTCCTTTCACATAGCGCTCGAACTGGCGAACGAAAGCTTCACGAACATCAGCAGCTGTTTGTCCTTTGAGTGTGGGGTTGTGCTGGGACTCATTAGGTTGATGTTTGGTGAGGAAGGCTTCCGCCTGTCGCCAGTTGCTTTGGACGTCCAAGAGAGTATAGGCTTGGTGCCAAAACGTCAGAATCCAGAATGGAAAAGGTTGTTCGATGTCGGCATGGGCATAGATAATAGACCGGCTACCACCCGATATTGCATGTTGCAACCCCTTCTAGGAGCTTGTGCAGAACCGCAAGCTGGGGAAGCGGCTGCGTGCGGAGATAATCGAGATATAAGCTGTCCTCAGGTGGGGAGTCAGTGCTAAAGTATTTGCACAATGGCGGAGCAGTGGTAATTGAAGCTGACGGGAGTGAGAATTGAAGGAATGACGAGACAGACAGATTCTTGTCTGGGAGAATAATAGATTGCACTGATACAGGAATAATGAGAATATCATCTGAGGCTTTTGTGTCGACGATGTCAGCCATTTCGAGTGCTCGACTGGTGCAAGAGGGAGGGAAAACAAGTTGAAAACTTCATTGCGAGACACTCGAGTCCCATGTCAGACAACAGCTTGCTTCTCTGCAAGATTTGCGTTGCAAACTTCTAAGTCAATGATCTGCGAGGAACAGCAGAAGGTCGGAAGGCGACTCACAAAGACTATGGGGGTCAATAGACTTATTAGCACCATGTCACCCCCCCACGGCCGTGTGCCTGTTATTAACATGTTAATAACATGTTAATAACACACCTTTCTTAGCAGTGTTATTAACAACCCACTTTTCGTCCGTACCCTAATGCTCACCCAATCTACGAGCGCCTCAAGCTAGGTGGATTCACAGCACTTCGCGTTGAGATGAGCATCTCCAAAACTGAGATATTCACAATAAGTACAAGCTTGTCTCAGTGGACTATATAGTAATTAACAAGCCGTTAAACTCAGCGAGTGAGTCGAAGTTTACCAGTACAATCACCAGTGTGAACATTGTCCATAATAAATCAATGATTGACGGCTTGCCTTTATGATTATCAGGCGGATTCATTGGTCAAGGTGCTAGGTTGACTTGCTGTGGCAGGCGTATCGCCTATCCTAAGTCATGGCTCCTGTTAACTAATGGTGTGTTGCTGTAATAATTCGCAGCATACCAGGAGCCAGATTGAATGTATTATCTCCCTTGGCGGAGAATTCTTTCTCAACAACCGGGTAGCTGGTAACGAGACTGCATCAAAGCTACACTACGCCATGAAAAGTACTACCAAAGACCACGTTCAATACCGCAAGCCTGGCACAATGATTACCCAGGACGACACTTGACAGACGACTCTTTTGACCTTAACTGAATTGTAGGACCGGGTACTTCCATTCTGCGTGCCTTGCACAGAGCCTTCCACTTCTCGACATTCTTAACCGACCCGCTTTCTTGAGCTTTCTCGACTCTCTTCTGCCATACGCATATGATTTCGACGTCCTTATCCCTTGAGAGTGTGGACTCGCAGTTGCAACACAAGGTAACAGAAAATGAGCTTTTGCACATTTGACTTGTAAAGATGGAGTGGAACGATGGTATAAGGTGGAGGTGTGATGAAGATTTCTGCTGGGAGTGTTCATGCTCATCAAATTTATATCTCCACTGTCTGTGGAAGCATGGTGGATGATTGGATCTATGCCAATCATGGTCGACGCTGGCGCGTTCAGACCACACCGCGGCACACGGTACGGCCATGTTGTCCACACTCCAAGCCCATGGCATTTGGATTAAACGTGCGAACCCCCCTGTTGCCTGACCAATGTGAGAACACCTATGTACCCTGATACCTCTTTCCACTTGGTCTTTCGCGCTTTCCGGTCTGAAACCCCTTCCTCGAGCTCGCCGTCGGACCCATCCTCAGAGCTGAGCTCATCATTGAAGTCCAACTCAACATCGATGTTTCTCAAGCACGGCAAGATCGCCGAAAGCGCGACCGCGACTTGCAGTGGTTGCTCGATTGGGGACCACCCGGCGTCAAATGTGGTGATATATGTGTTGCAAACCCCACCCCCTGGATTCTCAGCCGTAGGCGGATCTACCTTCGTAGCATCAAATACCAAAGCGAGGTTCCTGAGATGTGGGCAAGATGACACTACGGTCACAATGCCCTGAAAAGTGATTTTGGGTGGTATCTGCGAGACATAAGTGGTTCCGAGATCAAGGTACTCGAGGTGTGGCCAGGACTTGACGATGGAGCTGAGCGCATCATCATCGAGCAATGACATACAAAAAGATGGAAGATCAACCGTTTTCAGGCAGGAGAAGTGCATGAGAGGAGTAAACGTGCGAAGGTTAAATGCATAATCGACATCGTTGACATGGTTATCCGTGTGGCCATATACTAGGATACGCTCCAGAGTATCACAAAACAGACGATTGTGCAGCGTGTGTAGGGCGCGTTCAACAGCAAGCGCGGTTTCAGCAATGCTGAATTCCAGTGTCAGGTCCCTGCATGGAACAACCCATCCTTTTACCATATGTCCGCTGAAGGTCAAAGTCGACGAGTTGATGGCTAGTATGTCCAGGCTGGAGGTACAAAATTGAGACTGGACGCCTCTGGAACGTCCCGTTACACAGATATCCAATTTTTGAAGGCCAGTGAGACGAGATAGGTGGGACAAGGTTTCGCTACTGAGCATTGTAGTAGTAAGTGATACCTCCCGCAGGTGCGGGAGCCCACATAGAGCTAGCTCCATGACCTGAGGAGATGTGACATGTAGCCCGATGACTTGCAGTTGTGCTGAATACATGCTGAGACTTGATAACAGTGAAAACATGATATTGGTCTTGGTCCAAAAATCTTTTTCCATGAATATCAGCTGGAGACAGACGAGGTTGGGGCTCAGTGGGGCTCAGCAGGTAACGCATGCATGGATGAAGATCACGTGGGCATATTCTGCAGTCGAGTATTCGAAGGTTGGGCACCAACAACGACTGTGAAGAAAAACTCGTCACAGCATAGATGAATTCTGCATCTACACCTCCGAAGGGGTTTAAATGTGTCCTTCCCAGAACCCGTACCCGAGATGCGTATCGCTTGAATACAGACCAATCTGTAGTGGTCACAGGTCTCCGTATGAGCTAACAGTTGCCAAAATGAAACAGTTAGCACGATAGGTTATAAGCGCACCTCAGACAGCAGATAGTACGTACAAGCTTCCTATCACTAGTCATGGTCCATAAATCTCGTGGAAGACAAGTGAAAAGTGGTTCCAAATCCTCCAGCTCAGCCCATAGCACATCTAAAGCCACATCTGTAAAGGAACGGCAGACACAAGAGAGAGCGACTAGAGTCTGAGAAGGTCAGACTCGCGAGAGGCTTCGAAAATGGTGATAGTTAACATCCCCACGTTCCGGATTTGTACGGGAGAAATGGATGTCAGAGAAAATGTGTTTTAGAATCTCTAGAATAAGCAGGCAGGTATGCATGTAGTAGAGTCTTCCGTGCGGTGGTGTGAGTAGCTAACTAATGAGCATCCAGGACGTGTTGTTGTATCGATTTCCTTTTTGGTCAAGGAGGCGAAATTTTTGCGATTGATATTAGTTTTACAAACAGCTGTAACTAGATTATCTTCCCGGAAGTTCCACCAATCATCACAATGCCGAAAAGAGACAGATCACCAGCCACACCAGAGCACGAACTCTCCATCTTCAAGCGCGTCCTCGAGCATCTTGAAACCCTGCCCGGCACAATAGGGTACCATGTGCACACCGAGAGTGACCTCACCTATGCACTCGACAATCTTGCCAGCAGTCCCTTTATATCTTTCATGTTAGACGCAACTGACTTGCGGATACTCGTCAAAGGAGTGCATGCCGCAGGCACATGGATGAAACCTGACGTTGGGCTATTGCAAAAGCATGCAACCCCATCGTGCTCCAGTATGATGTTGAAGTCGTCGGGCAACTCCCTCCATCTGACGAAAGTCTCTCACCGCACACTCCCTTGATAAAGGCTCAAGAACGTTGGGAACGCATTACATTCTACGTCAATACCTGTCCGAATTTGGATCCCAAGTTTATCTAGGCGGTCGTTGACAAAATCAGAGAGTTGCACGATAAAGGTACCGCTACCGTCGCTTTTCCGCTTGTCCACCTCTATCGTAAGGCGAGCGTCAAGAAGGAATACCTCAAGGGAACTGACTCGGCACTTTTCGACGCTCTTGGGAGTCACTTCAACGTTGAGCTCCACCCTGTTCTTATCCGCTCTATTGATAAGGGCGACTACGATGACGTGGAGGACAGGGAGGACACTTACCTCTTATACAAGTATACATCGTGTGAGGGTATGGAAGGTGCTAAATAGGGGTACCGAAAGAGTTAACGACTTCATCTTCCACGTGCCTCTGCGATTGAGCAAATTTCCTTGCAAGAGTGGATGGCACATACGGGGAACGACTTGCAGGACGGCGAGGCGAGGTATCTTGGCGCTGGCATGTTCGTAGAGCCAAAGAGCAATAAGTAGTGTGATCACGATATACAGGGATACTGACTGTAGCAGAAATCTGTATGAATCTGTATGAATGGAGTACTGACTCAGACCTGAGCAGCTGAACTTGAGGTCAATCCTCAAAATCAGAAATTTAGTAGAACTTACATACATGTTGTGTCATTCAACCACCACAACAGTGACTGCCCTGTGAGCCTTCGACCAGCTCTATTCCATTGGCCTCCGAGGACGTATAATTGTAGTGGGCTTCTACCAGAGGAAGCATTGATGGTGAATAACAACTTGAAGCGAACGAGGGAGGTCCAAGATCCTGACGACGGTCAGCACGAAATTTGTTTCTGAATTGTATTCTCAGTCCTCACGTCATAATTTCGCAGAGCATATACCAGCCCACCGGACTAAATTCCCAAGGCAAAATGATGAATCTGTTGTTGGGAGCGCTTTTGACAAAGATACCAAGAGCCATGATGGACTTGTACACTCAGACACTTTGCGTTCAGCTCCACCGAACGAGGACCGCACTCACGACGATATCAGCTCTTTGCTTGACCTTACTTCTTCATGCTCTCAGGATGATATATCCGCTCGTTTTGACTCGATAGCAAGCGCCTTATTATCCGAGTATTATCTCTCAATCGTTCATGGCAGCTCTCAGACGAATTATGAGATCCTCGAGTTAGAATTCTACCTCCAGAAGTCAGGCTGTCACGAGGACCCATTTACTCATGGAAGTGCAGAGCAGGAGCGCAGCGGGCAGTGGTGAGAAATCAACGAATGGTCATCAGACTTAGTTCAAGTTGTTTCTCACAGGTATTTTCACCGTGCACCAAAACGTTCCAATGGAATTGCAAGGCAACCTTTCTACTACCGTGACTGCAGCAGGAGGTTATCGAGGCGGTACACGGAAAGGCCTTGATTTGACACTTGGTGGGCCCGTATGCACCAAAGCGTCTTCTAGCCCAGAGCCTTGCGTCACATCAACAATATTGCGGGGCGGTGCTCTTCTGCGTACCATACGTCGCTGTCACGACCAAAAGGTCATCTCGGGGCCCTCACTCCTTGTCGATGAGGTTTTGCGTGTATGCAGCGCTTCGAACCTCAATGACCTTGTGTCTGTTAAATGGCAAGGGGACATCTCTGCCCTCTCAACCCCAACCCAGCTGAGAAGCACTTGTATGTACTTGCGCAAGCGACCTGCATCGAGCCTTGCGACCTCGCCCGTGCTCCGTTCTCCACGCATTGGACTTGATCTTTCCAACCCGGAAACCAAAGCCAGCCCGACACATCCACGAGTTGTCTTCGTCGGGAAACTGTATCGGTACTTTACTCATCCAGAGCTCCTCGTTGCCAACGGACGTACCCAAACATTCGTGGGAATATACTTGACCCTTGTCGAAGGAAAGAAGTACGCGCTTGGCTCGCTCAAGTTTCGCAACGAACTGAGCAAGCTGACGGGGATGAAAGATACGACTCTCGCAAAATATTTGTCGGACTACCAGCTCGGGTTCGAGAAGGGAAAGCTGGTGAGCTTTGTCGGGGCTTGTGGAAAAGGTGTCTCAGCGTCGGCGTCTGCATATCTTAGAATGATGGGCACGCTGGCAAGGGTGCTACATGAGGCTCCATGAACGACTGTATATAATCAAGTATCTGTAAGTACTACTTCGAGTCCTGCTCTGGCACCACAGCTGACAAAATAGTAATGTAGGAGAAATGATAAATACTTTAACAGATAACAACAACCTGGATTTCATGTGCTTAACAACATGCTCATCTGGCAACAAAAATTAGCATCGACGGAAAGAGGCAACAGAGGAACATCTACCTCCGGTAAAAGCGAACAGCACAATCATGACAAGGTTTATCATACGGCACCATTATTTGCGAAGACATGCTCGCGCACGCTATTTCCGGTTCCTTGCCACGCCGCCCAGCAGCGTCCCAGTGCCTCCAAGTTCGCTCTTTTTGTATCCTCGCCTCGCACTTGTAGATTTGAGACCTAACAGGCCCGGCCTTACGTCTGCATGGACAGACGTAGACGTATTGGGTCTCCGTGATATCGCACATCGCAAGGATGATTTTCAGGTGTTAGGGTGAGCACTGAGAGACGAGTGCGTTTTTAGGTTTTGTGTTTTGTGTGCTGGTGGTCGTATTGTACTTATACCAGATCAGTAGTGCATGCCATAAGGTCCATTGGCCTCCACTGGAGGTACGCGGAGTCACTGGACAAAGGATGCGCATTGACCAATGCACTGTCCACAGGCGGGGCGCATTGTGCCGTATCCATCGGTGGCTCGCCGCCGCCATCACACTTCAATGGGGTCGTTCTCGTATCAATGGGGCGAAGCACAATGGCCAAGGCCCACTGGCAAGCCCGATGATTTGGCAAAAGGTTCGGCAAACTACCTGTGATTTATGTGTAATTGAATTTGCAACATGTGAATATTCAAGTTTGCAGAGTGAATCGAACATTAGTTCCGCCACTGACACCCACATACACCTCGCCTTCCTCACCGACGTCGCTGCCATGCAGTATCTGCTGTGAAGCAGTTTGAAGCCCGATAATTTGGCAAAGGCTCGGCGATGAGCTCAGCTCATCATTCGAATCGAGTTTACAACATATGAATATTCGTATGAATGCTTCAAGCATTAATTCCACCGCCACCCGCATACGTCTATCACCTTCCTCATAAACCTCGTGCTATGCAGTATCTGCTGTGAAGCATTTTGAGTACGAAGGTCTGAAAATAGCTAAAATCTCCTTACGCTAAATCCGACAGTATGCACAGCCATCCAAATGGATCGTAGGACCGGGTACTTCCATTCTGTGTGCCTTGCACAGAGCCTTCCACTTCTCGACATTCTTAACCGACCCGCTTTCTTGAGCTTTCTCGACTCTCTTCTGCCATACGCATATGATTTCGACGTCCTTATCCCTTGAGAGTGTGGACTCGCAGTTGCAACACAAGGTGACGGAAAATGAGCTTTTGCACATTTGACTTGTAAAGATGGAGTGGAACGATGGTATAAGGTGGAGGTTCGATGAAGATTTCTGTTGGGAGTGTTCATGCTCATCAAATTAATTTATATCTCCACTGTCTGTGGAAGCCTGGTGGATCTATGCCAATCATGGTGGACGCTGGCGCGTTCAGACCACACCGCGGCACACGGTACGGCCATGTCGTCCACAGTGGATGTTGTGGCCACGGCCTGGACTGCACTAAAACTGGCACCGACACTAGCCACCGTGACCTGGTGAATGGCTCCGATTTGGAACGTGAAGATTCGGCCCCCGTAAAATAATGAAGACAGTCAGTCTCGCCGGTGACTGACGTTGATAGGTAGACAACCAAGAAGCAATCATGTTCCTGGGGAAATAACCTGAGAAAAGACAAGACAAGCTCCATTCACCGGTCAATAAACATGTTTAGCTGTATAAGATAACCAAGTACGCCATCCCCGGGCTGTCAGAACGGTAGCGCCCTCCTCATTTTTGCTCTCACGGTCTCGGATCATTGCACCTTCGCCAGCTTTCCAAACAGCATCTGTTTCCAGGTCCACCTCGAGCAACGGCACGAAATACTGTCGTATTCCACGCCAAAATCGCTCATAGAGGGTGTAGCCGATGTACAGGACGATGTAGAGGGCGACACCAATGTATGTGGCGGCGACATTCTGCGGTGTGTGCGGTGAGATAAAGGACTTATGGAAGGGCGACGCATACCTTGGCTTCAAACGGCTGTTCTTTGACTGCCGAATATCCTTCCGCAATGAACATGAGTATGGCGAGCACGACGACTCCGGCAGGTAACAAAGGGAAAAAAGGTTGAGTATAAGGCAAATCCGACAGCGAACGCCCCTGAGCTCGATATGCCATGCGAAAACGCAAAGAGATGAGACCGATCGAACCCCACACAAGCAATGCTGATATTCCTGTGAGATTGACCAGCCAAGTGAATACGATTCCCTCTCCCCAGATCGTTGTAAGGAACGTGATGAATGATACTGCGAGCGACATGCTGGTATCAGAAACCGCGTATTGTCAGTATCGGACTCTGCGAGTATCAAGATATAAAGCGGACTCACAGGAGTGCGGGCACAGGAACGCCTCGGCTGTTTACCCAGCCGAAGATGCGAGGGGCCTGACCAGATCTAGCCAATGAGAGAAGCATACGTGAACTCGCATAGAAGCACGAATTTGTAGCGGACAAAACTGCGGTCAAGAGAACGGCATTGACGACATGGGCAGCAGCACCGAATCCAGCGCGCTGGAAGACCACAGTCAGTGGAGACGCTGTCACATCCGAGTCTGATGGAATATCACCGAGATGAGCAGAGAACTGTGCACCATATTCATAACTCACCGTATGCTGCGCTGAGTAGGGTGGGGTCTTGCCAGTTGATGCAGAGTCCGATAGTCAGGATGGTCAAAATGTAGAAAAGGACTATCCGGAAGAATGTAGCTTTGATAGCCCGAGGAACCGTTTTATGCGGTTGAGCTGACTCTCCCGCAGCAACTGCCACAAGCTCGACACCGCCAAAAGAGTAGAAGGCGTAGACAAAAGTCTGAGCGAAATTTTCAAAGCCACCGATGAAAGCTTGGCCGTTATGGAAATTCGACAAACCCTTCATACAATGGAGATGAGTGGTCGTGTTGCTGACGAACAATGTGCTTACGGGTCCAGGATGTCCTTTTACTCCGCCCCAGTCGTAGATCAACCCAACAAAGATGAACACTATAATCATCAGGACCTTAACGAGAGCAAACCAGTACTCAGACTCTCCTGTTGCAGCTCAACGTCAGGAAACCTATCACGCATTTTTAAAATAACGCACCATAAACTCGAACGTGTATCAGTTGAAGTAAGAAAACAGGGACAATGATGGCAAGCGCCCATTCCCAGGCCTGGACTTGCGGTGCCCAATACTGATGAAACGTCCTATCGGCAATGTTCTCGGTGCATGTAAAAATAAGCCAACTTGCCTGTAAGATGATCGCAGCAGCAGTCAGCTCGCTGGCTGACACACCATAATAAACGAGTAAGTCAATCGCCCCTAAGAATGAACCCTGACAGAAGTGATGCTCACGTATTGAAAGACTCCTGCACAAAAATGGATCAAGAATGTCAGACTGGTCGACGAACTTGCAATTTATCTCAGAGACACAAGTACCACTGAAACCAGTAATTCCACCCTGTTCTCAGAAATCTAAGTCAGTACGAGGAAACGTCAGGGTAAAGATACAGTACCTAAAGTAAACCCTAGCGCAGGAGAGACGAATCTAGTACCAAACACGGAGAAAGCGCCGGATACGGGGAACATGGCAGACATTTCCCCCCTCCAATTTGTTTCATTTAGTTCAAACATAATCCATGATGTAATGTTAGAGACATACAGACTAATCACGACGCTGTATACAAAAACCCCGACGATAAAATACGAGAGCAGAGCACTTCCTGGGCCGGCCAACGCGATAGCCTTGGCAAGAGAACCGAAGTGGTAACGAAAGACGCGCTCATACGAGAATGGCACTTACGGATCCAGCGCTCAAGAAAATACCCGTCCCAATAGTCCCTCCGATTGCTGCGTAGATTGCATTTCAGTACAGGATATGATTATCGATACTAGTAAAAGCGGCTGTAGAGCTTTAAACGAACACTCACCGATCATCATCAAGTGTCTGCTCTGCATAGCCCTCTTCGTTTCATTTTCGGCAGACGCATCGCTGGATCCAACAGCGAACCTCTTCCAAACACTAGTCGACCTCTGAGATAAAGCCTCGTTATATGATGGAGTATCCGGAAGCACTTCATCTTTTTCCATATCTTGCATCGAGAAAGATTCTGAAGTAGAATCGTCGTTCCAGGAGGTGTTGGCCCGTAAGTAGTTGCGGCTAGTTGACGAACTCAGTTAGTGGTGCTACACTGCTTAGCTTGATATTATAGTAAAGTTTCGTCTCGCCTCCGGCCGCCTTACCTCGCGTGACGAGTGGTTAAACGGACTTGGAACTGGCTCCTTGGAAGCGAATTTGAATAGAATCTTAAAGCTTTCAAACTCCACCACCTGTGACCTGATCAGGCAAGTATAGTATTGGCCGGAGGTCAAAGCCACCTGAGTGACACCACTTATGTTAATACTTAGTAACGTGAGAATGTACGCATTCACGTTACTAGTTAGAGGCAAAAGTCTATACTGCAGTACTGCAGCACTTACTGCAGCACTCAGCAGTGACTTCGCAGGTATTTTTTTTTCCCCTCGGCTTTATCCGACGATGGCTTATCTGGGCTTATCAGCTGTTATCAGCAAAACCTTATCTAACGCTTTCGGCAATGTGCAGGGCTCGGGTGCCAACTACTCCCGCCGCTGGTGCCGATGTTCCCACAGCCTCTGCTCATCGTCTACAATGATGAGCACGCTTATATCACTCAATCTTGCTCAAACATGAGCGCGTTTTTTGCGCTCCCTTTCTCCTATGGTCCTCCTCTACTATGGTAATGTCTTTCAACTGTTTAGCTATACTCGTGTTGAGTGTTCGTTTACCTTCTGTATTCTGACTAAGCATACTAACTGTTGTCCCTCACCACCATCCCTCACCACCATTGGGAGACAGCGTCCATTCTGCACAAGCTCACAGAAGGTCACAATGACTGTCCTTCGCCATACAGGCCCACAGACCACCTCTGCTGGTCTGATGTGTATACGAGCAGACCGCCTACGAGCTGAGAAAGAGCTCCAACTTCAAGCGCAAGGTGAGTGTATGAATTAGTGTTTCTTTTGTTCTTACAGCGAAGTGTGGGCAGATCAACGTCGCGCACAGCAGGCCGCACTTGCTGCAGAGGCTGCACTGGAAGCCGGGACAAGTTTTGATATGATGGATCAGTCTTTTGATGGTGCTTTTGATGGTGACAGCCATATGCAGCATTCATCGGATGGCAGCGAGGGCAACACGGACACGGACACGGATACAGACACGGACATGGACACAGAGACAGACTGTCCCAGCAACAAGAATCGTTACTCAGTTGAAACCAGGCTACTCTCCGCCTATGCCAGGCTGCAGTTGAACAACAGGTACTGTTGTATTTCTTCTCCTCAGTCTTTCCAGCTGATGGTTACTGTAGCTCGTCAAAGCGCCGTAGTGACCAATGGACACGAGAAGCACGCTATGCCAACATGCACACTTCATGGGGCATGCAGATGCCTGCGCTAATGGACGCATATCTTGCCTGGAAGCATCCAGGTTCACTCAATATCGCTCAAGTTTCGGCTCATAAGTTCCAGGTCACTGCAGTGCAGGTCTTTGGTACGCTTTCTTCATTTTATTTAAGATCGTGTTGCTTACATTTTCTAGAACTAGACCATTTTCACAATATTATGCAACAACACGAAGAAGTTGCAAATGTGTCTCTGTTGCGTGCGGGTTTACTAGGCTGCTCTCCTACTGCACCAACTGTTGCAATCAGCCTATGATGTCTCGAGCTTTATCATCAGCTTCGACGACGGCAATCTTCACTCAGCATCCAGGCATTCACAAAGGTTTTGTGTGCGATACATAATGTATGTTATGTATTGTAAACGACTTACAGCATTCTGATTAACAATTAGGTCAATTAAGCGCAAACATTTCGCGATCAATTTTCAATTGCGTTTGACGTATATCTTGCAATACTTCGCGAGGTTCAGTCCTGGGTGGATATAGCACTTGGCCGCACAGATCCCAACTGGCGCCTTCAACATGGTTGTCCAGCATGCACGTTTGAGGTCAGTGTACTATTTTTTTAAATTATCATTGTCTGATCTATTTTCAACAGCAACCCAATGAATGTCTGCTGTATCCTGCCAGTCTCAAGGCAATGGATGGGAATAACTCCGTGAAATGCATGGCGAATGCTGGTAATGCAGATCGCCGTATCTTTCCCAGCAGGTATATGATTCCCCCCGATCAAGTTGACATGTTCAAGGACGACGTACGGTTACGACCCGGTGAACGCGGAGCCAATCAAAACAATAACGCCACATCATGTACCGACAATTGGAAGGCTGCTAACTCAACCGATGAGAACACTGTGCACGTTTTCGAACAGACTGGTATCTTTCTCTCTGCCTGCCGACATGGAATTGTCCAAACAGTTACCGAGATGCGCCGCAGTGGCGAGCTGTAAGTTTTCAATATGATTTAATATTATGTTATTGATGATTGTTAAAAGCGCTAAATATCCTCTCGCAACAATGAATAAGCTTCTTGATGTCTTCGGTGACAACCAAGCCATCGGTAGCGATATCAGTTGCAGCTTGTCTAAGACACTCGCCGCCAGCTCAATATGAGACAAGGCTGACAATCATAAGCTTTCACTGTCGGTCAATGCATTCCATGGACATGCTCACAATCGCAAATGTCAGTTGCAGTATCACCCCATGTACCTACGTGGCTTCAGACTCGAAGATCTCAAGACTTGCGAACATATTTTTGCAAGCTCGAACACCACAGCATGCCTCATTCGCCACGCGTCACATTTTCATTACGGTCAGTTCCTAGACCTGCATTTTGACCAATGGGACATGGATAGATATTTTGAACTCAGTAAGGTTTCATTGTCTGAGTAATGATCCCGATTGATCTGATTGAAATTTAGGCCGCTTTATTTTCAATAACTACAAACAAGCAGTTACCTTGATCACCGATTTTACCAAAGAACTTGACGCCTACCGCTTATCCTTCCCTGACCAGGCCATGGATTTTGAGACCTGGGTAGCCGAAGAACTCGCGTATCTGGAGTCTGTTGCATTGGAGCCTGCTCGCGACACTCTCGCAGTTGATTATGTGGAAGCGCTGGAGAAACTCGATACGTATTAGTAAGTTTCATTTTTTTCATTTGCGCATGTTTTAAAGTTCACGATCAATCCAGGCAACAGTTCAACTCGTTTAGAACGAACCAGTTTTTGACGTACTTGCCGTCATCATTCACACCTGACTCTGGGTTGAGTGTCACAGCTTCACAAACAACGAAGCAGGCACAAGCAGCTCGGCGTGCAGTGGAGCGCCGTCTTCAAATTCAAATCAACATTGTTGAGGATTTAGAGACTCACCTAGACATCGCTGACCGGTGGATACCTGAAAGTTCAGACTATCGGGAGACACTTGACTATAGCCAATGACGGCGATTCATTTGGGCAGTTGAAGATCTTGAGGGCCTCGTTGTGCAGCATTTATTTGAGTTGTCCAAAGCTAATCTCTCATCAACCGGTACTAACTTAATGTTTATTAATTTATTCTACTAACAAAATCTTTCATCACAGGCTATAAACTTCGAAGACAAATATCTCGAGCCATCGTCAAGCGATCCAGTACAATTTGTACAGCGCTGGACAAGTACAACAAGCTTGCCGTCATGCAAAATCCATGAAGGCCAACCCTACAATATGGCGAGGTTACGTCTTATGCAGCCCTTGGCGAGTTTGAGATCCTCAAACATTCACGACACAATATTCTGACGAAGCCTTGGAGCAATCCCACACATCGTGAGATGGCCATTAAGTATTTTAAGATTCTCTGAGCTCATGAGGAGATCACTTGACTTAATGTTGAAATCCGCCGCCTGCACGCTTGGATCGATGTTGAGGATTCTGACATCAAACGTGTGGCCACCGAGCTCGAGTCAACTAACCTCCCACTTGCGGCGGAAGTTTGGGAGCTATATACAGTGGCTCAAAAAAACTGTCCACATGTTTGTGCTATTTTCACTATTTACATTATTGTATATGAATGGACAGGTAGACCAGGGATATGCCAGTGGGGTACTCTGTAGTACTCCTTTGGGGCATGAATTTGAGCCCTTGCCCATGGGAATTTATGGTAATGTGGTGGCACTATAAGCCTTACAAAATGATGACTCATGTGGACAGTTTTTTGACCCTAGATTAAAATTATATAAATCATTAGTTATGACACCATAAAGTCATGCCACTATTAAATAAATTATGAAGTGGTGTCATTATGACATTATTAAACCTATCTCTAAGTATATAATGAAGTGTGTCCCATATATCATAGTCATAATCACCATGAAAACCATCTCCTCTGCTCAAAGGGATAATATCCTTTCTCTGTCTACTACTGGCCTCTCTACTTGTCAAATAGCCTCTAGAACTGGTTTATGTAAGTCTACTGTAGCCAACCTCATCAAAGAATGTCACCCAGACAAGGAAAACTCCAGTGGAGGTCGTCCATCCAAACTCACCTCTACTGATAGGAGGGTCATTATCCAACATATCACCACAGGAAAGGCTGATAATGCCATCCAAGTCACTCATCATATCAATTCCATCATTCCTACTCCAATTTCTTCACAAACAGTGAGGAATGTCCTTAAGGAAGCCAATCTTAGGGCTGTAACAAAGAAGAAAAAGCCTCTTCTTTCCATCACTCATAGGAAGAGAAGACTAGCCTTTGCCCTAGCCCATCAAAACTGGACTGTAGAGGACTGGAAGCAGGTCATAAGGTCAGATGAGACTAAACTCAATAGAATTGGGTCAGATGGGAAGGTACATGTGTGGAAAAAGAAGGTGGGCCCTCTTACAGACAGAGAGATTAATGGAACTCTCAAGTTTGGAGGAGGTTCTTTAATGGTATGGGGATGTATGGGGTGGAATGGTGTGGGATTGCTTGCAGAAGTTGAGGGGAGGATGGATGCTGAGCAGTATATGGATATCCTCCATTATCTGCCTTTCCTGTGGTGATATGTTGGATAATGACCCTCCTATCAGTAGAGGTGAGTTTGGATGGACGACCTCCACTGGAGTTTTCCTTGTCTGGGTGACATTCTTTGATGAGGTTGGCTACAGTAGACTTACATAAACCAGTTCTAGAGGCTATTTGACAAGTAGAGAGGCCAGTAGTAGACAGAGAAAGGATATTATCCCTTTGAGCAGAGGAGATGGTTTTCATGGTGATTATGACTATGATATATGGGACACACTTCATTATATACTTAGAGATAGGTTTAATAATGTCATAATGACACCACTTCATAATTTATTTAATAGTGGCATGACTTTATGGTGTCATAACTAATGATTTATATAATTTTAATCTAGGGTCAAAAAACTGTCCACATGAGTCATCATTTTGTAAGGCTTATAGTGCCACCACATTACCATAAATTCCCATGGGCAAGGGCTCAAATTCATGCCCCAAAGGAGTACTACAGAGTACCCCACTGGCATATCCCTGGTCTACCTGTCCATTCATATACAATAATGTAAATAGTGAAAATAGCACAAACATGTGGACAGTTTTTTGAGCCACTGTAATTGGCAGCGGAGGGTCAATGATGTGCATCGTGCTCGCATCAATCGATTATATTCACTTGAAGGATTTACCGGTTGTGTTCCTTCTGACATGATCGCAGCAGATGTCTCATTGGACGTAGATGAAGTTGCAGCAGAGATGATTGACGATGAATCAGAAGGAGACGAGGCGGCACACTTTGAGTTATGTATTCAACAGATGTCATTGTAGTACTTTTGCGAATTTGAGGATTGTTCAATGTGACGTGATGGTACGCACTCGAGATAATTAAGCCAATCGATCCCAATAACACCAGTCTTTCCTATCTTACAGAGGCCGCTGCTTTCTGAAAGATATGTATGTATTGTATTAGTAGGATGAGTTGTAAGTGTACAATTACGAAGATCTTACATTGATTGACTCCGGAGTGTAGTCACATGTACAGTGATCTTAGATTGATGTGACAGACTCCCATACACCACGTTGTAACAACATGTGTGCATTTACTCAATACCTGCCTCATTTCTCATTTCTGACTTCACTCTGCACTTTGCTTTAAAGAGACTCGCAAACTTCCCAGCCTTCAAAACCAACTTTGTGGATGCCTTATTGCTCTCACTTTCAGATTCTCTGTTATTTTCTGCAATCGTGCAGCTTTCACTATGCCTACTTCAAACTCCACATTCACCACAGAATCAAGCGCTCTGGATGGTCATTTGCCTCGGCCAATCCACCGCCTTCACTATTTAGACCTTGCAGTTGACGCTGATGATGATGCACTGGTATGTATCTTTCTTTTTGTCTCTGGGGGTCGTGTGCACTTACTGTTGATTCAGCATGACTTTATATGTATTCAGTTTCATGCAACATTCGATTTCGAACGGCCGGCAAAACATAGGTACAAACGAGGGCCTCGTGGACGCAAGATGGTCGCTATCAAATCTCCAGACATCACTCTTAAAGCTACTGTATCTCATCCGCCAACCTGCGAGCTCGCCAATGCCATGAGTAACATCACTACTACTCTTCTTGACCATTCGCTTCCTGGGATTCGTGACTCCTGGTTTCCAAAGAACTGTTGGAAGACGGTTGATCTGCCTACCAGACTACGACAGAGTAAGTTTTTTCGCATCATCACCAACTGATTCTCATATCTTTCTCGCAGATGTTACTGTGACAGGCCCGACGACCAATGGTATAGCAGATGCGGATGCTACCACGACGGACCTGACGTCGCCAGCTGTTTTGAAAGAGCATCCTGCCCCCAATATCACTTGTAAGTCGTTATCAATGGCTGTCAATTGTTATCTGATTCCATCATCTGGCGTTTGTGCCCACTTAGCTGACACCGGGTGCAATGCCCGGCAGATCACTACTAAAATCAGATCTCTTAATGATGGTATGTGTGTATTGCTTCCATTTTATTGTGACAGGGTCGCTCAAATATCATTCTTAGGCACCAAAGAGCTCACGCCGGTGAACACCCCTCCTTGTGTTTATACTAGAAACACCACTGGTAGCTCGTCTCGCTCAATGTTGGATGATGCATTGGGCCCCGGCACAATGGCAGAAAGTCATGTCGGATTTTTGGCTCCTGGTGACCCAGTCATCAGAACTCCGAGCATTGGTTTGAATGGCTGTGTCAGTACCCCAAACACTCCCAACTTCGAGGCAGTGCGGGCTGTCCTTGCTTCGTACAATCTTCCGCATGGAGTTGTCCGCGAAATTCATTCTTGTGTTCTTCAAAGGCAAGGCTTTGAGGAAATGCAGTGGCCATACATTCTTGACGAGAACTTGGTGTTTGAGCCTAAAAAATCTGCTCTTTTGCTCGCCATGTACAATCTAGGTGAGTCTTGGGTTTCGGCAAATGAGCTCATGACTGAAGCAATTTTCTAGTGTCTTAGGTACATTTTGTAACGGCATTGTATGCTAGAATTTCATGCTAGTATAAATCTTCTTTGCGGACTGTATTTTCGAGCAAGGGTCGCCACCATCTAATATATAATCCTCCATGTAAGTCTTAAATTTCTTAAATTTTGTTACTTTTGCTTCGCTATTCACTTGGTCATGGCACGCGGAAATACAAACAAAGTCAAGAAAGCACGGCCCCAGCTCACAACGTCTCAGAAGTCTGCGCATTGTGAGAAGTTCACCGCACTCACTGATGACGTGAACGATGCCCGCGCAGACTACATGGACAAGGTTCAAGTCCTTGCCAAGAAACATGGCCGGTGAGACCTTCTGTTATGAGTTATAAGGACATGCTCAACGGACGCTACTTAGGTCTGAGCATTGGACGCGACGTCAACTGTTCCTTGGGGGTCAGACAGTTTGCCATCGTCGGCGTCCAAATGCATGGAACGTGTTCGTTCGTCAACGACTCAATGATATAAATGAAGGTACGTGTCTCTATCACACAATGTTGTGTCTGTACTAAATTTCAGCTCCTTGCCAGGCCTATCGAAGGGTGACCGTTGGAAACTTACGGAGTTCATCGACTCTCACAATGAAACTCTGTGCGTCGACTATGCAAGACTCTCCCGCGCTCAAAAGAATGCTCTTGAGGTTGAGATCATGAAGATGCGTGCCTCCAAGCAATGCATGGTCCGTGATAACCCGAAGGCAGTCCAGCGTGACATGCAGGCCACTTTTGCTGCTATGGACCAAGAGGTACTTTCTGGTTTTCTTCCCTGCTCATTTTCTTATAGGTATATACTTTAGTGGACAGCTATTTGCTCCCGCCTCGGTGTCGAAGGCTTCTATGTGGCTGTCCGTGGTGGGATCGAGGACCTTAGCGGTCCCAAGCTTTTTTTTTCAGACAAGGCCAAGAAGTTTGTGCGAGCCGTTCTGGATCTTGAGCCTCGGCGCCTGGCGTTAAAACTGGAAGCATTTGCTGTCTCTGGCCTTGGTACATTTCTATACTCTAGCTAATCTGATTTTTTTTGACGATATTCTACTGGCCGGTAGCTGAGGATGTATCTGCTATGTCAACCCAGAAAAAATCCCTCAACAAGCTAATTAGCGAGTGTCAGACGCACATCCAAGATGAGCTTGGTGAGCATTATCTCTACAGAGTTTTCTTGTTGCTGATGTGGATGCACAGACTTTATCATGCGTGAAAACAAACTCGCTGACCACATGAAAATGAACTATAACAACTATGAGCATGCTATTGTTGAACATCACAGTGTGGTGCTTGATGGTTGGCCATCTGAACTTCTGCCGATCCAGAATCCCTCTCGTATTGGTGGACGCAAGTCAGTACAATTGTTGCTCAATGCACTCATCAAAGGGACCTGTAAGTGGACGAAGCTGACGGAGGAAGAGCTTGCGGACAGAATTACTAGAAACCATGCTCGCGAAGCAGCCGGTGAGACCATCTATAAGCCACGGAAGAAGTGCACCCCAAAGATGGTAGAGAAGAGTGCTGCCACTGTTGAAAGTAGCGGTGAGAGTGACGAGGGTGAAGGGAGTGAAGGGGGTGAGGAGTAGTCATTTGACATTAGCGCAGAGCATATGTTAGTTGCTTCGTAGTAGTTGTTCGTTTATCATCCTTTATGTTATAGCACTTGAAACATATAATGACAGGCACTTAGACAAAGGTCAAGGGTGTTCATCATTGCTGGCAGTGAGTAGAACATGCTCTGAGTGTAGTACTAAGCTATCTACACCGCTTAAAATAGTAGATACATCTGTTAAATATTCATCAGAGTAGAGGAGGACCATAGGAGAAAGGGAGCGCAAAAAACGCGCTCGTGTTTGAGCAAGATTGAGTGATATAAGCGTGCTCATCGTTGTAGACGATGAGCAAGGCTGTGGGAACATCGGCGCCAGCAGCGGGAGTAGTTGGCACCCGAGCCCGCACATTGCCGAAAGCGTTAGATAAGGTTTTGCTGATAACAGCTGATAAGCCCAGATAAGCCATCGTCGGATAAAGCCGAGGGGAAAAAAAATACCTGCGAAGTCACTGCTGAGTGCTGCAGTAAGTGCTGCAGTACTGCAGTATAGACTTTTGCCTCTAACTAGTAACGTGAATGCGTACATTCTCACGTTACTAAGTATTAACATAAGTGGTGTCACTCAGGTGGTCAAAGCTTGGGTCACTTGACTGTCCAGAAAACACTACGAAAGTTCAGCTTCTTCAGTTGAGACACACAAGTGAAAAACATTCTCGAGGCGTATGATGTTCGCTTGATATTGGAAACGGAAGCGACAAGATCATATATTCCTCTCCTCTCCTCCGGTTGTTTCTAGTAGACGAGACAGCCTGGCTACCACTCCAGCACTTGCTGATAGTATGTGCAGGAGTGGCAGCAGCCTAGAGACTACTTTACCAATACTTGGGACGTCTGAAACCAAACCAGTATATGTTTACTCTGCTCCTTCGTGTGTTGGATTATACAGTGAGGCAATCACACGGAGGAGCAAAGTAAAACTATCATCCACTTCACTTGATGTAACCGGGAGTAGCAAGAGTCCTCCCGAGTCGGCAGGTTCTACTACTTAGACGATACAGACTCAAGTGCTGGAACGGTAGAGGCTCTACTAGTGGACGCAGTAACCGCACCAACACTTGGGACATCTGACACCAAACCAGTACACGTTTACTCCGCTTCTTCATGTAATTGATTATATGAGATGTATGTTGAACCACGCACGGTCAGTAACGACACAAAGGAGCAGAGTAAAACTTCCCCCACTTCTCGTGCACAGTGGCTGATGTATGAGTCCAGGCAAAGACGAAGTTGAATCGATACGGAAATGGTCCTGACCAAAGTCTCGACGTCGACGTCGTTTTTATACGATACCACGAACGGAGTTCGAATACCACATTTACTACGCCGCCGAACGTATCAGATGTCAAAACTCGGAATACAACTGGGTATCGACCTACATACATGGTCCAGCCTAATTCGAATAGAATACCATAGTAATACGAATGCATAGCATCACGAAAACCAACAGTATATCCACACTACTACAACGGAAGCAAGTTCGACGAGGATATCGCAGGATAGCCAGCTCACGTGGAGCTGTATTAACGGATTATAAGAGCTCTAATCACTAAAGTAGGAATAGGAGATGAGAATGGGAGAGATTATGAGGCGTGTACGCTCGTGTGGGTCGTAGTTATGGTGGTGGAGTCGCCAGGGAGCTCACTGAGCCCGTGGGACGAATATGAGTTTGCATTCCATCGAAGCAGGGAAGATAACCTGCAAGAGAGAGAGAGCCCATGAGTCAAGTCTTCGGACAGGGATCAGAAGGAGAGTCAATTACAAAGGAGTCCTTGATTTCCATGCTTCGCTCGTTGGTCTCAGGAGGAGCCACAACATCAAAGTTCCTCGCTACAGTGGCCACCGAGATCCGCAACATCATCTGCGCCAAGTTCTGTCCTCCGCAGACACGCGAACCAGTTCCGAATGGCATAAGATATTGCGCCATTTTGAAAAGATGTTCAGCGTTTCCAGGTCTTTCGAGCCAGCGTTCAGGAAGGAATGTCTTTGGAGAAGGGAAGACGGACGCATCGCGGTGCATAGACCAGCCTTGGGTGGCAACGACGGTGCCAGGAGGAAGTGCGTAACCCATAAGATCGAAAGCTTCATTAATAGCGCCATTCTTGGATGTCGAAGACGGAACCGTGCGTTCGAGAGGACTTGGCGCGGCGCTGTACAGCCGTAGACCTACAACACGTGTAATGAAGAAGATGTAACCTAAAGCGAGGTGCGATCTGACCTTCTTTCACGAAAGCGTTCAAGTAAGGAAGCTTCTGCAAGAGAGCGATATCAGGAATAGCACGCGGATCAGGCATCGCTTGGTCCAGTTCGGCCTGCAGCTTCGTCATAATATCTTGCCTGCGGCTGAGTTCCCAAAAGAAGTAGGACAACGAGTTTGATGTGGTATCAGACCCTGCGATCCTAGGGGTGTCGATTCAAGTTGGCGCTATAAGCAGTTGAACAAGAAATAAACGCATACATGTGTCCCATCATTTCTGAGATGATATCATGGTCGGGCATAGCTTGTTCAGGAGAATACCTGTACTGGAGAAGGCGTCGCAGCATTGGAATCTTCTCAGATTCGCCAAGTTTTCCTGCGTTCAACTGTGCTCGCATCTCATACACGCGTGCACCAACGAACTTGAGAAGAGAAGAGAATCAGCTTCATGTCCGCATTATAGGCATCGAAATGGAACAACCTCGCCCATGATCATATCAGAATCGCACATCTGGCGCCACCGGTTGTTGGGGATACGGCAGATCAAATCCCATACCCAAGTCGGAACCGCGCTTCTCTGCAGCCCCTGTCAGTCTAATTTTGATACAAGGTCGATCGTCTTACGATAATGCCTCGCTTTGGGAAATCGGCGATTGCGGTGGCCATGGAATCTTCCACACCCGCAATCCATTTACTAAGAGCACCTTGTCGGTAGCCATGGGAAGATGCAATAATGATATCGACCATATAATGGCGGAACAATGCAAGACAATCCAGAGAATGTTTGCCTCCGACGTGCTCTAGAGCCTAGATCGGGAACGTTAAATGGGAAATGTCATGCTAATGTCAATGGACGTACCGAAACAAGCTCGAGGGTGTAATCATGGGCCTCGGGCTGAAAAAGAGCGAGGTTAAGAGGAATGTAGTGAGGAGCATAGCCCTTTCGTCGGGTCACATGTCCGGCATGGTCCAGAGTTGTCATACTAGTCAGAAAATCAGCATATATGCGCGTCAAACAGATTGCACGTGGCACTAACGCGTGATCGTTCTCGTTACTAAATGGGCTCATGAGCTTAAATCGCGTCAAAGACAAAATAAACGCACGTCAAAAGACTCTTGTAGAAGGTACTCTTGTCAAATTTAGTGGACTGAGTAGACGCTTCTCATGGACGTCAAATCATTGAAGATGACCTTGTTTGGACCGATTCGAACGACAGGGCCATACTTCTCAAAAAGGCGGTGATTGGTTTTGCATTGTTGGAGGCGCAAGACGTGTGTTGTGATCCAAAAGTTAGAGACGGCGGCGAACCAAGGGCCGGGTATCGAGCTGAGGGGCGAAAGGAAGAGGTTGTATGTAGCGCGTGAGACAGCGTAAACCAAAGTAAGGGAAAGAGCGGCGAGAGCGATGTTGTGGGTTATCCAAGAAACCGAGATGGGGAACGCGGTAGTGGTGAAGTCCATGGTGGGAGTAGGAAATGGGAAATCCGACAATGCGAAACGACAACAAAAAAAATGCCTACGTCGACGGCGGGCTAAGTGACTGATGGAGGGGAAAGAAAAGAAAGGGCAGCCTATGAAGAATTCAGAATGTAGCTGGTATATATACATTCCAGAGAGCGTGACAAAAACATATCCAAATCGTGGTCACACTTGCATGTCGCCGATGGCAGTTAGACTGTCAATTACTTCATCCTAAATCGGACTCGCAGGTAATCTACTTCCGGGATACCAAATTCCTCTCCTGGTCCCTCGATCTCCTCCGTGACGCTCGCTTTGCCTATGAGACGGAATTTTCATTAGTAACAGTCGCGCTGGGAACAAATCGAAATACGTGCCAGTAGACCAGCGAAGACCACATAAATCGATGACGAGAAACGAGGAATGTGGTGGGGTGTGATGACCGCAAATTCAATCCATCACACCCCACCCCAGTTCTTAGTCTATAGCAAGTGATAGAATTACCTTGAGAGTCCGTCACCCGCATATGATTCGGCCAATAGCAGGCGCCATTACAGATCCGGATTAGCTTGGCAGCACAGAAAACATGCTTCATGCTCAAAATCAGTAAAACAACATCACGTATCAAAATGACGACAGTAAAATACAGACGTGACACCGCATCGGAGCAGTAAACCAGGTCGACGGCGTAAAACGTCAGCGATTTGTTCGCCATGAAGACCGACTCCGAGGACAAATTTTCAATTTTGGGATTCATCTAAACCAATCTATCCATCCGGAGAAATTTGCATCGTCCTTAGTGCAGGAAGCATCGCTTGGGCCGATAACGAGAGGTTTGAAGGGATGGAGAGCACGAGGGCCAGCTTGGTGAGGCCGATACGGTACTCAAGTCACGTCAAGCTCAAGTTTGCCATCCAAGTATCTGTTACCCGCACAAGGTTCGCGGAGTTTGTAAACAACACGTGGTTGCCTTTTCCATCATAACAAGGCCCCGAATCTCATGCACATGTTAGCTCAAGAAGTGCAAGTTGTTCAAAGTATAGACAACTAAGGACAGGAGGACTTTCAGTGGCTTGGAGGATCATGAGGTTGTTTGTATAGATGCGAAGTTCTACCCTTCCTTAGCTGACACTGACAGCTCATCCTCAACCAACAAAAGAAAACGTCATGCCAGTAATCGCGTCAAATTCGTCAACAGCTGCCAACACTAACCAAAAACACAACGAAAACTCGAACAGCGTCCACCTACATAAATTGACTTCACATCAGCATCATGGCCACGACAGCCGACGCCACCCCAAAGGCAGCCAGCTGTCCGAATGCGCTGCTGATGCGCCTAGTACCACTGACAGAGGCAGCAGTCGTCAGCGTGCTCGAATCCCAACAGTACCTATCCAGGCACGTAGAGCAAATTCCACTCCTCGCCTCTCCTGCTCGCTCCCTCGCACGGTCAACAATAGCGCATGCGAGACACGAGGGCCAATCCGGATCCGTCGTCACTCCGTTTGTTGGGTACCCCTGGGTCGCGATGACCAATGTCTGGCTAAGCATTGCTTGGATCTCTGACAACGCATAAGATAATTGGGTGGTTGAGGTGTTGGTGACGGGAGCTTGACCATTGTGGGGTGGACCACCGTTAGCAAGGTATATGAGAAGCGGGGTGCTTGCGTTCGAACTGGTGGTGTTGCATCCAAAGAACGTTGGGCGGGTAGTCAGGTTTTGTGCGGTGAATTCTCCCAAAGCAGTGGGAACGGGAGGGAATGAGTAAGCAGAAGGGTAAAGCGATGTACGATTTTGCGTGGCCTGGCAAGAGTTTAGATGTGAAGCTTATTCGACAGTTGCGTATGCTTACAATCAAAGAGCTGCCATCAGCAAAGCCGTTGATATCGTTGGTCTGAGTTGAAAATCAACTAATGATCGCGACGTTCATACGAACAAATGCTTACAGCATCAATAGCGAAAATAACATCGACGCCACGTGCCTTCACGAGGAGAGGTTGCAAGGGGATAACTTCGCCATCCTCGCCACCGTCCACCATATTCAGGTTTGTTTGCGCAGAATCAATGAACGTGTCCGGCGCTACGCCATAGAATGGATTCGGCCAAGACGCAACATCATATTCAACCTTCGCTTCAGGCAGGATACTCTCCATAAGAGATAAAATAGGCCCATATGTCGTACTCAAGGTACTCTGATAGCTACTTCAGACGTGTTACAAATCAAAGAACGGAACGGAACCCACATTGGCGGTATTAAATAGTTCGGAAGATGATCCAGCGACGAACGCCGACTGATCATAGTTAGTGATGCAGATACTGTTGTTTGTCGTTCCCAAGTATTTGGTAGGCGTGAATGCAGAAAGCTGCGGATCAAAAGAACCCGTTTCAACTGTTCGGATGCGTTCAGGGGGCCAGGAACAAAAGATCGTGGTTCCATACTCACAGACATTGAACTCGAATATGGGGTTGGTTAAAGGCACATAGTCTCCTGCAATAATCTCCGACGAATTCTGACCCGGAGCTTGAAGGTCCGCGACCACAATTGGGAATGGTATCGAGTAGGATGTAAAAGAAGTCCTTGAACCAGAATCAATGAGTGAACTTCAAGAGATTGAGAGTAAGCCCACGTGTTTGCAACGGCAGACCATAAGATACCAGCTCCATGAGTGTATGACTCGTCAAAGAAGTTAGACGAGAAAGTGCCATTCGTAAAATGCCTAGCTAGTGCGCGCGCCCAATAGTCCGCAAACGTTACTACGTAACCTGCATCGTACTTGCCACGCAACTCCTCCACAAGGTCCGTATAATATTCCGTATCCGTGACAGGATTAGAGCTTGGCGTTGCAATATCATAGTCGGCGTTCCATCCTCCCCACGAATTGTTAGACACTGTGGGACTGGTGGGTCCAAGGATAAGCTCTTGCATGGTGGGGAAATTGGCTTGAGTAAGGGATGTGATGAACCAAGATCCGCCTGACAACCCCGATAGATATGTCGCTGCCTGAAGCAAACCCCCTATTCCAGCAGTGTTGGAGGATGAGTTTCGTGCGTCTAGCGCGTTCAGAACTCCTGCACCAAATATTGATGCTCTATACCCTCCTCCACTCGTTGCAATGCCTAGAGTTGGGATCTCGGAGCTAGCGCCCGAAAGAATGCTTGAGACGTAACTCGGGAGGGAAGGATTGGTGGACTGGACATTGGAGAGGTATGTCTTCCAGGCTTGCGGGAGGACTTCGGCCTTGCGATTTTGGACGTAGGAGGCCTCGGATGAGCTGAGGGTCTGATTTCCAGGAGTACCAGCCATTCGCACCAGGTTGAAGCCTGCAGGACACCGCGCGGCAACAGGTGTGTATGCCTGAGATGCTACGCTCTGAGCTGTAGCGAACATGCATAACCATGGCAAGATAGCAAGTAAGATGGCAAAGCGATTTTGCAGCATTCTCAAAAACGAGAAAGACGAATTTCACCGTCTGAGACAGATGTGATATGTCGAAAAGAAAGTCGTACCACCACGTCCTCGTGGACGCATGATACACGTTTCAGCCAACCTCAGGACTGCTGCTACAATTACGTGTGAGACTACCAGTTCCAAATTAGAGAGCGCACCGGAGTTCGCGAAGCTCCCGCCAGTCAGGACCCGAACCAATGGCGAACAACACGTTGCTGCAGTTCGCTTCCACCGCATTGCGATCGATGCCCACCGATGTCCTAGGAAGCACTCGTGCGAGGTTGAACGTTTCCAACAGAGCAATCAATTCCAAAGTGGTTCATGTCGATCTCCAAGATTTGCTGTGAAGCTATATAAAATGACAAAAATAGCCCCCCGGCCTGTGTTCGGCACGCGCTGCCTCAATCATTGAATCAATGGCTAGTGTATCGGTAATCTTTTTGGCAAAAATGACTTACTTGAGAGAAAGCCTCGCGTAGCTAAACCATCATTTCACCAGGCTGTATCTAGTATTTTACAGCCACTGTCACAAGTCCATACCATACCACCGTACAGACTTTGGGCGCAAACGGTCACCACTGTTGGTATATAGATACCGTAAATGAACTCATTTCCGAGAAAGGATCCCAGTGGTTGTGTGGTCAATGGCGTATGACCCGTGACGTTATCCATGTCACGAGAACGCTCCGTGCGCATGAGTGTTCATTTCAGACTGAGGATAAATAATCAGTACTCAGTCACTGTAAATGGACTTATCGGAACACCACCCACTGGCATCAGATATCTGATTTCGCTTAACACATGATACGTCGCCCTCACCAGGGTATAGCATAGAACATCTGAATTGTTTTACTTCGAGACATTCACGAGCGCCTGTTCAAAATGTTCAAGTGGGCATCCAAAGTCCGGGACAGGTAACAGGTTGGACAAACAAACGAAGCAGTGATCCCCGTAAAATGCGTGGGTCTGATATATATATCTGAAATTCTGAACGCATATATCAACGTTCGTTCTGGACGGGTAAATTTGACGACGCGTAGAAGCGCGACGAACAAACTTAAGAGTCGAGCTCTTCTGAAGTTCTGGTGCATCATATTGTCGGAGTATCATGTCGGAGTATCAATACTTACATAAGGCTTTCAACAGCCTGGCCGGCCTAGCTATATAAGGAGCAGAGCTGGAAAGCGTGTATCGCGAAGAGGACGAGTAGATTCTACAGACAGGTATAAGGTATTGTATTGTAGGTGTAATTCTACAATTACCCACTTTCCCTGTGCCGTCTTATGATGCTGTAAGGACGTTGTGTTGACTAAAGTTTACTCTGTAAACGCGTTTCATCGCCATGAGACTGACCCAGATACCACAACGTAGCATCCTTGAGCTCACGCATCCACTCCTGCATGGTCTCCTCGCTGAAAACGCGCTGATCATAGGAAGTAAAATAGTGTAACTGCTGGTGCATAGAAGACGCCGCAAGATAGAGCTCCGCAGGATGCGCATGAAGATGGACACGCCAGAACTCAATATGGAGTCGTGGTGTTTTGGCGTCCTCGACGGCATCAGCAGGGGGGGACCATGCTGGATATCCCGTGCGATTGGGATGGGGCATACTGCACAGGGGTGACAGCTCCTGATCAGGAGGTAGAGGATAGTCCAGGGGTAACACGTTATCCACCTGGAAATCTTTAGTTGGTTGAACCTAGATTATGAGAGCTACTGACGTTGCCAAGGGTGGATCCTAATTGTGTGACAATCGGGTTCAAAGACTGAACGGGTCTTGCACTTTCATGACCATCATCTGGAAAAACGCTATCTCTCGTCTCTAGCCACTTCAACGCCACTTCCCTCGTTGAAGCAACACGATCATGTCCAGCGGTACATATATCAACGAACCGCGGGTGGTTAAATACTTTCTGGGCTTGTGCCCTCACATTAGCGCACCGGAGAAGAAACCGGTCAAAAGACATGAGCGCCGGGAAGTCCGGTGCCCCATCGACAAGTTCCAGCTTGCTCGCATCCCCCTTCGACATCTCGCCAAGGGGCATGAATGGAAGTGTGTACCAGAAGAAGCTGATATTGATACCAATATCGCCTGAGCCGCCCGTCTGGAACCAGTCTCTGTCTTGGTATGGACGCAAGTTCAACCCCCCGGAGAGGTGCATGGGTTGGCGCTTCCTGTACTCCCATTCTTCTTTCGAGATCTGACCCTTGAGGTACCGTCGACATAGAACGCGTGCCAGGGCCACTTGGCTGAGAGCATAGTACGCGTTGTTCATGGTAATTTTATGGCGACGGCAATTGGAGAGAATGATGGATGACACTTGGCTAGAAAACATAGAGACGTGGCTGCGTGATTTAGCGGGTGTACGAGGTGTGGATTCCCTGAAGTTTCCGGGGAGGGTGTGACCACCCTGTCCCGATGCTTCAGCTCTACTACGATACCACGGACTGAGCAACTGGAATGCCAACCTTGAATTTAGACATCCACACCGTGAAAATTGCATAGCCTAAAGCCCGCCTCCACCGTTGTTTGACAAGCGGAATATCCCCATAACGCAAACGGTTCTCTAAAGGCTGATACATATGCACTCTTTCGCCCAGAGGAATGTATGGTGGTTCAATCCGAGATGACAGTGTGTCTATGAACGTCCTAAGAACTGTGCTCATGGACGGTGCATCCGTGACGCAGTGAGCGGACATAAGCACAATGTGGAAATGGTCACTCCTGTCTGTTCGGCGCAAAATGTAGGCACGAGCAAGCAATTGAGATGAAAGGACTCGCGGTCCATCCATGATTTCGTTTATGAGGCATTCAGCGTGGTGAAAGGAATTGACCTCCTTGAATGTGACATCATCGGGTCGAAGATTTGTGACCGCTTCTTCACGCAGAATGAAGCTTGGACCAGACTCATGCTCTAGAACTTCAGCCGCAATGAGGGGAAAGCGTCTTTTGACAGATCCCCAAGAACGCATGACATTCAGTTGTGAATGAATGTCTCGGTCATCTGTCTGTATGGTGCGAAGGTGTACGTGCACCACGATATCTGCTGTGCTGTTAAAAACGCTATCCCAATAGAAGGATGATTCGGTGATTCCGAGTGGACGATAGAAAACACGTCGACCTGGAGTAGAATCTAGTGACGTCCAAGGGGGAATCATAGCGAAGCTGACGTCTAGAGGGAAGCGCTAGGAGGATCTAAAAGCGGGTGACGACCCAGTGCACTATACTTAAGGAGCGAGAAGAATCAAGCGCGTGTTAGGTTAGCTTCGGGTTAGGACCTAGTAATAGCACACACTTTGATAATTAAACTGCGAAATTCCCCGGCGACCGACTTGGGGATTTGAAAATCCCCAAAGTTGTCCGATGACAGCCGTGTGGGGATGTGCATAAACAACGTTATCCATTGCGTAGTGGAAGGTGAAGGTCAGTGAGAACATATATCACTAAGTCTTCTGCTGTCACGTCGCTAGCTTTTGCTACCATATCGTCACGGTTCTGCTGTCATTGCCAAATAAGTCATGCCCAGGAGCCACCAGTGACTCGGTGAGGACGTACGATCAACAAATCCGGCCTCTGTGCTGTGGTAAACCTTATATTGTTAGTTGTACAAGCCATCCGACAGGTTGGGTTCTTGGAGCCATATGATATGATCGTGAGTTACACTGGTCCGTCAAGAGCTATCAAGAGAGTAATTGGGCCACGCACAAGGGAAGGACCGCATATAGTTAGTAGCACTGGCAAGGACGGTTGTCACTTAAGCAAGCCATGCGCATTGACACGATGCGTCATGCTTGAAGCTTGAGCCTGAATATGATATGATAAGTACTTATCAATTGAACTTCACTAAAGTTGAAGAGACTCTGTCGGAGTTGAAAAATGTCTTGACTCAACATCATGTAGTTCACCCGCAACACCATAAGCTTATCGTCCTCGACAACAAGCACCTCTGCTAACAGACATCATCATCACCATCATCATCATCATCATCATCATCATCACCACTAGCTACGACGCTACGAAACTAGTAGGTCAGCGACTGTTTACTAGTAGCCATTTCGTAGATTTGCAAGGCAGGAGGATGGTAGCCCGGTCTCTTTTTTTTAGTGTGATCTCACTCACCCGCTCAACAAGTCCACCATACCTCTCGCCTGCAACTCCCGAAAACTGCGTACCATACGACATCCCGGTGTACTTATGTAGATTCATCGATGTTGTGGAATCCGATTCAACTATTTGCATCATGACTGAAAGCGAGAGGACTGGCTGATTTGGGGACTACACCAAATTTCAGTCAGAACTGCCCTTTCCGTCTGCGTGATCGTCTCTTGCTTACATTTTGAGCCAGCTCTTGTGTTTCTGAACGACTCCGCTTCCTCCACTCATAGCAATGTTCGTCCGAATATCACCCCTTCAGAAGTTGGGAATCCCAAGGACAATCTTTCTGTGATATGTGTGTCTGTCTTCTCAAGTGTGCCGTGCGCCTCCCAGTAACACTTCCATTATAGACTATGGGTGGCCTCATGCTAGACGCAATGGCATGCGCGCCCCCAGAAGTCAGCCGCCTCATCCACCCGCCTACCCTCTTCTAGGGGTGCCATACCTTCGTCTTTCCTTCCCTCCTTCAAAAAACTTCTCAACCCGAATCCTAAGTCACGAATATCGCCGAAGAAGTAATGATCACCTTGTGAGCGACCAGGATTCAGCCACTGGAAAAATTTATCTGTCCTGACCACGGCATTGTGATGGGCACCATGCTTACCGTTCCGGTCGCTGCACTTCTTTCAATTTCTTGGAATGACACAAGTTTACAGCCGCAGACGTCGGAGCACTTGGCCAGGAACGGTTCTAAGAATAACACAACCACTCAGATATTGCCAAGTCCACACGCCAATAGCAGGATTTCGCAAATCACCGCCTAGTGTCATAGCCTTTGGGGCACCTTTACCCCACACGCCTAGCGCTGGATTCGCGACGTAGGCGCTTAATCCTCCCATGAGCGTCTACCACTGCAGGCACATATTGGTTTATGAGCATCAGGGACAGTGGGACAGAAGAACACCTCACCCACCTGATACAGGAGCACACATAATGCAGTAACATATACCCGTCTCAGACGGGCAGCCGGGCGTGACAATGTGCCGATAGAGACGGGTCACCCGGTGCCGGCCCATGGCAATAATTGTACCATGTTAGACGAGTGGGCCGAGGGGGTGGAGTGTCCAAGGCAAACAGATGGGCCGGGTGTATATAGTATAGATGGTAGTATAGCAATGTACTATATAGGAAATTATGAATAGTAGTAGTGAATCCAGTGTGTGATAGATGAGTGGGCCGGAGAAATGGAGTGCAATATAGATGAGTGGGCCGGGGAACTGGGGTGTGATGGAGACGAGTGGGCTGGTAAATGAGGTGCAATGGAGACGAGTGGGCCGGTACATAAGGTGCAATGAAGACGAGGGGGCCGGAGAATAGGGTGCAATTGAGACGAGTGGGCCGGTTATAGCAGGTGCAATGGAGACGGGTGGGCCGGTAAATAAGGTGCAATTAAGACGAGTGGGCCGGTATAGCAGGGAGACGAGTGGGCCGGTACATAAGGTGCAATGAAGACGAGGGGGCCAGAGAATAGGGTGCAATTGAGACGAGTGGGCCAGTATAGCAGGTGCAATGGAGACAGGTGGGCCGGTAAAGGAGGTGCAATGAGGACGAGTCGGCCGGTGTTATTGGGTGTAATGAAGACGAGTGGGCCGGTGATATGGGGTGCAATGAAGACGGGTGGGCCGGCATTATAGGGCGCAATGGAGATGGGTGGGCCGGTGATATAGGGTGCAATGAAGACGAGTGGGCCGGTGATATGGGGTGCAATGAAGATGGGTGGACCGGCATGATAGGGTGCAATGGAGACAGGTGGGCCGGTATTATGGGGTGCAACAACGACCGGTATTTATGTAACCAGTTGCTTGTGGTAACATAGCACTCAATCCGGCGATTCCACCAGTGGTCTGATCATGTAAAATGGTTAAGATTTGACAAAGTTATGAGCCCTACAAGGGAAAGCCATAAATTTAGAGGATATTATGATGTATTGTATCTAGACCATTGCAACCGGTATTTTTTGACCGGTCACGTAAATACCGGTCAAAAAATACCGGTTGCAATGGTCTAGATACAATACATCATAATATCCTCTAAATTTATGGCTTTCCCTTGTAGGGCTCATAACTTTGTCAAATCTTAACCATTTTACATGATCAGACCACTGGTGGAATCGCCGGATTGAGTGCTATGTTACCACAAGCAACTGGTTACATAAATACCGGTCGTTGTTGCACCCCATAATACCGGCCCACCTGTCTCCATTGCACCCTATCATGCCGGTCCACCCATCTTCATTGCACCCCATATCACCGGCCCACTCGTCTTCATTGCACCCTATATCACCGGCCCACCCATCTCCATTGCGCCCTATAATGCCGGCCCACCCGTCTTCATTGCACCCCATATCACCGGCCCACTCGTCTTCATTACACCCAATAACACCGGCCGACTCGTCCTCATTGCACCTCCTTTACCGGCCCACCTGTCTCCATTGCACCTGCTATACTGGCCCACTCGTCTCAATTGCACCCTATTCTCTGGCCCCCTCGTCTTCATTGCACCTTATGTACCGGCCCACTCGTCTCCATTGCACCTCATTTACCAGCCCACTCATCTCCATCACACCCCAGTTCCCCGGCCCACTCGTCTATATTGCACTCCATTTCTCTGGCCCACTCATCTATCACACACTGGATTCACTACTACTATTCATAATTTCCTATATAGTACATTGCTATACTACCATCTATACTATATACACCCGGCCCATCTGTTTGCCTTGGACACTCCACCCCCTCGGCCCACTCATCTAACACGGTACAATTATTGCCATGGGCCAGCACCGGGTGACCCGTCTCTATTGGTACATTGTCACGCCCGGCTGCCCGTCTGAGATGGGTGAATTCACTGAAGGGGCTCAGGAGCAGCCAATGCCTGAGAGGTGTGTGCACTTACAGCACCCGCACCAGGCATGCACAACAGGTGATTGATCCTGTCCTCGGTTGGTATGACACGAAAATGAGTTGAGGGTAAGGAAAAGTGATGATAGTGAGAAAAATAACATTGTCGATGCATGGATATCACAACATTGTAAGCCCGGTGGCTTACCTGACACAGCACAAACACACGAAATACCATGTAGGTAAAATGTGGGTAAAGTGTGAAAATTCACGAAAATATCACGATGTTTTCTGTTAGATCTTCTCGTCGGGCAATTTGCCAGAAGTCACAGACTTTGCATGGAATCTAAGACATGTTTGCCTTACATTTTCCCTACAATTTACGCAAAATTTCCTTACATAGATACATTCACCGCAGGCTATATAATCACGCTTCGACATAGCTTGAAAACATGCATCGCGCTTCGGGATCCAATGCAGCAAGCTCAATTATATAGAAGAGTGATACAGGACACATTGATGATAAGGCGGACAGGCTGATTGAGAGCAACAACACGTTAAATGCCCCCACAATGTCCCATGCAGTCAAGCCCCGAATACAACTTCAACTTTCCGACCCCTCTTTCATATGGTCCTCCAGCCGTGCCAGCAGGCCATCCATATGGCGGAATGGTTGGTGCACATGGTGTGGAGGCACATGGTGTGTACCCAGGTGGTCCCAGTCCTGGAGGAATGCCAGGTGGTCGTCCAGTATCTGCTCCAGCCACGACACTAGTGCCTTCCCGCTGTCCTGAGTTTGAGCGCCCATCTTCAGTCCTTCCTGTCGTTGATCCCAGACTCTCTGCCAGCGTTTCTGGGAGTGTAGGTCCAAGCGCCTCGACAGAAACCGATGGCGGGTCTCAAAAGTTGAAAGTGTCGCAAGTCTTAAGCCAGATGGCAACTATCAACCGTCGACTAGATCTTGCGGAGAATCAGGAACTGCAACACACACAGGAAGTCTGTGCACTGGAGATGAGATGTGCTCAGCACGTCGAAGCTGTGAGGAATGAGATGAAAGCCGAGATAAGGAGCTTGGAGGAGTCGTTCGAGCAGAAAGTTGCCAGTATGGTCGCAAGTATCGAGAGTCGCGTTGATGGAGGAGAAGCAGCCGGCGCTGAGAGTGATGAAGAGTTTGAGAGAGATGTCGAGAAGATCGAAAAAAGTGCCCTCGTGTTTGGAGATAATGGTCTAAAGGTTCGCAGATCAGTAGAATTAAAAGGGAACACCGCAGTACTAACCAGTATACTACACCGTTTGCAGGCAGTTGTTCGGATCATTTTTCAGATGCTGATGGGAATCGCCAAGCTCACTGCCGATGTTCTTCCTCCATACCTGAGTGACGACGACAACTGGCCGCTTGATCCTGCCACCCAAAATCATTTGATGCAGTTCCACTGGACAGAATCTCATCAGCATTCTGACAATCACGCCAATATCCTGCGGGTCATTGCTTACATTCGTCAGCATGGTGCTACTGTTACAGGGACCCTCAGACCCCTATCATCTCCACCAAATGTCGCTGTCACAACCACGTCACAACACGTGACAGATGACATCACCGGCACGTGACTAAACTGCAGAGCACAGCATGACAGCTGTTGGAGCAGAACAGCTCTGGAACCGACCTAGACCGGGATCAATAGAAGCCGCACGCTTCTCCCTTATCGCCCCTACCGATACACTGGTAGCGACTATCATTTATCCTATCGCTTATCATGACAGATAGTGTTATCTGACTTGGACACCTACCACTGTGCCGGTACCATACTCTGGACCCTTACCGTTGAACCGGTGTGGGTACAACAAGTGCAGCAGAGAGAAATCGATCTACTACACAGTTGGGTCTTTGCTGCCTGCTGCCTCGCTTGGGAACAAGTGCGTTCAACCCTAAAGGGGATTGCTACTGGGGAGTACTAGTCTCTGTCTAAACAACCCTAATCAACCCTCCCGCAGGTAGGATGGGGATCCGCAAAAATGCGGAACAAGCAGAACAAGCAGAACTCGCACGGAACAAGCGGAACCCGAGCGGAACTCAAGTGGAATGGAAAGGAATGAAACGGAACTCAAACAGATAAAGCGCGGAACGTACTGATTCGTCGGAACTCGCAGGCGAAGTCGAAGGAAGTATATCACAAGGTTAGATTGATAGTGGGCATGAGTCAAAGCGATCCTCTAGTAAGGTGAAGGAAAAGTGGGAAGGTAAAAGATGGGATTCAATTCAATACCCCCAAGCCCTGAGTACCACTACTTAAAGGGAAGATTATTTTTAAGGAACACTGAGGTACAGGTAGTAAGTCTCTCAGGAAGCGGAAGTGAAGGCAGGCAGTGCACATGGGCGCAATACTCCGGAATAGGGGTCCGTGCCATAAGGGCATGTGTCAGTTTGATCTGGATAACGTTAGGAACAGCGGGAAGAGGAACACAGTGTACCAATGGACCTGGAAGGATGGGGACAGGACATGCGAAGGTTGTCCAATGATGCGCGGGAATATCGGATAGTGCGGGCGGGTTCCGAAGGATGCGCGGGAATGCGGAACCCATCGGACGATGCGCGGGAAATGCGGAATGTGCAGAATACACGGAACTGATGTGAGACGATGCGGAAAGGATGGGGTTTTACACCTACAGTGGGGGAATTCCCCACACCAGTACTCTTATCTTTGAGTCCTTATGACTCACATAGACGCTTACCTAGTTGGGACGCTTTCTGGCTACCCAAGCCTACCCTGAACTCATAGGACGATACCTATATATACCACTGTAGTTAGACCATGTATTTCTCTAACTTGATCTTCACTTGTGATATACGACTATAGCTTCTTCTTTGAACCTTTAGTCAGTCATTCTGGATGGACAGCCTCCATTCAGTCTTCCATCGTCTCGGTGCTCCATGAAGCGGACACAGGATTGACCCTATCAAGTGCACTGTTGGAAAGCCGGGCTTTCCCGTAACAGCTACCGTTTGCGCTGGCAGCGGTCCCGCTCTTTGTGACATAAGTGAAGAGGATCTGCATGAACATGTTGTCAAGAAATATCAAGAATTACAGAAAAAAAAGTGCAGCCATACCGGTGTGAACACGACTGCAATGGCAGGTACAGTCAACAATGCTCCTGTGTCTGAGTTGGCCATAACAGTCACAAAACCCTCATGGTCTAAATTACAGAGTCGTGCAAGAGGCATAAGTCTTCATATTGATATTATAAATATCATAACTGACCTGTATACTATAGAAACTTGAAGTTCATATCCGAAAATTTGAGAACCTGCCCGAAGGGTCAGAGTTTGGAGATGAGAAGTATCACACAGCACTCACCGAATCATTGATGTCCCAAGATGAAGACGAGGTCAACGCGCATGGACAGAAGACCAGACATTTTGTTTCCCATGCTGGAACATATCGGAGTGATATTGTAAGTCCAATAACACCCGGCAAAATTGACACTCACGCCCAACAAATTCAAGATGGTGAAATTCTTGGCTGCAGTGGATGAGGCGCTAGACCCAAACCAACCTCCTCACTTCACCATTCGTGTTAAAGGCGATCCGAAAGAGCTTCCTGTCTTGGCCGCCAAGAAAATCGAAAATCGAGCGCATCAATGGATGATATCAGCAGAGTGGCTCGCACAAGAAGAAAACAAGAAGTATGACTCACCTAGTTACATCCTGGATAATGGGCGTGCATGGGGAGATCTGAAGGATCCTGAGGAGACGATGGCAGGCCAGAAGTGAGTCAAGGAACAGAAGAGGCTGATTGCATTGAAGAAGCGCATGAAAATTGAGGAGATGGAGGCAAAGAAGAAGGAAACTGGGACAAAAAAAGGTAAAGGAAAATCAAAGGTGATGAGTGACAAGGGGAAGGGACGAGAGAGTATGCCCGCTCCAGCACAGCCAGTAGTGAGTACTAGCAAAGCTCATGAGCTGCCTCCTGCTGCAGAGTCAGATTATGAATTCAGTGACTAGAAAAGTGCACACCTCGTCTTCTAAATAGTCTTCAGGTTCATTCCCTGCCTGTAGACTTTTTTGAGACTGTTACACAAGAGTTATTTGTACACTTACATGGTCAAACGAGATGGTAATCCATAGATCCTTTTTGATGATGTTGGAGTACACTGGAATCAGTGCCAGTGGGCACTCGATCCATGAGACCGGAATCACTTCCTGAGGGCCCAGTTCAGCATAGGAGACATGAATACCAAGTGTAGATGCGCTGAAAAGAGATGAGTGTTGGTATCTGCTAAAAGAAATACCTTACTTGAGGTCCCACGGCATTGCGGGAATGTTATCATCAAAAACTAATCTCCACACCACCGCACAAACATGAGGAATGACATCGAGAACACCGACCACGAATAGTGCCATGATCTGCACAGGGACACGAGTTCTACCTTGAGATATGAATGCAGATGAGTTGGAGTGCGTGCGTTGATTCATGGTGCAGCCATAACGAATGCCATCCTTGCGAATGTACGTGAGGGCACGAGCTACCTTGTTTGCATAGAAGGGGGTGTCATTATCGCATGATAAATCACCGACAAGGTTCAGGTCAGGCCATAGAGAGCGAAAGTACTGGAGGAGAATAGGGTAGAATACTCCTTGAGGCGAGCCGTATGTATGGAGATTGATCAATTTTGCAGTACGGAGTGGTAGCCTAACATTGTCTGATGGAAAATGAGCATCAGTTGATAGATTGGTGCGAAAAATAAACACATACCTTTGGCAGCTTCACTCTGATAAACTGCTATCTGTGTCATCATACTTCCACGGTCTTGAGCTTGTACCTTGATGATGCGGTTAATTTGGTCTCATTCGAAAGAATGAGTGTCAGTGGGAAGAGCAAGAAGATACTCGTAAATGAGATGAGTTTGGACCCAGTTCCTCAAGAGAGTCAACTCGATCTGTCCTCCATCGTGACCGTTTGTCATGAATTCCAAATATGAACCATTTTTCATTTCTCGGTTTCCCTTTGGCTACTTCCAGAACCTGAACCGGTCATGTGACTCTTCACCCTGTCACACCTTCACCTCTTCACATATCACCCATGGTTTCTCCGATTGGCTCCCCTACTCCATGGGCTAGAACAATCTCGCTTCCCAAAGAAGAACCGGTCGGAGCTTGGGTTTCTATTTAGTTGCCGTATTACTCATTCGCTTATATATCATGATGTCATACTTAGTCATCCGCAGTATCGTACGACTCTTTTCTCATTGGCTGATTTCTTTCAGACTCCTATTCAATGTTATGTATATAAGTAGGTTAGTTAGCGTAAGTACTCCTTAGACTTAACCTCTTTGTTTCCTACGCTTGTAGTGACTTAGACGTTCATGCTCAATACCATCTTGTTCACTATCCTCTCTGACTGAGTCCTAGTGGTTGTGTGCTCGCCTTCATCATTATTGGTGAACGTTGGTCATAACACTGTTATGCTGAACACGTTCCAACATACCATTGAACCGCTCAAACGCAAAGAGCCACCAGCCATATACCAGACCGCATTTCTTGATCATGTCAGCTGTGTGCATGGAAGCTTGATGGTTGATGGTGAGTGGGATGTGAAGCTGCAGACATTCTAGGCAGTAGTGGGCTAGGAAGCTCTGACCAGTGCAAGCCTGAGCCATTGAGATTGAGTGGGATGCCAGAATGCGGACTCCCATGCAAAGATGAAGTATGGCTTGATACAACAAGCGCTGGTTACACGAGAAATCCGGGGCAACGGTGTTGGGTGGAAGAGGAGGCTTCGAGTTTGGTATTTCGTCGTTAGCATCCCTCCAAGACCACCAGAGAATGACAGGGGTGATTGTTAGAATACGACACCACTCATCTGCCTTCTTGAGTGATTGATTTTCACCTAGCTGATCGAGAATCAATGTAAATCAACAATCACAGTGGGTAAACATACATTTTTCAGCAATTGAGTTACATGGCTGGGCCATTTAACGGCATTCATGATATCTTCGAAGTGATGTTTTGGTGACTCGTTACCACCCATTCCTGATAGCATATATCCACCGAATAGTATGTGCATAAATAGATGTGATATGATGCCTTCAACAGGCCATCAGTATTAGTGCTTGCAAGAAGAAAACACGTACCAAGGAAGATACAATGCATAAAGTCGAGCACCAACTTCTCCAGTCAGAGAGTAGATTGAGAATTGACCATCTGACACCATGATCCCTCAAGATTGCCTCTTGACGAGCAGGACCGGCATCCCTGGAGTAAAAACTCTGATGGAGCATATGAAAATTGTCCTTTGCAGACCATGCTATCCACCACGTATCATCCACATGAAAAATAATGCTAGTGTTTGCTTACTATTGTTGTAACCCTCTGGTGTATTGATCTTGACAACGTCAGCGTTGCAAAATGCACACAGATGGAAATCATGACTGTGGCCAGCCGTTCTGTTGCACTTATGTGAAGCCGGCATATTGCATGCAAGGACCTCGTTATCTGCAAACACATCTGCCGCTTCTTCCTCTCCATGAACGTCCATTTTCACGCCTGAGTATAATAACACAATACAAGTGAGCATACAATGAGTTATATCATGACTGCGTACCGTTCTTGAGGTCCATCAGCTCACGAGTCGAGGGCTCCAAGCAATAATTAATTTGCTGGATGTTTGGCTCCTTTGGACCTGGCATAATTGCAGCGCATATGACATTGACCTGCAAGAATCGCTGATTGCGTGGCAGGTCATTTATAGCATAGTAGATGGGACCACTAGAATGCGGCTGATTTTCAAGTATTCCCATCCTACATAATATCTAAGTAGTTGTTCAAGACGCACAATAAGACAGGTTTGAACTCACCAGTCAATATTCAAGGTCAAATGCAGGCCATATCGATGTTTGGTAAGCTTTGTCGCTGTCGGTCCATTATCCAGGTCTTGAGGGCGGTCACAGACGGTACCTAATTCACCAATCTCATGGACAGTGTTCATCTCGAGTTCATGCCACAGTGTGCCGTCGTGAATGTCTGTCATGACATAGTCATTGTCATTGTTTCGTTGTGGCTGGTCTTGTTGGCTGTCTCGAATCGATTTGGCAAAACCGGGTCACATAAACATCCGTCAAAGGCTTCCAATAAGGGATACATGTGGCATTATTTTTCTTGTGATCCGGATACACTTGCCTTTCGCATCTGTACGTTCATCGTATAATACTCCTGGGCAGTCCGGAACAGTACACTCGGGAGACGGAAGCTCCTTGAGTTGATTGGGTGTAAGATGCTTCCAGCAGTCGGGGCATATGGTGTATTGGGTGATCCATTGGTCAGGATCGATGCCAAGTTGACGCTTCGCGCTCAAGAGATGACGGACGGACAGGCCATGGATGCTCGGGTAATACACCTTCGAGAAGCATACAATTTAGTTGATTGTTGAGAGCGTCCGTTGCAGCTTGGATGCTCTGCTTTCCAAAGACGTTCGCTATGACTGTGTTGAGGTAGGCAAGACGGACACCCGGACGTTCTTGGAAGGCTTGTGGAACAAGGGACGGCCAATCCTCCTGATCTTGATCACTGCCGGGCACTCGCACATCAGGCCATGCCACTGCACGGAAATTGAAGTCTTGAAGCAGCTGGTTGCCAGGTATTTGGTGTCTTCTTGGATGCGGGATAGGAACTGGATCATCTGGATGATCATATGGCTCGCCTGCAGGCCCGGGTATGTTGTCATCTATAAAGTTAAAGTCATACTCATTTTCTTCGACCGTTGGCAATCAACCCTGCAGTCTCTCTTGGTTGATGCCGGTACCCTCAGATGGCCTGGACAAATTGGTTGTAGGATCCCGGATTGCCAATGGTTGTGCGACAGGGGGCCACTTCTTTGTATGTTTCACAACAACCTGCTTTGTCTGGTACGTGAATCCGTCAGGATGCTGCGAGCAGCGTGCACAGTTGCACTTGAAGCGAAGTCCTGTCAACATGGTCAGTTATACTCAAGGATGACTGGGACGTGCTCGAAAAGTACAGCATGGGACTTAGGCGAATTTGTGCGCATGTCGGCGTCCGTTGACGTCATGTGTTTTACAACGTGATTATTTACCAGCATGAAATGATGGTTTATTTCAAATGTATCTAAGAATATTCAGGCTGGTATTTTGAAGTCGTTAACATGTCACCAAAATGTGAGGAAATCTGAAAATGTGAGAAAATATCCTAGCACCGTATTTCTCGCGTTTGTGCTGTGTGAGTTCCCATAATCAGCATAAATACTGTCCGAGATAATGAAGCATGAGCTCTCATTATCACTGCCTTTTGGTGTAACGGTTAAGGGACAACAGTCTTGACTACTTACAAACATATGACAAAGACTGCTGTTTCTATGGTTGAAGAATGAGAACTCTGTTTGTTGGGATGAACACGTCATGGACCAGGCGTCTTCAATAAAGATGTGCTTCTAGCCTGTGAGGACATTTCAGTGACTCCGTCCATTGCTGAGATTGAATATATGAGCAATGTGCAATACTGCAAGAACAGACAGCAATCAAATGACGCATCACAGAAATGTGGTAAAGCTGAAAAGTGAACCGTCAAACACTCAGGTCACTATTAGTGCTGTAAGATCTTCTATGCTTGCTTCTCTTGTCCAAAAGACTTTTGAGTAAACTTGCAGGCATCCTCCCAGACGCTAGTGTTCACCAGTGAAGTATGCTCACAATCGGTTACCGCATGACATCTCTGGTACCGGTGAAATCACTACATCCTCGGTCCATTGATGCGTCTTACGATCATTGTCATTGCACCTTGTACAGCTGGAAAGGTATGTCTATTATTCATGAGTGAACAATTCGCTTATGCGATCTAGTCGGTCACACATCACCTCTATCCGAGTACACACCCCACAGTCTTTCTTCAATATGACCTTGATAATGAGTTCAACAGTGGTGATCCAGTGGGTATTTCGAGCGCTATTCTCGTTCTGTCGATGTGCTTTGTACTGAATGGGATTTCTTTTGCTGTGTGGAGCATGGTCATCTTGTATTACCTTCGGAAACTTGAAGAGGAGCACTGTAAATGTGCAGAACTAGATCCTATTCATCAGGAAAAACCCCCTTTTAATATTAGAGAGAATTTGATCAAATTTGATCAAAGGTGGAAAACCGTGTACTGTTTTCTCAAATGTGCGATAAAAAGATCCAATATTCAACAAATTCAGACAATTGTTAGCAGGGCCCCAGAATTCACTACAGTTGGGGAAAGTTATTTGGTACTGGCAGTACTAGTATTTTCCGTATACCATGTAACTAAAATACAGTTACATATGCATCTCGGTCAGTGAAGCTGTTGACAAAAAAAGTGCTACACTGATCTAATACATTGCTCGTAGTCCATTCACATGGAGCCACTGCCCCAAATTTGGGTATTAAGTGGACAGAGCGTCGAATATTGCGGATAGGGATAATGCTGGATTGCCTCTCACCATCATAAAGGGCACGTGAAACCTTGTTATGCAACAACCATACCAATACCGACACTACCTTTGGTGAGTGACCTGGACTGCTAGGTATGTAGTTGTGCATGTCCTCATAGATGCTGACACAGGCAGAATTTCTGGTTTGTGTGAGGTGACGTGAGTACCCACTCTCACTAAACGTGCAACCGCAGCCATCACAGACTGGCATGTTGCAGTGGCTGTAGTGCTTGAAGTGTATGTCGGGATATAGCGGAACATCGAAGTCCAAATTTGTAAGTGTCAAATTTTTCAGTTGCGCATCCGACCAACTCAATTCTGACTCTGATCTCTTGCTCTCACTCTATCAGATTTTTTTGATGTCAACTCCGACCAAAAAGGCTGCTGCAATGTGTGCTGCCAAGCTGAAGAGGCGTGTGGAGGCCGCCGCTACTCCTGAATCTGCTCCGAGTCGTACATCATGGTTTTATCAGTCTCGCTTTGTTTTTCTGATGGCCTGATCATCTGGCATTAAGGAGCTTCCCGACAATCCAAGACCACAGCACTGAAAAATCAAGGTGCGCCAGCTGTCTGAGTCAAGCTACATCTTCTGACTCACTTGAGCAAAATTACAGTTTGGATGTCAGAAAAGAAGACACAAAAGCGGGCCGCATCGAGCACAGCTGAGCCTGATCACGCCAAGCAGGCATGAACTTGTAAGTTTGATTAGACTTTTGTATATTGTCACTAATATGCCATAGTGGACAAAAAAAACCTGACCCTGCGAACAGACAGAAGAGCAGTGTTACACGGCCAGCAGCGCAACTTTTTGAGTCTGACTCAGATGACTTCAAGGTTGATGGAAGCAATGGTGCCATATCTGATTTTGGAGCTGAGTCAGACGACAAAATTGAGGAATCAGATGATGACAGTATTCTGGGACTCATTGGTGACAAGCTGAAGGCCACCCTTGACTATGAGGTATGTGCTATTGTCATCAATGATTTTACATCCAAGTGTCTTGATTATTCGCATAGCAGCCTCAATTTACCCCACGTAATGATGGTATGTGACATCTGAGTCCTCCTACTAGTACTAATTGACACTCTCGTGTAGACAGCAGCCTGAGCACTGCTTCATCATTCAGCTGTGAGAAAACGGCTTACAAAGGATGTGAAGTATGTACGTGTGTTATCTTCCGTGGTATGTGTATCATGTTGGCTTGAGTTTACTACCGTCATCTCATCATTTGCAGCCTGAAGGTCATATTGGCACCATTCGCGGGAATGTCAGGAAGGCTGCACAAGCACATGTGGCAAGCCACTATGGTCTCACAAAAGGTGCTGATGAGAGGGTCGCAGACCTTCTCAAAAACAAGGCTTACATTTATCCTGTGAACGTGAAGGTTCGTAATACCTTTATCGTCTATTCTATGCTTGAGCTGATGCCAGTGGCTTCATACACTACAGGGGGACCCTATCCGAACCAAACCGTTTCAAGCGCTGGTGATTTTGGACACCATTGAGGATGCTTTATTCAGCGACAAGCTTGCAGCGGGAGTAAAGTGGCATGATCATCTGACATCAACAATTGATGATCATCCTGACGAGGTTGAACTTCCTGTCGTGATGGTGGCACTTGCTAGCGCTGCGGTATGTTTTAATTGCTGTGGGTATGTTATATGTATTAATCAATCCCACAATTCAAGGTGTGCTCCGTCATTATGCAGTACTCCTCCGAAAAATTCGACCGAGACTTCAACTCAGACATGTACGGCGGGATCTATTGAACATTGGTTGGCATGTTGAATGGCATCTTCAAGGCCAGCGAGCGCATCAGGAAAATCAAGAAAATTCTTAATGAACCTTAGATCAACTTAGCATCACTTAATAAATATTTTAAGTCGGATTCAGCCAAGAAACATTAAGGGGATTGTGACTTGCCCCAAGTAGGGTCTTCGGATGAATGTGACTTAGCTGCTCTGATTGCTGTGCTTATTATCAGAGCTAAGTGAAAGGTAGTAGGGTTTTCAGATGAATGTGACTTAGCTCCTCTGATTGCTGTGCTTATTATTCAAGTTAAGTGAAAGGTAATAGCACTACTAAGGCTACTACTAGCAGGAAGACTGTTTCAAAATATTTTCAGGCTCCAAAGCTTCAAAAGTCAATATTAAGTCAAAGACAACTGAACTTTTGCATGGGTGACTTAGTGCTATTTACTATTGCATGCACACCACTTAATGACCACTTAATGTACTTCTCACTACTTTACTACTCTCTGAGTGGTCCTGACTGAGCTTGAGTGCACCTTTAAGGACAGAAAGTGAGATAAGCCAAAAGCAGCATGGTAGTAAGAAGCCTTCAAGCGGTGAGAAAGCATCCATTCAAGTCATGTGGTGAAGCAGTAGTACTAGCATTGTGCAAGAACATAGTACTAGGCTATAGGCTAGTACTTCAACTAGTTAGTAGTGGTAGGTCCATGATAGTATCACCAGCCTGAGATGGCAGCAGCAGCAGCGGCTTTCTAAGTCTCTGACTTGGAGTTGCTAGAGAAGGAAAGGGTAGTAGTACTAGTACAGTGAAAAACTGGAAGAAACGAGTCAGGCTCATTTACACGTGATGGCCCGGGCAGGAAGACTTGGTTGAAATATTAACACCGGCGGCAGCAGCAGCAGTAGCACTAGTAGCCCTAAACATTAGCCTCAGTAGTAATAACAACGAAAAAATAAGAATTACTGGCATCGGCTTCAAGGAGGAATGCACAAGCCACATCATGGCTCCTACTCCACATCAGAGCCGTCATCTCCCTCAGACTCGGTGTCGGATATGTCCACCAGCTGAGTGCGCTCATCCAGATCAAGGTCATCCTCCATGGCAGCATTGTCGACATCATCACCAGGACAACTCTTCTTCTTCGAAAATTCCATGGCAGATGCAACAATGACTTCGAACTTGTCCTCGCAGAGGTTCTTCATGATAGCCTTCACATAGGCACATGTCAATGTACCCCAGGAGATGTCGTTGAATCCTGTTTGCTGACAGGACACCTTGCCAGTGGACTGATTCATCGTCTTCGGCAAAGAAATGCTGGTTTTGTTCTTTGCCGCCTGAACCATTTTGATGGTGAGAGTACGAGTAGACCAGAGAGTTAAAGCTCATTCAACCTAATAAAAATTGTCAGTTCATGAGATTCGAGAATAAATAAGATGACAAGTATTTACCGCAGCACACGACAATACGAGACCCCCAGCAGTATTTGCTAGTACACCTGGCTTGTCTACCCCAGGTATCTTTCGGGCACCACGGGTTGTGGTGAAGTGTGCACTGAAGGTTTGCACAACAAATGCACCTTGATAAAGGCCCTGGAATTCCTGCGCTAAGTGTTAGCACAACAACAAGTCGGGAATTGATCGAGATGGAAGGAGTACATACAGACTTGTCATCACCATTCGCCTTCTTGTATAAGAATCGAAGGTTGCTGAGTGCATACTCCGCGAATTCTGCATGATTGTCATCAGAGTCCCTCAGCGAGTCCTGAGACTCAAGGTACGCAATGACAATTGCGATAGCTGCTGAGCTGATGTTGCTGCGGTAGGAGTCGGCAACTCGCTGGACAGCCTATATTGAAGTAGATCTAAGTTAGTACTGTGTTAATAAAATTGAGCGCACTTACAATGTAGTAGACTGAACTAAGGCTTGTCACTGTGTGGGCAATATGGGGAAAGATCGCATCCCAAATCACCTGCATCTTCTCACAGGCCAGCTTGGTGGGAACCTCCCAGGGATTAGCCAATGAAAATTTTCAACACAACTCGGAAATATATCAACAAAAAATACCCTCATGGCTCGACCTATCCGTACCAATGCTAACAGGAATCCTGCACAGATCCTCAAGGATGCCGCTCCCTCACAACGCACTTCGGCTCAAAAGCAGGCCGACAACGCCAAAGCTGCAGCAAAAAGAGCTGAAATGGAAGAGAAGGCATCAGAGATCTATCAAAATGGTGTGCGGAAAATTGCCGCCATAGAAGACTCACTGAGAAGACAGGATTGTGCTTATGGCACTGACTTCCCAATAAATGCGCTGGAAACAAATGCGATCGAGGGTGAGCACACATACTACAGAGACAATCAAAAGGTTAACAAACACCCAACAGAGGCACACGAAGAAGACACTGACAACGAGTATGAATTGTCCAGCGCACACTCAGACAGTGTTAGTTCCGAGTTGCCCAGTGAGGAACCAAGCACCCATTCAGAATCAGAAGATCACGGGAAGTCTTGTAAACCAAAATCATGCAAGAAAAAGGCCAAAAAGGTCAGTTTCGACCACACTCTGAGATTCATGAATTGTTTACGAGTCACGGACATCATGATAGACAAAAGACAGGGTGTTAAGGCAGGAAGTGGCAGCCAGTAGAAAGACTGTTGCAAGCGCTGGTACATTGGCAAGGAAGCGTAAGAGTGAGAACGTAAACAGTGATATAGACAGCAATGAACAGTACGATGAGCTTCCCACATGAGAAATATGCTGATAGCAAAGCTTGCAGGTTCCAACAACCGAAGTGTGCGAAGGGTAATCAGTCAGCTAGCAACTTAAATCCTGACTGGCGCAAAATGGTTGGTCAGCTAGCCAAAAGAACAGCACACGCAGACAAAATCAACACGAGCCTTATTCCAGAGGTGGGGCGATCTTGGTCATCTTCCCAAGCATCAAGCCGTAGCAGTAGCCGTTTAACTTCAGAAAGTAGCAGTGACCTGGTGGTTGGAGAGTTTGACATTGACGAGCCTGAGGAGACGATTGCCGCTGCACGAGAGCACAAGAGCAATAAGGTCAAAGATGCGAAGTCCAGTGGATCAACCAGTGGATCAGCCTCAGCTATATATTGTACAACTGCAGGAGTACGATTTCTCACCTCTCGACATCATTGCATTGATGAAACACTTGTCTTACAGATGAGCCTCAAGATCAATAAAAAGGGTGCCGACAACGCTGTGAAGGAAGAAGTGAAAGTGGTGAAAATGTTAAAGCCACAAAAGCCGCTCTGGAAGCTCAAGCTTGAATACCTTCCTTTGCAGGACAAAAGCGACCGTGATGTTTGGAACCGCTTGGTTTGTGTGGTGATAGACTGGGCTGGTACCACCACTGACCCATTTGGCACCAATGAGCATCCTGAGTTGTCACCGAAATTGCAAGAACTCTGGAATGTTTGTTTTGAACATAACACTGTGGACGTCAATGAACACCCAGCTATCAAAAAAATAGTGCATTTATCTGACTCATGTGATGCTAATTTAACCTACATGACCTTGCACTGGCAGGCTACCGACCGCTTGAATGAATGGTGCAGCATGTTCAGCAAGGATGCTCTCAAAATTCTTGAACGTCACTTCAAACATCCCAAGTTTCGACATGACCTTGAGGCCCGCATCAAATTTGTTTGTGACCACTTGCCACGCAAAGTCAATAATAAAAAATGTGTTCCATTTATTTATGCAGACATTGAGGTGCATTTTCATTCTCTCCTACAGTCTCAAACTGATACTCAGCTTGTCTTTCTGCCGAAAGGCCTTTAAAGGAGCTTGGTTGTCACCCGAACTGCTGGAACTTGTCGCTGGTCACATCAAACGCTGTGGGAAGGCTTTTGGAGCATTTTGAAAACCAATTAGTGCTCTAGGGCTGGCTGCTGCTGCTGTACGTCTCACACTTGAGCTACGTCTCTCAAACTAACAAATTATACCATTCAGTATCATCGTGCGCTGTCCCTCTACACCGATGGCAAGTCTGCCAAGGAGGCAGCGAAGGAAGCCAAACACCATGGCAACAGCGACAATGCAGGTGGGAAAAACTCGAAAAATATTGACTTTGACGCAGTGTGGAGGTCTGTGACAATGCGCTACGCAGAACAAGCCAGCGGATTGCCTGCGAGCAAGTGGGATTCCATCGAGGAGGCACTGGCATTGTCGGAGTTGATTGGAACAGATACAAGGTCTGACAATGGAGACTACTCTGATGATAACATTATGGATATCCGTGGCATGGTCCTCCTCTCTGACGGCGAGGATGATGGTCCTCAACCCACAGAAGACTTAGATGGTTGTTAACTGTGGGTGGTACTAGTACTAAATGATTTTGTGTATCAGTGATGCAACTCAGATGGTCTGCAACGAATCTGTTTTGGGTCTGTGAATGGTCGGAGATTCATCTGGGTCATGTCTGAAAGCTATCTGAGTCCGATCAGGTTCCCGAAAGCTTGCCTGATGCTGACTGATTCATCTGTCGCCAGTACGCCGTCTACTAGCCTGGATAGTCTGAAATAAGGTCATTCAGGTCATTCAGACCACTTTACACTTTTCCTGATGGAACCTTCAAGATCGGCATTCAGGAGAACACTTGGGGAATCCTTTGAACACTTCTGTACAATCCTCAGCCTTATTCCAGGAAACACAGGATCCTCGTCAACTCACAAATATCTTTTTAGTCACGCCATCCTTGACTTCCCCCCAAACCTGACAGATTTTTCCATGGTGTTGGCCCTGGACGAATGACGCATCAGAGTCAGCGTTTCAATAGTAATGAGTTTCATAAACAAGCATGAGCGACGTACTGGCAAGCTTTCATTAGCTATTGCTCCACTAGAGCCGGGGGCTTCTGGAGGCGGAAATGGCTTTGAACGTCTCGATTGATTGCCTTTGCCCATTGTAAATAGTTGACGGGTGTGTATCAGTCTGAGCGAAGTACAAGTTAGTAAGGTGCACGGAAAGTGGGTTGGTTCCAAGTTGGTGAAAACAACAGGTCACAGCCTTGACCACAAGCCTCGAGGCAATATTATTATTCGCTTGCTAGTGTTAACGCCCGTAGCTACATTTGGTGGGCGCTACAGCACTCTCGCAGGTCAAAACACTTTGAAGTTGCTGATCTCAGAGTCAAACACATTGGCGATGCAAGCAGATTTGCGTCTTTACCTGCAATGCAAACATAATTAGATTCTGTACTTGCACTTACCTTTGCATCCGTCGCAGCATCTTGAGTGGTCCGTGTCACTGGTGTGTCCAAAGGGAGGATTATCTATTGCATCACCTGTAAGGTACTTAACATACACACATATTTACACGAGAATCACGATGAGAATCCGTTCTGGTAGTGGGGTGTTCAAAGTAACTGCGATTTTCACACGATTTTCGCATTTTGAATCGTCCTGTAATCGCACGCTGAATCATCTCAAGATCGTTCACTCTGACTACCACTAATAGTAATAATTCGAAGAAGACTGGCAGCAAATATTGAATGTTGACTTTCATTCACTGTCAGTAATGCACACTCAAGGAGAAAAACGACACTCGTCTTTGAGTGACGTTCCTCTGGTTTGCGTGAAGCTTGGACCTCCCAAACAGATCTCACCAGCTTGACCACCCACTATGATCAACAAGTACACCATACCTCTCGCCCGCAACTCCATGGTCACGCCCTCGGCCTGCTTCTCCATGTTGTCTTCACTCCCACCCATCTTCCACCACCAACCCTCATCCACCGCCTCAACCCTCTTTCAGACGTGTCATACCCTTGTCTGTCTTTCCCTCCTTCAACAAGCTCCTCAACCCGAATACCAAATCCAGAATGCCACCCAAGAACATCATAGAGATCGACATGGCAGAGTCAGAGTCAGATGGAGAAGGATATGGATTTCTGTACATAACCGACGGATTCAACCTGAGCAGTGAAGCTGATAAAGCATCATTACTATGGTGTGTGTTAATTTTCGAATACTCTCGTTGACTATCAAGTGACTTGGATGTGTAGCACGCTAAAAGAATACAATTCTCCCTTTTCCCCGAATTTGTCTCTTACCACGTTCTCCTATGCCTCGTCTCTGCACTCGAGTTTGTTGGTGTTTCAGTGGCAACTGTGGTCCCTCTCGTCCTCCAATTCGGAATAAATGTTGCACTTGACAACTCCAGCTCAATCATCATCGCTTCCTCATCAAACCCTCTGCAAGTGCTGACCACTGCGCACGTATCGCGCTTCTCAATTTTCTCCCCGACTTTGTCGAGAAGCTGGACAAGATATGGCCGAACCTGGTATGTACTTTTCACCCATCGTTGGAACTTCATGCTGATCTGTTCAGAAAACTAGCTCCACTGATCCTGTTGCTATCATTCGAGAAGCCACTGTCCACGTCATCGTTTTACTCTCTTCCAAGGTACAATGACGTCAGGATGTCACAGTTATCCTTAACAATGACTCGTCATATGGCTATCTAACCCAAATTCAACAATGCACTCCTGCCCCACTGTGTCCATCTCCATTCAGACACAGAAGCCTTTCATATCGGCCAACTAGGTCCTTCACTAGGTTACAACACCAAACACAAGTTCTCGCTCTTGTTTCAACATGGTGCTGAAGGATTGTTCATGCTCTCACTACCTCACTTACGATATATCTGAACTTGCGAGGATGAGGCGCTCTCTACCTTGGATTCTATTAATTATCAGTTCATCACACTCAGATGAAGAGGATAACTAGTATCTTGGAACGGCCAGGATTCGGTCGTTGGTTCGGTTCTTGGTTCTTGTCCAGGACCTCTCAACCGGACCGGACCGGATCGACAACCTCGTTACTGATTCCACCTCACAGGTATCCGAATCTCATGAGTCCTCAAGCTCCTACTTCTTGGATACCTCAGAATGCACTACCTTCTTGGATCATGAGTCCACTGACAGTGATGCAGATGCTGATTCTGAATTTTCAGAAGACAGTTCTGTGTCGAGTTTTGACTCGGAAGAGGAAACTGACGGGGAACCAGTCACCACACACCATCAGGGACGAGTAGCACACCACATACGACACACCCTACAAGATATCTTTGTGCGTCATTATGATGCACCGCGAAATGTTCGATTATTACACCCACCTGCCCAGCTTCCCCATGTCCTTACAGTCACAAAAATCAAATATCCTGTCAGTGAGCATCTGAAAGGTGAGTTCTTCGGTCCACCTGCATAGTACAGACATGGTCAGAATATGCTGATTGACACTACTAGAATCCACGCACTCAATTTCGGGTGGCTCGAGGCTCACAGCATCACCATCCTCTTCTCTTGTGCTATTTTCATGACCCTTCAACCCTCTCTTACTACCAGTCTCTGTGATCTTCGAGTTCTTCTTGCCTTCACTAGTGGATTTTGCAGGCGTGTTTTTACTTGCTTTTGCCATGAGAGCTGGGATATCAGTGATGGGAGTTGTTGTTCGTTTATAGTTTCATGATTTTCATCATATGTTTTTGATCACTATGTATTTAATTCATAAACAAAATCCAAATCTAGACATATCAGCGGTGAAACAAGGTGAAATGAATCGTTGAAGTGGCTCTGGAGCTGCTTCAACGATTCAGGGTGATTCACGATTCTGCACGATTCTGATGTTCAAAAATCGACGTCAGAATTGCCGTCCGAATCAGTGCGTGAATTGCCAAGTTTGACTTCCTCTAATAACGATAGTGGCACCATGCTGGGTCATCCGCCAGTACAAACGGCATGCACCGTAGCATAGACAGTGACATCCGGAAGATGCTGCAATACAAGTATGTCTGGGATTCAAAGTGTGCACGACTGAGTGTCAGGGGCGTGTCAATCCACACGGATACAGACACTAACATCATCAAAGACAACCGACAAGGAGCGGTAGAGGCGACTGCATTTGGAACAAAGTTTGCAGTGAGCTGAGATTGCAACTACGAACAAAAGGATCGGGCAGTGGTAAAAGTATGGGCATGGTATTTGAGGCAATAGAGTGCATCACAGTATAGGGGTTACAATTGCATGTCATGGAGAGTGTTATGACGTGGGCAAGGAACCATAGGGACAGGACATGATCGAGGGGTTTTCACAAAGCTGCAACTTTGCATGACATGATCAAAACAATGGACCAGGTGTCTGAACGTTGAACCCTCACGGTAACCGATAGCCACCTAAGTTGGGAAATCAGAATGAGCACAATTTGAAAACCGCAAGAGATAATCCAGCTTTGCCTCGCTGGAGCATGAACTGAATCAGCATGTATCATTATATCTTGATTGTGTACGTCGTGTACATGTGAACTTGTTGGAAGTTGGCTTGAAAGTTCAAAGTTGAAACTTTGGAAATCGGAGTCGGAGTTAGAAAAATGTCTCGTCACCGTCACCCACGACGACGAACACCATAAGCTCATCATCCTCAACAACCACCCCCTCTGGCAATAGACATTATGCGCCAGTCCGTCGCACCGAGTCGCATTCGCATCTCTAGCATTGCAGGCCAATAATGCAGCCGCAATATCATGTTTGCAGGAGAAAAAGAAAGAGTTCAAGGCCGTTGCTGCGCTTGAACGTGCTAGCGCTCTCTTCCTGAAATGCATAGAAGGTCTCGCAGATGACTGTGAGGTTATGGCTGATGCTGGTCAAGGTATAAATTCTCAAGTGATCTTCGATGTCTGTCATTGATCTATTTGAATAGTACATGGTCAGGTGCTCGAGCAGTGGCCTCTCATGTTCCAAATGTTGAGCCTATTCTGTGAGTAATGTTCAATCTATATGAGCTTGCAAATGATCCTGCAGTAAATAGCCGTGAACAGCACCCAGCAGACTCCAGTGATGACACTGCACCACTTACTGGAGAACGGCTTGTCCGTATTCCAGTCAACGAACTCCAGACTGGTGTGTCAAAGAAGTCGTAATCACGCATCACCAACGTCGCTTCCACTTTTGACAGCGCACACATACCTGATGCTTTGCACCCAATTTCGTGTCGCATCTGTCCCTACCACCGCTGCACTTTTCCCAGAGACATTGGCACACGCCCAATCCCATCTGCGATGACCTCAGTATAGTTGGCAAGGACAGGTCCATGCCAGCGAATTTTCACTTCACTTGCGATAGTGAAGCCAGCTCATCTTTGGGACGCGCATTCTAGAAGCGGCGTGCCTAATATAGGAGTAGTATGATGGCTACTATTGCCGAAAAGATGGTTGACGTGGCAGATTTCGAGCATACAGCATGTGCCTTGGTGATCAGTTGATTCTACTCAACATAGTATTTCTTTGTTTCATGTACTCATAGAAGCCGTTCACTGAGAATTCAATGTACCGCCAGTCGAGTAGTCCGCACTTACATCAACACAGGATTGATACCCAGCCCGATATGTAAGATTACTCTGAGGGCGATGTACTATATGCAACAGTAACGACAATCACTTAATGCTCAAGCCTTTCCAGTGGCAGCAGCATTCTTTTTCTGTTCCGTTAGCTGCTCAATCTGCTACAAAGAGTCGACAAGCATCAGCACACACAACCTCTCCATTGCAAGCAAACAAATAACACCCACCAAATGCCTCTCCTTCCTCCTCGCCATCTCTGCCGCCTTCTCCTTAGACAAGCCAGCCATGTTGGTAGGCTGCGTGGAGTCAGCAGTATTTGGGAGAGGTTGAGGGGATGATACAGGTGTCGATCTAGCGCTTGAAGTAGGTGAGAATGCTGGTGCGATGGACCTGTGGGGTTGTGGTGAGAGCGCACATGAGATCTGGGAGAGTGGCGATGTCCACGGATCAGGCAAGTGACTTGTAGATCGAGAAGCTGATGCCATCGCCCCCCATGCATCAATAGCTGCACGATAGATCAGGAGGAGAAATTACAGAAAAGTAACTGATACCTACACAGAGAACTGGCTCGCAATGATATGCCAAATCCTAGACCATTGGTTGCAGACATGGGCTTTGGTTCTATAATGGCTGGAGTGCTCTCAAACGTGCCTGAAAAGAAAAATTAGCTCGGTTTGGATCTGGTGATACTGTCAAGGGTCAAAGAACGTACTTCAATCTCCTCCATCAGTGTTGATATCAATTAAATTGTCGTTCCATAAATGATTACTGCCTTGCCCTATCTCGTTAGCGGCCTCGTCAGCAAGCTACGCAGCAAGTGCTGAAGGCGGGGTCTTATTTCCACCCAGCTGTAGACCTTTGCCTCTTGATGGATTCACTGAAGGATTTGGCACTGTGTCTTTGGCGCACTCTTGTTGAGTAGTAAAAAGGACATTATGGCTAAGAAACTCACCTTTGGGTCAACCTTGCGACAAGCATTACAACTGTCTATATCACTCTCCGCATGAACAATACCCTACGGTGACATGATGGGAGGTCGAATGGGAAGCCACAAATGAAATCTATAGGGAGAAAGTTCCAAGTGTCATTGGTCGGATCTCAGCCAGACATGTATTTTGTCAAACAACGTCAGCTGCGAGTGCAACGAAGACTTCCTCATAGCTCTCTGACAGACTCTTGGAAAATAGGGCAAAAGTAGAGATAAAGAGTGGACATTTACCTTTGGGAACAAGCTTGGGGAGCGCACAGTGGAAATGTAGTGATGTTCTAGATGATGATCTTGGTATGATTTCCGATAGTGTAAGCTAGGCGACGTGAGTCGGGATGAGAAGATGATGTGGATGTTGAGTGAGGCGAGGAGCTTGCTACCGTATATCGTAGTGGAACTCAAATGTAGAGCTTGGTGCAATTGATGATGTTGATGTAACTCGTTGATCCAAGAAATGACAGCCGTACTGGTCAGAAAGAATAAAAGCTGATAGCCCACTGGCAGATAAATGTGAGTACCGTGCCACTATACATCTTAATACTAGGGGCTTCAATGGATGTTAAACATATGGAGCTTGGTGCAATTGGCCATCACTGAAATTCACTTAGCTCAATATGATAAGACTTAAATCCCAATTTTAACCATTTCTGTTTGGTCATGTTAACATGGTACAATGGAGTATATCCCATATATCAAGCACGTGTAATATTATTACTCCTTGATAATTTTCGCCTTGATGAAACACTTGATATGCTATTATAAAGGTGTATCAAATGATAAACAGACACTTAGATTTCTACCATCCTTGCTCCAAATGATTTCACTGTCTCAATTCCTGCAAAAAAAACCTCATTAGATAGTCTCATTAAATATATAATATCAGGCAAATATCAAACTGCCTAAAGTTTATATCTTACTAGCAATGACAATCATGATTCCTGTGGTCACACACAGACTATTGCCAGCTATAGCCATTATATGTATAGGTACAGACATGTTCTAGGATGCAGCGCCATCTGCCCAAGTCCATCATGGAGGGTAGGAGACATAATGCCATGCAATGAGTTAGAGGAGTCTTGCCACTCTAGTTCAAGTTGGCATTGCTTCTGATGTCAGTTTTCTGGCAAGTCAGGTTTGAACTTGAACTTGACTCCTACCAGTATGATACTAGTACTTCTTGCGCCGGGTCACTAGCCAATTCAAGTTGTTTTTAAGGTACAAAGCTCTCGTGATATAAAAAATCTACGATCTCAAAATTTATGGTCCTCCTACCAGTACTATATACCAAGTGCGCACATGGTGGCTACGTGAATTGGTTCTGTGGGATCAAACACCCCGTTCTTACAATAGTAGATGTAGTCACATTGTGAATTAGAGCGAGGTCAGGCAGTATCACTGGCAATAGCCAAAGCATACTTGACTGATCGGGATCCCCAACAACCGTCACGCAACGACTGGCAGCAGCGATACAACACATAAGCTTGTATTGGACTGTGTTCGTGTCTTGGCTTGTGTGATTTTGGGTGAGCCATGATCATGAATAAGAAATGAAAGCTCACAATTTGTCGACAAGTATTCTATGGCGGTCACGTATGTTGTGCATACTAACATGAGAGAACAGTCTTGCCAGGCCTTACCACGCTGGAATTGTTATGGTCATCGAGAGTCTTCAAGTGAGGGCATTTGTTGATACAAATGCCTAGATCAAATTTGGTTAGATCAAAAGCCGACGCAGTGTGTTCGAGGCAGATGAAACATACTGGGAATAGGAGTATGGACAGTAGTGCCCCATGCAATTGTCAAATAGGTGCTCAATAACATACATTGCAGCTTCTCCAGGTGGTATATTAGATCCAACATCATGAAAATTGAAGTTGTCAGTAAAGAGTGCACCCATTGTCAACCCAAAGGCCACATTGCCACTAGCAGGTGCCTATGTATTAGTAGCAAATAAACAGAAGGTACTACGAGTGAGAACAATCACAATCAAAATTTGAATGCAAGCCCATCCTCAGAGTCGCTGATATAGTCATCTGAGTCATCTACATCACTGTCACAATCTTTGGAAATCTCCCCATCTTCATCCGTGTCATCCTGGTTGACATCATCATCCAGGTCTCTATCACTTTCATCTCCGAAGTCAACATGGGCATTGGCTTCAGGGTCCTCGTCATCCAAAACGTCTCCATGACTAACACCAGTACTTCTGCTCCCTGCTGTGTGTTCAGGTTGGATAATATTCAATGAGTCATATTGAACTTGATGACCAATGCCTATGCATGCAAAACAGCAAAACATGTCCCTATCGGCAAAACTGCATGACTTATGGTGATATGAGTGTGAAACGAGACAAATCTCACATGTTAACATAAAACGAAGCCCAGTTGTCGACCTCTCCAGGCAGTCTTGCAGCAGAGGGACCATGTCTGAGAAGGTCATTTGTATGATGACCAGCGAAAGCAGGGATAAGGTGGCATGCCCTTGTCACATACCGGATCCGAGCACCTCCAATACCACCTGTGAACATCCCTACCACTAGTCCGACCCCCTGTTTCCCCATCCACTCCATCCCTCCTTCTCCGACAATGCATGAAGTGCATTTCAGCAGGACTAGCCCTGCTACCTCCACCTGACTCTATTCTGCTCCTCCAACACTACCCCTATTCTCTCCGACACTATATCCCATACCTCCGGATCCGGAATTCCGGATTCTCCCCTATGAAAGTCCGATTCTCTGTCCTGTTCCACCCGGTGCTCCGCTTTCATCTCCGGACTTACACCTATCTCCTTTTTAGAACACTGCTCTCCAGTTACTGGTTGTACACCTTTCCACTTTGCTTACTGATCCGTCCGTTGGCACTTCATTTCCGACCTCATTTCCTTGATCCGTTGTACACTTACTAATAGACCCTCCATATGCTTCAGACATAGCTTTTACTGTGCTGACTGATTTACTTACATGATACCTACAGTATATAAACTCCTGTAAAACTCTGGAACTCCTCAGTTCAAATATCATCTTAGTTCTGCTCATTCCTGCAATCTCCAGACTTGAGTCTCATCTCTTGTCCACCTCCGAGTCTTAGGGGTTAAACCTTAGGACTACTTCTCCAGCTCTACCTTAGGGTAGTCTAACCTCTGTTCTGTTTCTACTCCAGACTTCCGTAGTAGCCTTACTGTTACGAACTCAGTTGGTTCCGCACTAGATACCTGCAAGGAGCACCGATCTAGTGTTGCGACGAGTGTCAAGATGAGACTACTAGACGGAGAGTCTAGTAGAAGATAGTATAATGGTGATAGAAGCGATGAGGCTTGCTATCTAGCTTTCGTGCTATCCCTCTGTCCTGAGGCTTTAGGTGTGATACTGAGTAGATTCAAGTTAAGGACTACTACAGTGTACGGAGTCCTTTATATACGAAATACAAGTGATACCGGTTGAACGGTAAGGGCTAAGGGTGGTACCGACAATACGGTAAGGGCATAGGGTATGAGTCAGAGATAACGGGTAAATGAAAGAAGCGACGCAAGAATGATCAGCCTGTATAGATAGGCCAATGGAACGGAATGATGGAGGTCGCTTTGGCGATGGATAGTGGCGATAAAAGATAGGCAAAAGAGAATAAGCCGGTTTGAGAAGCTTACGTAACGTCCCTGTAACACTTACTCCATCCATAGTCTTCCAGAGTTCCGCCAAACTCCACCAACTTCTGTCCTCCGGAATTCCCCAGACTTCTGTCGGACTTCCCCTCTGTCCCCCGGAAATTAAGGGCATGTACTCGGGTAAGGGGCGCAGCACACAAGCTGAAGCCAAAGCCCTTTGAGTAACCTCTCCCTTGAGCACAACCTTAACAGCCCTGATCACTAGCAATGGGTCAAGAAACCTGAAGGCAGCAGGTGAGTCGGGAATAAATCCAATCTTTGGTAGGTGGCCTTCTCGGAAGCCCCAATGGTACTGTGGCTCCACACCGAGCCATCGCACCCACAAGACCTCCATGGACTGAGGTGAGCAGTTATGAGTGTTGGGGCCAACATGAAGAACATTAATACAAAATGCGCCCAACACCCGTGCATACCAAAAAGGGTGAGCACCTGCACTGCTTTCTCTCGACAACATCATCATTGTAGAGCCATTTCCAGGTTTGAGCATGTCTTGATCCCTATGGACATCATACATTGTATAATTGATTTGAAAGTGCTTAGGTTGGAAAATGCTGTTCAGATTGTTGATAAACCACACATCATTTCGCTCGACATCCATGAAATCTTGTTCGTCGCCATCATATTCTAAACCCAGCAAGTGGGAAAGAATATGGTCTTTAATTTTTGGAATGAAGTCCTGTCAGGTAACATTATTGGACGTGTCAGAACAGTCATACAAAAACATATCTTACCACGACAGCTGGGTCGCCTCAATGCTCTTCAAGATAACGAGCTAGATTGATGATGATGCCCAGATAACTCGATAAACAATGGTGAGCTTCCAGTGGTAGTAGGCTTCCGGCAGGTTGATTATTGTTAGTATTGCCAGATTCTTGCAGACAATTGATATGAGTGCACCTCCGTTCTTGCTTCACTAGCTGTTTCAAATGATCTTGTTTATTTGTGCTCTGGTAGAACCTTTTCAAAAGCCTGTGTGCGAGCTCACCCTGAAAATTCAAAGGATTAAGCCGTTTACTTGCCACTCAATGAGGATGTGTACATACTATTTGGGTATTGTATGAGTCAGTCATTCCAAACATTTTGATAGAGCTTACATAGTCACCAAGTGCGTGTAACTTATAAGTTTGCATATTGAAAGCCTTGGGACGCGCTCCAGATGGCCCTGTTCCTGCCGGCGAGTTGAGATTGGTATTCTTCCTTTGATGGGCAGCAATTTCCCCTGTGAGCTCCATAATCCGAAATGCTGAGCATGTGGAATCCTGAAATTTGCGAAGCTGCTGTCCTAGACATCTAGTAGCTCGACTAAGTAGATCAAGAGAGTCATCTGTGTGGATTCGAAGTTTTGTGATAGTGTGCCATTAAGCCAAACAAAAGAGGAGAATATGGACAACTTCATCGTGCGAGTCTGGGAATAGACCCTCAAACGCCGGAATCGCACACTGGACGACAATCAGATTATGATAAATTCAAGAACAGCACTGCAGCAGGGATCAAACTCACCTGTAAGATATCCTTGAAATGTCGTGCAGCTCTTTGTTTCACCTCAGATACATTTGGAGGGAAACATCGAATGGCGCCCTTTCCAAATGACGGAATTAAGTGAAAACTTAACATTGAGGGATCATCAGCATCAGTCGAGGCTGACATGCTAACGAGTACGTACTGTTCATTCAGTAAAGTTACTAATTCGTTATTAATGGCATAAAGAAGCCTTATAAGATGCTTGAAGATGGATTTGAACACTCCAAGCTCAAATTCATGCAAGAGATCGACCACAAGCATAGGAAAGAAATCAAAGCCTAGATGCCTGAGTCGTTCATTGAAGGTATTCTAAAAGTAAAGTATACTCAAATCATTCAAAAGGTCTATAATTAAATGCGCTTACCAAGGTTGGCACCAATGAGAATGCCTTTAGAAGACGGTTGGCCGCAGCACCTTTGATCAGAGCACCTAGCTTGTATATAGCCTCATGTGCTACAAAAATCTTATCTCGCAGGTATAAGCAAACATTGTTGATGCGTGCTGATATGTCAGCTTTGAGACCGAGTTGATCAAAGCGTGATTTCAGCAAAATACACCGGGGACATGGGCAAACTCCTTTGTCACGAATAGTAGCAAGAAGGACTCTATTTGAAGGTTATCAGTTAATGTGCGGAAGTCAAGGTGATAACTTAGCTGACTTTTCTGGGTAATCTGCAGAGTAAGTAAAAATTCTTGGAAAGACTTGTTGAGACACACCATTGTGGCATTTGATCACGATCCCATTCCTATATGTGTCTACGAACTCATCATCTAACAGGATCCGCCAAAGTGCATGGAACAATTCCTGTTTGCAATGTGTGAGGATGTCGCTGATGCCCTTCATCTTGATATACTTGCTAATGAAACCCACAATAGAGTGTGGTAGCTAGAGATGAATCGTGTTAGGGTACTTGTCTGATGGGAAGGATGTAAACTTACTGAAGGGATAAATGTGATAGGGTGACAGGCATTGGTGGTTGGACAAGCATGGACATATTTCGATTGATTTCCAAAAAAAAGATAGACTGGCCATGCAGAAGCATTGCCAAACTGAGTCAAGTGTGTCACATTAGACCAGAACATAAGTCCAGCTATCACCTGCTCCAGGTTACACCCATCATCCCTCTTTTGCTTTTGCAGCTCGTCATGGGCCTTAATCCACACATCTGACGTGTAAAACATGACTGCCTGTACAAAGGCCAAGCATTATTAGAAGCTCATCGGCTATGAGCGAAAGAAGGTCAAGCACACCAAAGTTGCACTTGTCAGAGCATTTCAGGATGCTGCAAGGTGGAAGGGGACTGTGAAGGATAAATCTGATGAACTCACTCATGCACATGCAGACCTCGAGGAAAAGACGACTCAACTCCTTACACTAAGGTGTAAGTTGCAGGAGGAGGCTTGCAAGATGGGGGAAGTAGTGGCAAAATGGAATGCCAAGTGCTCTCAGCTTGCTGAAGAGCTGTCTGGATGTCAATGAAATGTCCTTGCCCTGTGCAAACACTGTCAGCATAATGCAGTGCATGCTATCAAAGCTGCACTATCCAGAAATAAACAACATACCTTCAGACTTGTGCATAGAAGGGCCTACACAGTCGAGGCCAGGAGTCTTGCGAGATATCTTGTGCGCACTGGGTGCTCACAAGAGTTGATTTGGAGAGTAATTCAGAAGATTGGGAACTTGCAGGAGTCTCTGCAAGCCGCATCATGAGCCGCCGCACAGTTTCATGAGCCCTAATTGAAGGGGGAGTTGCAACAAGCATCCAGCTTGGCTACAAGATCTCTCAAGCTAATGGTAAGCTTATCATCAAATGACACAATAACAACTCACAAACAATTTTCAACAGGCCTAACAATTAGCCCACATTATTGAGCTCAAGACACCCTCTTATACCACTGCATCCCTGCAGAAACACCATGCCCGCGTCATCTCTGTTTCTTTATCTATTAATCACACTAGCGAAACTCAAATCAGCGGATGGAAGGAGGAGATTTCTCACCTGTCATCAATGTTCTCGCAAAGCCCACTTGCAAAGTGGTCAGGTCTGTCATTGGATATTGATGGCTTCTTAAAAAAACTCAAAGGGATGCACACTGATCATGCAAGCGATCAAAAGAAGATATATCGCCTTTGGAAAGAATGGAAGCATCACGTCATATGTGCTTCCTATGGCTTTGAGCATATCAAGAAGATGAAAAGTGAAGCACTGAGCAATCTCTATACCATGCTTCTCCAGGCAACACAGGAGATCATCAACTCTCTTGGAGGCAGTGAAAAATGGGATGCATTGGATGTGGATTCACGTCGGCCTTATGTTACAGAGATGATGGAGGGACTTGCACTGCATTTTGGCAAGGAGATCCTAGCTGCATTACCGGATGAGGAACACTGATCAGTAGAGCTTTTCTTTTGGGCCAGTTGCTCTATGCATAAAGAACTCAACTCCATCAAGGGGGGGAATGTTGCCATGATGAAATGGTGGGCAGATAATGGTGTTCCCCCACCTGTACTCTTGGCAAACAAGGATAACACAGCAATGATACAGCTAGCTGAGATGGTTGATGCATCAGCTGCAGCTGTGAGACAGCCATTCGAGGTGTCATCCCGCAGTGGGGTTAAGGTGACAAGCATTGCAGGCACACTGTTCAACCACAAAGACGACAAAAAGGGGCAGGGAGATATTCATCAATTTTTTTTCATGCAGGTAAAAGGCAATGTCAAGGGTGCATCAAAGAAGTTCCCTGACACCAGTAACACATGCTATCACTCTCATTGTGATGCTGCTACTGAGTTGATTAAATATCTCAAAAATTACCTCGATTTCCTAGACTTCATTCACAACAACAAGACAAATGTGCACCTGAACCACATAGAAGAGAATCTCGACAAGGCTCTTTGTGATGCAGATACACTGGTGGAATTAGCTGCTTTGACACTGTACAGTCAGTTGATCACAAAACCCTACATGTGGCTGGTTCGCGCACCTGGAACTGAAGACCTTAATGTTCTCAATTTGGGTCCCCTCCATGATGACCTTCAAATTCACATCAAAACCATCGTTGATTGGCCATCCCTCATCTTTGATTTTCATCCCAACTCATACCTTTTTGATGTGTTCGACAAGAAGCCATGGGATGACCCACTTGCGATCCAAGCTGTTGTAGATATGAATAATGCAGGAACACTTCCGCACCTTATGGAAGTCTTCGTCACATTTTTGGGAGGTGCACTGGAAACATGGGAACAGTTTACAGAGGAGTTTGCTGCAGGTGGCCTAATAGCCTCATCATCGGCCAAAGAACATGGGCTTGCAGCAATGCCCACCACCAATGATGCGAATGAGGGGATGCTTGGAATGTGGTGGAGACACTCGCATGACAAGCCGAGTCTTATGGTTGGTCATTTTTCAAACCAGGCAGCCTTTGCATGCAACAAAACTCAAGATTTTATGAATGCATTGTTTATTGATGAAGATAATGCATATATATGAAAGGAAGCTCGCTGAATTGATGCCAGCAGAATTGAGAAGCACCGACGAGACACCGTCATCCAGTACAAAAAGATGGTTGCTGAGGAGAATCACAAGAAGGAAGAGCAATGCCATGCCAAGAATGCCTCGGTTGCCAAGTACTTTTCCGCGCTCGATATCGTTGTTGACAATGCATTGCTCAACACAATGCTTGATCAGCCTATCAAAGATCAGCTCAAGCTTCACCATCAACTAGGTGAGGAGAAGACGATCCCGAAGAAATCTCACCTAAGTAGTAAGCATGTGCGCTTGCAGGTGCTTCTGTTGGTTGTCGAGCGCTACATTGCGCAACGGCGTGGTGAATCACTTGATGATAAAGTTAATTTCCTCAATTTAATCAATTCATAAGTCAAATATTAACATAGTAATTCAACGACAACACTAGATGCCTTTATTATAGTATTACTCACACATTTACATATACTGCCACACTTACTACAGTCACTATACGAGCAGAATAGTTATAAGTAACATAAATACACAACATTTCATAGTATTAGTAGCTGTAATTACTGTTATACACCCTCGCACCGTGTTTTCAGCGGACATAGGGTTTTTTTGCTTATATAAGCAGGACAGTTTGTTTGCGGGCATTGCCCACCACCATTATTAATGTTGCGGATATCATTATGCGTCATGTGATGTCTATCCCACAGTGGAATCATTCACAGGAAGGCACAAGCAAGCTGTGGCGTTGGCTATTTAGTGTGTGAAGCTCAAAGGCAACGACACAGAGAGAAGAATGCTTTTGGTCGAATGACAGGGTAAAAGTCTGGGATTCGGGGGTCCAGAAAACACTAAGGTAACTCTAGTACTCCAACTCGTATATAAGTAAGTGCAGCTAGGGCTATATGAGACTTGGGATAAACAGGGAGTAATCTAATGAGATAAGGAGTAGCTAAGTTACTCAGATTGAATAAATAAGAGATATATATCAGTATCACAATGACAGACAGATATTGAATATAAGCACATATTTGAGGGGTAAAGTTAAAGGTCAAAAGAAAGACAAACAAATCAAAGGGACGTGGTATGTGTGGTTAAGCGCAGTTGTTACATCTCCCCCTCCAGAGAGGACCCAGCTCTCTCTCTCTTCTCGTTCAACATCCTTAAGTGAATTGGTTGTTCATTGCTTCATTGATGGGGTAGTGTTACGACTAGGATAGTTCTTCTTCAACATTCCAATAAAGGATGATCAAGGCTGAAGTGTATCACGAGTTCTAAGATCAAAGGTTCAGGCTAGTCAAGTGTCAAGGGCTCGCTAGATCAAGTATTCAGGCTAGTCTGCTTAGGAGGCAGCTAGATCGGTGAACTCAAAGTATCAGGAGAGAACCTAGTAGATTCAAGTTAAGGAATACAAGTACAGGAAACGTGATATATATATGTAACAAGAAGGTAGTTTAGGGCTGGTCTGTAGGTAGATGACCCTGTCAAGAAAGGTAAGTGAGAATAGGAAGACAATATCAACCAATCAGAAAAGGAGATGAGAAATGGTACGATGTTAGATTGACCAATCAGGGAACAGTATGAGTAATCATCTGCGTAAGCATAATGAGTAAGCATATAGGTAAGCGTTCACGTGTTGGACGTGTTGATAAGCAGTCACGAGACTTGATGAGTAAGTAAAGAAAGAAAGAGAAAAGAAAATATAGCGCCATTGTAACAGGTAGTCATTCTGCGAGTCAATCGGCATCTCAAGTGGAGTGGTTAGGCCAGGCACTTGAGTAGTAGAAGCAGCAGGGGTGGCGATGGCAGTTCTCGAAGTGGATGCGCTAGGAGCCATGAGTGCAGGAATAGTTGCTTTCCCTAACCCCTTTTTAAAGAGCTTGCGCTCATTCTTCTTCTTGTAGTTCTGCATCTTGACCTCTGCTGCTGCCATTTGGTGATTTGCTTGCATTGGACAACTGTGGAGCTGGTGGTATGCCAAAGCATCTTGTTGACCTGATCCATTTGATCAGCGGTCAAGGAAACAGTTTGTTCTTCATCATCAACAAGGTCAGACATCTGAACGGTGGTCCCCTCAGACACAACCTGCCCCATGGCCTCGTCCAGATAGGAGGCCTTGGATTCTAGACTGGGCTCACTGTTGAATGCATCAATGAAATGGTCGTATCTGATGGGATAGTGGGGACATTGTGCAACAGATCGGTTGCGCAGAGTGTCACTATAGCCAATGTAGGCTCTGAGCTGCTTGTGAGACACAAAGCAGGGGGCAAAGGTAGCATCCAGGCTGTGGATGATGAAGTCCCAGCCATGAGCCTTGAAATAAACAAGGGCGACGGTCTCATCTAGAGGTATGCCGACTGAACAGAGTGATAATGGTGAGTGGGGTGTGGGTGATGCAGATCTTGAGGGAAAAGTAGAACCGGGCAATGACTTTATGGTCATTGTTTCTCCAAGGGTGACACACCCAATAAACGATTGGTGGTCATTGTGAGGAGACGTTCTTAGCCCATCTGTCAAGTTGCCAACGTCAGATATACCCAGCAAATCAAGGTACTCAGCTAGTGCATCAAGATGTGACACTTGTTCAAATGGCAACCAAGTAATGTCGCCAGTGCACCACTGTATTTGGAAAGTAGCATTCTCCCCAGTGCCCAAATGAGATAATATCTTGTCTACAGCCAATTTGGGCTCTTGTTCTTCACCAAAGTTGAGGACTTGGGCATCTGCTTGACCTGGGAACAGTCGGTTGTCATTTGGCACATGTATCCAAAGTAATGAAGAGTGAAAGACCGGGTGTATTCCTCATTGCCGCAGGCAGCTAGGCAAGTCCATTTTGAAAGAGTTATTGCCATAATCACGAGTCAACTGGTAGGGTCCAATGTATTTCGGGATGAACTTATGTGCAAGTCCCTTGGGTAAGAACATGTTCTTTGTCGACACGTACACCAGGTCTCCTTCTTTAAAAGGAGATAGCTGGCACCTATTAGCATTACGAGTTTGCTTGACTCGTGCCTCCAGTATAGAGTCATGCACTGCAATTAGTGTCTGCTTCATCTTCTGGGCATATACTCTCACACTTGGATACTCATCTTTGGTGGGGTTATTCCAGACCATTGCATGAGGTGTTTGGCCATGTTAGCTTCAAATGGTGAGATCAGGGTCGACTCAGAGCTGGTGAGGTTGATGGCAAATTCTATTGCAGGGAGCCTCGAAACCCAATTGGTCTGCCGGGGTGATATGCAAGCATGCAGCATCTGCATCACTGTCTGATTTGTTCATTCTGTGGCCCCATCCAATTCTGGATGGTAAGTGCTGGACATCTGCTGGTTCACCCCTAGCAGGCTATTAAGGTTAGTCCAGAAAGCGCTTGTGAATAGCACGTCTCAATTGCTGATTATCGATCTAGGCAATCCATGGTGTTTGTATACTTCTGCGAACACTAACTCAGCGACTTCATGAGCCTTGTAATTGACTCAGCTTGGTACCAAATGGACCATTGAAGTAAGTCGGTCTATTATCACGGTGATAGCATCATATTCACTGTTTCTGTCCTTAGATAGAGGCAAAGGCCTGATAAAGTCTATTCCAATGGACTCCCAAGGTCTCGAGGGTACTTCCAATGGATTTAGCAGCCCATATGGGATCTTTGTCATACTGATTCTTGATTCCAATAATTAGTTCATCCTCATCTGGGTATACTTCCAGGAATGAAACTTGTGGCTCCTCAAGTTCCTTTCTTGTGGGGTGATTTGCAGGTGCTTGCCCTGCTTCCTCCCCCTCCTTTCATTCCTTGGGGCCTCAAAGGACGAAATGACCAGCCATCCGCTTGGCAAATTCCGCAGCCATCTCAGGCCGCCCAGTCACAGTGGCCGCCACTAGTTTCCTGCTGCGTAAAGGAGGTTTAGGCACAGAAGGGGAGCCAAGTGCTTGGGGAGCCAAAGGTGCATCCAATAATACGTTCTCAATAGACGAACCAATTGATGGTGTTGTCATTGATTCCAACAAACCACCATCGTGAGGGACTCAAGCCATCTGTTTATGACCATAGGTGCGTGGTTCCTTAGCTGCAAGCCGCGTACTGCAATGCACAGCCAACCCTGGGGATACTGCCAGTGCCTTAGTACCAACCAACACAGGCATTGATACAGTAAACTCACTGGGGGCATGCACAGTCCCCGGAGGATCAAACAAATACATCCAGGACAGGGTGTCAGGTAGGACATTCTCAATCCTGGGCACATAACAGATCTCAAAGTCGAAATCCCCCAGTTTTTCCAACCAGCGAGCTTGCCTGCTGGAGAAGTCGCGCTGGGCCAACAGATGGACCAGCCCCTTGTGGTCTGTCAGCCAGATGAATGAATTGTGCACCCTGTAAGATATTGCGATGATGCAACATGCCTTCCATCCCCACTGCATCTCCTGCTCATGAACAGGATAGTTCTGCTGTGTGGGACTTAACTTAGCACTATAGAAAGCTGCCACTTTAGCAGTTTTCCAGTCAACGCCTTGGGTGATCACACAGGCGATGCCCTTCCCACTGGCGTCAGACATCAGCCAGATGGGATCAGCTTGCGGGCCATATTGCAGAGTTACCCGGGAATGTTCTGCGCAATTTGCGACATACCATTTGACTTCGTCAAATGCGTGTTGCTGAGTGTATTCCCACCAAAAAGGTACTGTATCCCCTGTAATCTCCAATAAAGTGTTCATCAGGACTCTAACATTGTAAATATCATCAGCTAGGAAACCCACAGTGCCCAGGAAGCTTTGCAAAGCATCCCGATTAACTGGAGTCTTCCAGGCCAGGATTTTGTCAACCTTTGCAGGATCCATGCGGATCCCATTGTCATTGTCAACCCATCTGAGGATCTTGAGATTCTTACATAGGAACTGCAGCTTCCCCTCACTCAGGTAAAGCTTTTCACGCTTGAGAATGCGTAACACAGTCCTGACATGCTGCATGTTTTCCTCCAGGGTGTCCAAATAGATGATAATGTCATCCAGGTATACGTCCATCCAGCAGCCTATAAACTCACCAAACAGGTGATTCATTAGTGTCTGATAGGTTGCCAGGGCATTGCAATCCCCCTGTTGCAGGACTGTACTAATGAGGTTCCCATCAGGGGTAGTGACTGCTGATCGTTCAACATGCTCGGGTATGATTCGGATTTGTTTGTATGCATCCTGGCCATTAATAATTGATCAGTAGCGCTTGCGGGCAATGTGGCGCAGGATACCATCAATATCAGGTAAGGGTGAGGACAGTTTTCGCGTATTTTTGTTGTGCTCATGTAAATCTACTACTGTTCGTAGTTTATCCGTCCCTGGTTTATGGATAAACAGCATAGGCACTGGATTCCTGGTGCTGGTCATCCACCAGTGCCCCATGGCTAAGTACGCTT